GAAAGTGTGACAGATTTCGGAGTTGCAGGACCTGGGTTCAAATCATGACTCTCTTACAAGTCAGTTCACTTTTTTGGCCTTTAGTTTCCTCATATGAAATGAGTTCCTAGCTCAGGGCTTGATACATACACAACAGGTCCTTAAGACATGGCTGCAGATTGATTGAATGAAGTTGTACTAGATGATCTCCTCAGGTCCCTCGAAGTTCTGAATCTATGACTTGTGGATTCCTGAATTTTATTTATGTACATACATGTGTATGCAGATGAAATTTATATTACAGTGTACAAATACATATATATTTATATATGTATGTTCACATATATGTCTACATGTCTGTATACGCTATATAGACGCACACGTATTCTTGTCTTTAGATGTGCTGGGGTTATGTTATTTGAAAAGAGATTTCTTGGAATAGCTAGTTTTCCTCTTTGCAATCCCATTTTGCTGAGTCTTGGAGTAAGTGCATAGAAACTGACTTATTCGTATTTGGACCTGCCATGTCTGTGGAGGTGAATCTCTTCACTGATGGCTTCTCATCCTTGGGTAATTCCTGTCTCAGTCTTCTCATGAATCTTCCTCAGGGGATCCACTCAACACAGGGGGGAGGGCTCCCTCTGGTTCTCTTACTACTTAAAACCACTTGCATAGCATTCAGACTGTCTGTCCTTTTGAGTCTGTTCACTACCTGGCCTGCATTTTCTGGTCCTGCATGTCTTCAGTGATCCTTCACTTCTTAGGAATGTATGTTTGCCATGTAGCTTTTTTGGTCCTGCATGTCTTCAGTGATCCTTCACTTCTTAGGAATGTATGTTTGCCATGTAGCTTTCCATTGAACTTTGGGTTACTTGTCATCGGGATTCTTCCAAGATGGTAGTGTTCCATGATTTACCAGCCAGTGACTTTGCTAAGGAGGGTGGCATGACATGGTAGGAAGAGTGTTGGGCTTGGAATCAGAAAGACCCGGGTTCAAGGCTCACCTTGAACACTTATTAGCTTTGTGACCATGTACAAATTCATAAACCCATACACAAGTGTTTCTTCATCTGTCACATGGGAAATCATAATGCCCACAGCATAACAAGGTCTACTTTGCAGGACTGTCTTGAAGTTCAAGTGGGATCAAGTCTATAAAGTCAAACATGGAACGCTATTGCTCTTATTAACCTACTGGTGTTAGTGAGGTGAGTAGTTGAAGATCATTGGAAATATCGGGCAGCAGCACTTTGGACCCCCTTGGTAATCCAGCTTGATAAGGAGAACTGGGGTGGACTATGGGGAAAACCATGAGGGAGTCCTTTATAAGATGTCTAGTTATCCCCTCATAGGGATGATTGGGAGGACCACATTATGTATTGTAATCAAAACTCTACAAATCCCTGTGTAAATGTCCATGACTGTCCAGTGCTCAGTTAAATTTCATTCAGTGCTTTGGTCCTGGGTGGGGGCTGCCTCAACTGACAAAATCTCTCACAGCCTACTTGCTCTCTCCTGTCTGTCCCCAAGCTTTGGGAAACACATCACTAAGTCCACTGAAATCTATAAAATCTTATTACTGTAATTAGCCAACCTTGGTAGGAGCATAGTGAAACACTTCATTTTTAAGATGAGGGAGGTTCTCATCGTGGGAGTGTCCTCATGGGGTATGGGAGATCGGGTTGGTACCTGCAATGTAGCTTAGATTTAGAAGCAGAGACCCTTCCTTGGAATCCTGCTCTTTCTCTGTGTGAACCTAGGCCAGTCCCCAGTTTCTAATCTGGAAAATGAGGGGCCTCTGAGGTGGCTTTCAGGTCTAAGTCAGGGATGCTTTCTGATCCTGTGAGCTGTGAGCTAAGGAGCCCCCAGGAATGTGGAGAGAGACCTCCTGAAAGGTCCCAGTTACTGCTGGAATGAAAGAACTATTCATTAGTGCAGCACTGTGGGGAGAGAGTGTTCTTTCTTTTGAGGAAACTCTTGTGGATAATTTCCAAGTTTGGACTCCCACCTTGAAACAGAAATACTGCATATCATGTATTTCAGGATATAGTGGTATGAACCTCTGTGTGTGTGTGTGTGTGTGTGTGTGTGTGTGTGTGTGTGCGCGCATTCAAAGATTTGTCACCAACATATCACTATTTTGTCACCGATACTAGCACAACTTTTTTTAGAGCAATTTTTGTCAATGAGCGGGTATAATGTCTTACAAATTTTATAATTTGCTTTTGAGAAATACTTGATTTAGGACTTAGTTTTGGAACTCTAAAACTGTCCCTCTTTCTTCCTCTGCTCCCTTCTTTTCCTTCTCTCCTCCTTACCCCATCTCAGAGTCTTGTATGTGTTTAGCCCTACTCTAACTCATAATAAGCATACAATCCAAGATTTGGAGCTGGAAGGGACCTCAGAAATCACCTTGTCCAACTTCCTTTTTTTGCAAGTAAGGAAACTGAGGCAGAGAGAGGTTTAAGTGACTTGCCCAGGGTCACACAATAGTAAGTGATAAGATCTGGATTTAGACTGGGTCCCAGGCCTCTGCTTCCAAATCTTCTGATCTTCCACCTAAGAACTGCATAGAAACACTTAAAAAAATTAGTCCAGGTTTTCTAGATCGCTTCTTCTCCTTGCCTACTAGCATTCCCCCATGTTGTTGTTTTGTCATTTCAGTTGTATCTGACTCTTCCTAACTCCATTTGGGGTTTTCTTGGCAGAGATACAGGAGTGGTTTGCCATTTCCTTCTCCAGCTCATTTTACAGATGAGGAAACTGAGGCAAACAGGGTGAAATGACTTGCCTAGGGTCACCCAGGTAGTAAGTTTCTGAGGCCGAATTGAACTCAGGTCTTCCTGAGTCCAGCGCTATATCCACCTTTCCACTATCCCACCCAGAAAAAAATATCAGAAATCTAATTTCTAGACTCAAACAATTTTGGAAAAGGCAAAGGGGAGTGGAAAATAATCCAACCTGGAATTTCTAACTCTTTGACACACAGTAATACTTAAGTAATCAGCACCACATTTAAAAAAATTTCTAATGTGAAAAAATTCAGTATAGTTCCCCGGAAAGCGAGGAAGAAGAAGTATCACATCCCTTGGGATTAATTCATCAGGCTTGGGTGGGGTGGGGGTGGGCAGAGTGGACTCACTGCCGAGGGGACCAGTATTTATACAGTCATTCCCTTCTCCCTGGAAATGCAGTAGTTCACCTCCCCCTTGTGCCTCCGGATGATATGGAATGTGTACAATGAGGGCCTGGTAGGAAGTGTTTTGTAGGCCTTCAGTAAAGCACCAGAGAAACATCATCTGTGATTATTGTTTTTAGAACTGAAGCATATGCAAGGTGTTTATCATCACCATAGTCCACTATCGCCCACACATACAGAAGGTGTCACACTTGGGAATTTAAAGGTGGAAACTGTGCTTCCCCCCCCCCCCCGAAAAAAAGAAGTTCATAGGGAAAAGCTTTCTAGCTAATTGTGCTCTTTGGAAACTACTAAATTTTCAAAACTCTTTTGTTTTGTCAGCTAATTGGTTAGGACACTGAAAAATAAAATTGGCAGCCACCAGCATGAGGGCAGGGGGCCGTGCTTTGCTATCGTTTTTGCCCAGGGCTTAGCAGTGCCTGACTTTTTGACTTATTGGTTTTTCCACACTGTCCACATGAGGCCGTATTCCAGATAAATAATCCTTGTAGTACGCAGCTCTGTAGGAGCAGGTAGAGGCTGTTGGGTGCCATCCTGGAGTGACTGAGGCATTTCAGAATGGGCCTGGTGACTGTTGGCTCTGTACACAGGGCACTTGGAGCCGACATGACAGCTACAGTTGTGTGTGTGTGGTCTGCTCTTTGAACGCAGCTGATTGCCAGAGTTCTTGTTCTTGTTCAAATGAGGGTTTGAGCTAAATTATACAGTTAGGCCCCCAGGGAGCCGAGAACAAAGGTCTTGTGTGAATCTTAGGATGGTTAGATCTCTAGTGCTGGAAGGGACCTTAGAGTCTAGACTCTGTCCAGTCCCATAATTTTACAGGCAAGAGAAGTGAATTTCCCAAGCTCATTTGGAGTTCCTAGCACAATTAGAACTGGAATCCAAGTCTCAGTTTATCATTTGCTTTCTCTTCATTGATATTTTGGCTAAGAATGCAGTTTTTCAGTTTCTCGAACATTACACTCCTCCAAAACATGACGCCATGTTTGGTGCCAGAAGTACCAAGACATAAATGAAAACCCACCTGCTGGGACCTTCCATGGTAGACATTATCTGAGGCTTTCAATTTGGGCAAAATCATAGGAGCTGGGAGGGCCCTAGGAATTCAGCTAGCCTATCTCTTTCATTTTAAATGAAGAGGTCAAGGCTTAGGGATTTGTCCACGGTCACACAGATTGCTAAGCCATAGAGGAGAAATCTACCCCTGGGTCCTCTGACTTCAAATCTAGCTTTCTTTCCACTGCTTTGGAAATGCTACAATATGCTTTAATCCTAATTGAAATGACTCCAAATCATCTGGTAAGATGTCTTTGTCTGCTCTTCTCAAGTCTTAGATTTTATCTAAGGCCGCTTTGGACTCCTTGGGAGACAAGGATATTCTAGTGCTTAGCACACCGTGGGTGCTTAATAAATATTGATTGATGGATTCCTTTTGTCTTTGATGCTGATTGGTGTGAGGATGTTGTTTGTTCCTAAGGATTATTTCATTACACCATAGCTTTGTTGAGTATGGTGGATTCTGGTAGATTCTGCCCAAATGGACTGGTTGGAATTCTAAAGGATCTGTGTTGAAGAATGAATGACCTCACACCTCTCTAGTTCATTGGATTATTTTGGAGACAAAAGATGTTACTTTTGTCCGATACTGATTGGTCTGGGATATTGTTTCTTCCTAAGGAATACTTCATTCAACGATAACTTTATGCAGTATGGTGGATTCCAGTAGACTCTGCTTAATTGGACCAGTTGGAATCATTAAGGATCTGTGTTGAAGAATGAATGAACTTAGGCATCCCTTGTTCTTTCTTTCTGCCTTTTACAGATAGCAAAGCTATCGTTGATGGAAACTTGAAGCTCATTCTGGGCCTGGTATGGACCCTCATTCTTCACTACTCAATTTCTATGCCTGTATGGGAAGATGAAGGAGATGATGATGCCAAGAAACAAACTCCAAAGCAGAGGCTGCTGGGCTGGATTCAGAACAAAATCCCTTATTTGCCCATCACCAACTTTAACCAGAACTGGCAGGATGGCAAAGCACTGGGAGCCCTCGTGGACAGCTGCGCCCCAGGTAAGCGCTTGTCTGGATCATCGGATCTGTATGGATTACCTGGATCACCTGGATTATTGATCTCCAGGCTTCAGGGCAGCTGGGGAAGGACAACATGGCTTAATTTCCTGTCTGAGGAGTAGAGACCTGAAAGGGAAAGTACCTATCTCAGCAGTGAAACAACTGAGCCATCAAAGCGTTGACCTCACCTTGACTGGTGCCAAAGGCCTTGAGTCATGGAGGCAAGTCTCAGGCCTGATGCAGGTCCCTGCCTCCACCACTCAGGCCTGGCTGCAGTCAAGTCAACCCCCCCAGTTTGCGCCAGTTTTGTATTCATTTCAATAAAAGGCTACCATAGTTAGTGTCTATGCATGATTGAGTGGACTGTGCCTGATTGTCTTAACTGTGGCTGACTAATGTAGTCTTACTCCCCGTCTCCCCTAAGCGCACTGAATACCATTGCTTTGCCAAGTCGTTCAGTGGGCTGGTGTCTGCACTGAGGTTCTGAATTCTAGGTGGGATTGAGGGAAATGGATTTGGGGGCTGGCTGTGGTTCTTTGCCTTGTTCACTTTGGAAATAATACTTCCCAGCCTCAGGATTCTGATCCACATGGAAGCTAAGTCAGTAGAACTACAAGGAAAAAAATTGAGATTTTTTTCCCTGGCCCTTGTCTTGAGATGAATGGGATGAAACAGTATCTTTTCTGGTATGTAGCCAGTAGAGAAACAAAAATATCCATTTCTGGTGATGAACGCTGACCTTGGTGACGTGTTCTTCAAGTCAACTCAAGTCAGGCATTTATTAAGCGTTTACTAAGTTCCAGAACTGCACCAAGTGCTGGCGATACAAATAAAGCGAGAAAGGTGGCCCCTGGCCTCAAGGCGCTTCCATTCTAACAGGAGAAGAGGACACATGAAAAGGAAATCTGGGGTGGAGGGGATAGGAGAAAGTACTACCGGGGTGTGTAGAGAAAGCGCTCAGTCACGATTAGAGCCAGAAGAAGCACTCGCCTTGAAATGGAGGTTTGGAGGAACCAGCCGATCAGAGGAAGTGTCTGTGCCGCAGGAGTGCTCTCCGAGGATCTTTAGAGGAAGGTAGAATCTGGAAGGGAGCAAAGGTCACGGCATGGCCTTCCTGGAGCCTAGGAGTTTAGGCATAGGAGGAGCGGGAGATGGTCTCAGATGAACGTGTGGCAAGGTTATACGTTTAGGGGAGCGATGGAGATGATAAGTGCAATGGGAGCCCAAGAAAGGTGAGAAGAATCGGGGCTGGAATCTCAGGACAAAGCTTCTTAGAGCAGGTGGGATTTCAGCAAGGCCCTGAAGGACGGGCGGTAAAATTAGTTTTCTTAAAATTTGAGTCTGTGTCTTTTTTGATACGTCACCTTGGTTTCCAAAAGTATCCCTCCCCTCCTCTGCTCAGAGAGCCATCCCTTGTCACAAAGAATAAAAAGAATGAAAAAAGGCAGCTCTGCAAAACTGCTCAACACATCCACTGAGTCTGACTGTATATGACGTATTCCACATCCATAGTCCCCCGCTTCTGCCAGAGAGAGAGAGAGAGAGAGAGAGAGAGAGAGAGAGAGAGAGAGAGAGAGGGAGAGAGAGAGAGAAAGAGGGAGAAAGAGAGAGGGAGAGGGAGAAGGAGAGAGAGATAGAGAGAGAGAAAGAAGCATATTTTTTTCAGCCCTTCTTTGGGCTAGGAGTTGCTATCAGACACATTTTTAAAGAAAATGACAGACAAAATAATTTGGAACTTGTGACTTTATATAGCCTGTAATTAAAAATTGCTTATTTCAGTGTTTTGTTGATGGTTACTAAGTTTAGAATTAAATAATTACACAAAAGGCCTGCTGGAATTCTGATTCCCCTGACTGAAGAAACAGCATGTTGGAACAGCATGGGTGAAGGAGAAGAGGTCAGAACGAGCTTGGTGTGTGTGGCGAGGAGGCCAACCAGACCAGGGAGAAGGGTGAAGGTTGATGAGGTTGGGTGGCTGCAGTGGGATTGTGCTCTGGAAGCCTCCGAGTCTGAACTCAGTGACTCTTGGGAACCACTTGGGAAGTAGGAGGGCTCCCTGAGTCCTGCTGACTCATTTCACTGGCAGTTACTTAAGTGGTGCAAGGGAAGAGAGGGAGGACCAGTGCATTGCTTCTTGAGAAAGAGCCTCTGAGGGGATATTAGGAAAACTGTGGGATTTTGAGATAAGGTGACCTGACATAAATCACTTCCAAGTCTGTATCTGTAAATTCTACTCATGTTTAAGAAAAAATACAACAATAAAGCTCCCAGATTGAGAGGGTGAATTTCTTTCCATTTCAGCCTTAATTATATTACAGTAAAGGGAGAGAATTGATTCTTCAGAGTAGAGTGAACACATACAGATAAAACAGGCTCGTCTCCTGGTGTTTAATGAAGCATTGCTGGACCATTGTCTGATCTTCTGTAAATTGCAGGAAGGTGGAGCACGGATCTCACTACTCTCAGTTCCCTGCTGTTGATGCAGTTTACGTAACTCCCTCTGGCTTTTGAAGAAGGCGCTGGAAGAATTGACTGGCAGCTTTGTTCAGACTCATTTATACTAGCAAGTGGATGACTTAACTTTGGGTAGTGGCTCACTAAAAGTTCCTCTGTACTGCAGGTCTTTGCCCTGATTGGGAATCTTGGGATCCTGCAAAGCCCGTGGACAATGCCCGGGAAGCCATGCAGCAGGCTGATGACTGGTTGGGAGTCCCACAGGTAAGAGCTCTGCCTCCTTAATACTTTGATTGTCTGAATGGTTTTCTATTGTCAAGTCAGTCAGTAAGCTTTGATTAAGCCCCTGCTATGTGCCAGGTGCTGTGTTAGGCACCGGGTGTACAAAGAAAACATGACACCCCTTGCCCTCGAGGAGATGACACTTTTGGGAAAGACAAGCAAACAGGCACACAGATTTTCCCCCCAGGTAGCTAAACAAAAGTATGTTTTCCTGGCTCAGTAGACAGTGCAGGTTCTTCCAAGTAGAGGTGGTTGGCTTACTATTTTTAATATTGGTGAGGACTTGGCAGACTATTAAGGGATGTGCCTTTAGTGCCTGGAATGATCACAAGATGAATCAATATTGGCAAAAAGCCTGGCATAGGATAGAAGTTGACCTGGCTCTACAGGAGATGTCATGCAAATGTCAAATGAGATATTTTTAAAGCACTTAGCACAGTGCCTGGCACGTAGTAGGGACTTAATAAATGCTTGGCCCCTTCCTCTTGTACTAAGCCATGCCCTTAGATTGTTCCATAGCTTTGAGGGAATTTGACTTTTGCCAAAAAAGGGTTAAAGCTAACTCGGGCTGTATCTCTAACCCCAGCTTAGATGAATGAATGAAAAGGTGTTTATTTAAAACTGAGTCTGTGCCAGGCAGGGGAATAAGGGTTAGAGATATCAATTCCAAAGAAAGAAAACCCTGTCCTCCTGGAGTTTACATTCTAAATAAGGGGAAATAGCATCTGTTAGGGAATGGTGGCCAGGGAGTGATGATTGAACCATAGAGCTCCATTCTTGATTGACACGCCCTTTCCAGGAATGGCAGGGTTGATTGGTTCATAGGCCCCAAAGCTGCCCTGGAGTCAGGAAGACCTGAATTCAAATCCAGCCTCTGGCACTTGATACCTATGTGACCTGGGGCAAGTTTAAAAGGACACCTCTCAGTTTGCTCATCTGTAAAATGGTGATAATGGCAGCATTTACCTCTCCTGGGTGCTGTGAGGACTGAAGGACATACCATAAGTAAAGTGCTTGCAAGCCTAACACAGGGCTTCTTACCCATTTTGGTGTCCTAGACCCCTTTGGCCTTCTGACAAAGCCTGTGGGCACCTTCTCAGAATAATGTTTTTAAACACATAAAATAAATTATCTTGAATTACAAAGGAAGGGGCAGCTGGGTGGTGTGGTGGATAAAGTACTAGACCTGGAACTGAAAGATTCATCTTTCTGAGTTCAAATCTGGCCTCACATGCTTACTGCCTGTGATCCTGGGCAAGTCGCTTAACCCCGTGTGCCTCAGTTTCCCCATCTGTCAAATGAGCTGGAGAAGAAAACAATGAGCCACTCCAGTATCTCTGCCGAGAAAACCCCAAATGAGGTCACAGAGAGTGGGACAAGATGGAGAAAGACTAAACAACAGCACAATTACATGGAAGTGTAGTTAACAAAACAGGTTTTTGTGAAGTGAAGAGACTCCAGGTTAAGAATTCCTGCCTTAAGATCAAAAGGGTCTAAACGAAGATGATCTGAAGGGAAGGGATAGATTTAAGAGCCATCTCAGGGGAAGAATGAGCAGATCATGTTAAGAGTGCTGTGAATTCCTACTTCTGAATGTTCATTAATAGTTAGTATGATAACATAAACTAAAAAAAATTACTGCCTTAAAGCACTGTTTTTTGACTTAAACTCAAATGCTGGCTGCTATTATTATTACTGTTATTGATCTGATTCCTGTTCCCTGATCTAGAAGTGGACTGTGGGATTGTGGGTGGACTGTGGGTAAATGGCTGGAGTGTAGCAGCCTGGGCAGTGGCTCTGGCTCAGACCCAGAGTGGGGAAGCTGGTCACCCTCGAGGGATGGCATGTAGATGGCTGGAGGGCAGGATTAACAGAGAGAGAGCAGCCTGGGTCATTCCTGCCTTTGTTTTGTAACACAGCCTGGAGCCCAATTTGGGGAAAAGGTGTCTTGGGTTTGTGGATAATTTACCCTGAGGTAGTTGAGAACCGATCATCTCTGTGTTCTACCCAGGATCTTTTTAAAGGGGGTTTTCAAAACTTCTTTGTTCATTGTCAGAGTGAAAGGTGGTATATGGCTGAGGGCTGAGCACTGTTTTCTCTTTAAGGTTATCACTCCTGAAGAAATCATCCATCCCAATGTGGACGAACATTCCGTCATGACTTACCTGTCCCAGTTCCCCAAAGCCAAACTCAAGCCGGGAGCCCCTCTCAAACCCAAACTCAATCCGAAGAAGGCCCGGGCTTATGGCCGAGGTGAGGAGGGCCCTGGGAGGCCGAGTTCTACCTGTTACTGTTTCTAACTGAAAGGTCCATCTTTTCAGGGGAATCTCCAGGTGTGAGCTGTGCGTGGAATGTGTTTGCCTGATCCTTCCCACTGCCTGTTAACCGCTAGCTTACATCATGTTTGCAGCTGCCCCTTCCAGAAGTAAATGGGGCCCTTGTTAGCCTCTACCAGACCAACACTTTACTGAAACCTCCTGGATATGATCTCCATTATGCTTGCTTTAAAAAAAAATAGCAATAAATATCATTTTGAAGAGGTCAAATCCCAGAACGATCTGATTTGTAACCTAGAGAAGGTCTACTTTTAACAAAGGTCTAAAATAGTGGTGACTCTTTTTAATTTTTTTTAAATGAACAAAATTCTTTCCCTTGGATGGGGAAGAAAAATAAAAATAAAACTCTTGTGACAAGTGTGTGTAGTCAAGCAAAGCAAATTCCTGCATTGGCCATAAAAAGCAGTATCTCCTTCTGCCCCCTGTGCCCATCTTCCCGCTCGCAGGAGGTGGGAGCGAATACATCATCTGTCCTCTGGAGTCGAGGCTGGGCCTCGTTTTGATCAGAGTTCATAAGCCTGTCCAAGCTCTTTCTCTTTACAATTCTGTTGTGGTTGTGGAAATGGTTCTCTTGGTTCTGCTCCCTTCACTCTGTATCAGTTCAGACAAGGCTTCCCAGGTTTCGAGGAAGTTCTCACCCCTTGGTGCTTACTTTTCATTAAGACGTAAGAAGTGTGGACTATGGAGGGCCTGATTCCCGGAGTCATAGCACTTGGACTCCTGGCTCCACCACTTCCACCTGGGTGACCCTGCCTAAGTTCCTTCACCTGTTTAGGCCTCGGTCTCTGTGTCTTTTAAAATTTAAGATCTGGACCACATCGCCTCCCAGGCCCCTTCGAGCTTGGGACCTGTGTTTCTGTGACAGAAGGCAGTGAGCTGTGGAGGTTGTCCAAAGCCAAACTCGTTCTGTTTAGACAGCTGTGGTTGAAGGTGCACTGGGCCTGGTCAGGAAGATATCTGTGTTCAAGTCTGGCCTCAGACACTCACTCGCTGTGTGACCCAGGACAGGTCACTAACTTCTGTCTGCCTCAGTTTCCTCAGCTGTAAAATGGGGATCATCATAGTGCCTGCTTTCCAGGGTTGTGGTGAGGATCACAGAGCTAAGGTGTTATGTGAAATGTGTTAATTGCTTTGCAAACCTGGTTCTGATTCTCCACCACCCTCTTTGGGGTTTTCTTGGCAAAGATACTTAAGTGGTTTGCCATTTCCTTTTCCTCTTCATTTTACCAGTGAGGAAACTGAGGCAAACAGGGTTAAGTGACTTGCCCAGGGTCATTCAGCTAGTGAGTGTCTGAGGCTGGATTTGAACTCAGGAAGCTGAGTCTTCCTGTTTCTAAGCCAGTGCTCTGTCTACTGTGCCATCTAGCTGCCCTCTGCAAACCTTAAAATGCGATATAAAGGCTTAGTTATTACTGTTACTTACTATTTTATTATGGGAGAATTTTCCTGCCTAGAATGAGTTTACTCTTTAAAGTACTAGCATTAGTAGTTAACATAATATCCCTATAAACTCACATTTTTAAAGCCCTTTAAGGTTTGCAAAGGACTTTTCTTATAACAGTTTTCTGAGGTAGAGTGTGACAAGGGTTATTATCCCCATTATACAGATAAAGAAATGGAGGCTCTCAGAGGTTTAGCAACCTACCCAGTGTCAAAGGTGGGATTGGAGCCCAGGTCCTCCCACCTCAGAGTTCAGCACTCTGTCCCCTAGGCCACACTGCCTTTGAAAATTAAAAAGAGGCTGGCTCTCTGAATGAATGGCAGCTGACATTTATCTAGTGCTTTTTATAGACTCTCTCATTTGAGATGCACAGAAAACCTGTGAGGTTGGTGCTGTTATCGTCAGTGTTTTGTTAATGAGGAAGCTGGAGCTCAGTTTAAATGACTTACCCAGAATCCTCCCCAGTTGGCAAGCCTCACAGAGGCCAGATTTGAACCCAAATCCTGACTCCAAATCTAGCTTTTTATCCACTGGGCCACACTACACTGCTTCCTCAGAGCTAAGCCAGTGATTTCTTTACAAAAAAAATTTTTTTTTTGATCTCTGCTTTCTCTAAGACAAAATCAAATTGAGGCCAGCTTTAGGCATTAAGTGTTTCATGCCTGAGCTTCCTTGAAAGCCTAACAGGTTACAAACAGCCCAGTCCTTTTGGAGACTGACCTGATGAGATGGATTAAATCTCATCCCAGCACTAATGGTTTGTTTGTAATGAGCTTATCGCGAGCTTTCATATTTCCTCACCCAACATGAGTCAGTTTCCTTTCCCCATCGTCCCTCACTGTGTAGTTCAGGAATTCAATGGCTCGTACCCTCTTCCTTCATCTGCTGCTTTGTCGGGTTTGACTCAGCATGGACGGCTTTGTGTTGAGGAGCAGAAGCTGCTATTTCGGGAGCCAGGGCAGGCAGTAAGAGGGGGACGAGATCTGACGGGGCCTCCGTGGAAAGTCTGACTTTTGAGACATCACACCTGTCCCATTATGTGTCAGAGGGAATGAAACAGCCAGCGTTCTTGGAAAATGAGCCTAAGTCTCCTCATGTTAATGTGCTGTTCATTTGGGAGCAAAGTCTCGATGACTAAATGAAAGAAAATTTCCATTGTCTTTGTTACAAGTGCAGTTTTCCTTCTAGAAGAGAGTGCGGTTTTCCTTCTTAGCCTTTCTTGGGTTGCCAGGACTTTTTTTTTTTGATGGCTTGGCTAAAAAGAATGAAACGTGAGAGTGCTGGGGTAAGATAGACCTATATTGCTACAGATATCTCTTTAATTATGCAGATGACTCTGGGAGCATGCTATGCCATTGGAGAGAATGTCCAAACCCATGGGATCACAGATCCATTAATCTATTTTATTTGAGGAAAAGTCTTGACTGTGTAGAAGACCTCCCTCTCTGGTCCTTTCTTCCTGGCACAGTAGCTTTTGTCCACACAAATAAACCCAATAGGGGAATGTGTTTGAGATTTGTGATTGTGACCGCTATCTCTGAATCAAAAACTCACATTAGCTGGTTTCAAGACAAACCTTTTTCTGCCGTTGAGATCAGGTTAATGGGTTCTGCCGAATGATTTCCAACAGCTGTCCTGCCATGACCATGTTCAAGTTCTTACTTGTATTGTAGACCCATCATGGCGGTATATGGCTTGTGGGCTTGACTGGTAGAGGGGTTTTCAATCTTCCAGAGAAGAGCTACATTACAGCTATTTCAGCTTGTTGTATTAGTCTTCTGGGGTTGCTCCAAATCTGTGATTTCATCAGTGTTGTGTGGAAATTCCCTCTGAGAATACAAATCATCCCCTGTCCTGCCACTTAGAGATTTGTCTGAGGCAGTGAGGTTGTATCTCATGGTCACGTAGCCAATACGTGTGAGAACCCAGGTCTTGCTATGATGAAGCTCGCCTTATGCCAGCTTGGCCTTTCTATACCAGTTTTATAAAAGTGACTTTCAGTTGTCTGGACACTGCCCGAGTTAATGCTGTAACCTCATTCAGATAACTTTCCTAGCACTTTTGGTAACTTGTGTTGTGAATGCTTAACAGGAATTGAGCCCACTGGAAACATGGTGAAGCAGCCGGCCAAATTTACAGTGGACACTATTAGTGCTGGACAAGGAGATGTGATGGTTTTTGTGGAAGATCCCGAAGGAAACAAAGAGGAGGTATGTGGGCTTGAGGATGCCACTTCTTCCCTGGCTCGGCGCTTGGTCATAGTGCAGAACACAAGCCGGGCTATCAGCTGTCTCCATTAAACCCAGATTAGACGTGGTACCACCTGCTTTCAGCCTTTGCCCCATTGTTTCCCCAATAGCATCCATAGCCACTGGTTGATGGCATCATTTACTGGGTAGAACTTTGGGTGGACCCTCCTAGGACATTGAAAAACAAAAAGGATATTTGACTTTTTGTTTTGGGGAGTGATTTCCTTGGCAGAGAGACAGCTCTTATTCAGTCAACATCAATAAGCATTTATTATACACCCAGTATGTGGCATACACTGTGTAAAGCCCTGGGGATATGAAGACAGAAATGAAACAATACCTGCCCTCATGGAACTTACTTTTTATCAAGGAAACAAAATATATACAAAATAACTGAAAGGTAATTTGGGGGAGGGGATAAAAGATGGAGGATTTACCTTAATGTCAGATGCTTATTTTTAGGAAATATAAGGAATACTTTGGCTCATTGATGGCTGGACATGAATATTCTAGAATTTAAGAGTTCTTATCCCCTAAAGACAAAAGGTGGGTGGGTGAGTGTCTCTGAAAATGAATAATGAACTTTGGGCTTCCCATCTCCTCTCTAAAAGAAAATTAAAGTTTGGTATGGTGTTTTGTTTTCGTGAACTTCTGACTCTGTGGCCACTGTTGTTTGTTTAAACACTTTAGAATTCCTGTTGTTTTTAGGAATGTCTTGGAGAAGAGGTGGTTAGAGATCCCAAGTCAATGGCTTGAGAGACTGGTCCGGCAGTATATTGGCTGCTGGCTAAGACATTCCTGCAGTAGTAGAATGCCATCTCTGATAGTTCTTGGTGCTGCTTTTGCTTCTAGGCACAAGTGACTCCGGACAGTGATAAGAACAAGACTTATTCTGTTGAATATCTTCCTAAGGTCACTGGACTTCACAAAGTAAGATTTGGGCTTCTGGGGAGATCTGTTGGAGCTGGTAACCTAGGGTGGGGTTGAGACATCTTTAACCCTCACTGGTTAGCTGAGAAATTAGTAGTTCATTGTTTTAGATTTGTTGAACTTCACTTTGGACATCCTTTGCCATGACAAAGGACACTCATTGATCTTGCTTTAAACAAATCTCTAAAAGCTAAAACAAAGCAAAACAAAAAGCCTCTGATGTTTCCTGACTGCATAAATTACTAAACTGTGGGGATCTTTGTTAATGTGGAAGCTTAAATAATTTATACCTTCTTAACACTCAGCTGTAGGATCACTTTAAGCATTTCCCTAAGATGCCAACCCTTAAAACACCATGAGGAAAAGAAGGGGCTGAGAAATTAGAACAGAGAGGAATATGACAAAGCATGTTATCAGAGGGACCTTGTCCTGTCCAAGGTCCCAGGGAGATGGTGGAAAAACTAATACTAATAACAATAATAATGATGATGATGATAATAGCTAGCATTTATATATGTGCCAGGCATTGTCCTAAGCACTTTAAAAATATCATCTCTTTTGATCCTCACAACAACCCTGGGAGGAAGGTGCTATTGTTATCTTCATTTTACATTTGGGGAAACTCAGGCAGAGAGAGGGGAAGTGACTTGCTCAGGGTTGTATAGTTGTGTAGCACTGAGTGTCTGAGGCTTGATTTGAACTCAGGTCTTCCTGACTCCATGTCCAGTGCTCTATCCACTGCACTTCTAGCTGCTTCTGGTCTTGACATTCTTAATCTGACCACTGGAAACTCCATCTCGCTGTGCCCTTTGGTAGCATTAGAGTCCATTTGACCATGACAGATTGGTCTGTAGGATGTGGCTATGTGCTGGGAGCTTTAGCTGTTAGGTGACCACCTTCCAGTGGAGGCCAGTGATCTAATGTAGTTTTTCTGTTAGGAGAAGGCACCTGGGAGTGCAAAGGCTTTAAATATCTCTGTCTGTCTGTCTGCCTCTCTCTCCGTTATCTTCCTTGACTTCCTGTTAGGAAAGTGACCTCTGTGTCTTTGAAAATTCTTAAAGAGAGAGCTCACCCGAAGCCTACATTTTCTTCATCATCATCATCATCATAGCTAACATTTATATTGAGCCTACTGTGTGTAGCCTACTCTAGTGCCAGGCACTGTGCTAAGCACTCTATAGTTATTATCTCATTTGATCTTTGCAACAACCCTAGGAGGTAGGTGCTATTTTTAACCCCCATTTTACAGATGAGGAAACTGAGGAAAGCAAAGATGAAGTGATTTACTCAGTGTCACATAGCGGGGAGTATTTGAGGTTGGATTTGAACTCAGGTCTTCCTGACTCTAGGCCTAGTGCTTTCTACATTGTGCCATCAGCTGTCTCATATACATACCTATAATATTGGAGGAAACCTAAAATACTGGAGGTCTTCCTGCAAAACTGGTTCTTTGTGTCCTAGCCAATAGAGTCAAGCTATGCTTGCTTCCAGTTCAGTTGTTTCTAGGTAGCACCAATGGCCCACACTCAACCCACCCTGCAAGAGAGCAGGAGAACGCTCCCTGCCTTGTAGCTTCATCATGTATTTAAAGCTCTGTCATGCAAAGGAGACTTTGGCTGTGGTTACTTCTAAATATGGCAGGGCCATCTTTTAAAGGCCCTCACCTTTACTGAGGGCTGGATGTAACCATCTTTGGTCAAACTAGCTTTCATCCCCTAAATGCAAGCACAGGCTTTTTGGGGAAGGACTTCAAGGTTTTCCAGCTGTTCTCCAGCTTGGATGAGTGTTTCTTTTTCCTTTTGTTTTCATAAGTTCACATTTTTGCTGGTTGTACAGCAGCTATTGGTGAGCACAGGGATGGGGGTGAAAGGGAGGGAGTCCTTTTTATTCAGAGTTTCAAATATAAATCCTTTAGCCATTCATTTTCAGTGTCAGCATTCCTGACTTTGAATTTTATACTTGTCAAGCAAGAGATAGCCTGGCAGAGGAGGACTTGGAGGCAGCCATGATATTAAGGATCTAGTCCTGTTTCCCAGACTAATACCCCTCTGTGCCTCACTTTCCTTTCTTTCATCTGACGTGAGCCGGGTTGATGCTGAAATGGATTTAGAGTTAGAGAGCAGCTGTTGCAGTTGGGGAGAACTGAGTTTGGTTTTAAAACTTCCTCAGACACTCTTTAGCTGTGTTAACCTTAGACAAGTCATTTAACTTATCTGTACCTCAGTTTCCTAATATGTAAAATGGGGATAATCGTAGCACCTCCCTACCCCCAGGGTTGTTGTGAGGATCATGGATCAACATGTTAAATCTCTTCTTCTTCTTTCTCTTTCTCTTCTTTTTCTTCCTCCTCCTCTTCTCTTCTTCTTCCTCCTCCTCCTCCCCCTCCCTTAATTTCCTCATAATGAAGGAGTTTGACGTCATGGTTTTGGAGGTCTTCCCTTCTTGCTCTAACTTTATGATTCTATGGTCCAATGATTAGGTCCCTTCTAGCACTACCATTATGTCCAACAGGTTTTATTTTTTTCTACTTGTTTTATTTTTTAAGGTTTTACTTAGTCTTTTTATTTTCCATCACACTCAGTTTGTGACTTCTTTTCCCACCTCCTCCCACTCTGATTAAATCTTCCTTTGTATCATTGGGGGGAAAAAAAAGCAGTTCAGCAAAACCAACCAACCAGGTCAGATAGTGTATGTGGCATTCTGTATCCATTGTTCCTTGTCTCTCCACCAAGAGAAGGAAAGTGTTCCATCATCTCTTCACTGGGATGGAGATGAGTGCTCCAGCTCATCAGAGCTTGGCTCCACTGGTGGCTTTTGCAATGGGGGTTGGACATGCCTGAAGCCCCTTTCTCTGTTTCTTGCAGGTCACAGTTCTCTTCGCTGGTCAACACATCTCTAAGAGTCCATTTGAGGTCAATGTTGACAAGGCCCAGGGTGATGCTAGCAAAGTGACAGCGAAAGGACCAGGCGTGGAAGCCACCGGCAATATTGCTAATAAGGCAACTTACTTTGACATCTTCACGGCAGGTAGAGTGGCCTTTTCTTCCAGGACATAAAATCATGGCCCTGGGCTGTCCCATCATTTCTCTGAGCCTCAGTTTCTTCTTCTGTAAAAGGAGGGGATTGGCCTTGAAGGTCCTTTTTAGCTCTAAATTTTATCCTCTCCCAAGGAGCTTAGCTTCTGTTGGAGAGAAACCACATGTACATAGTAAATACAAGGTAACTCCAGGGGAAGAGGAGGGTAATCACTTGTGCCTGCAGGCTCAGTAATGACCCTTATGAGAGGTGCCACTTGAGATAAGTTACAACACTTAGCTTGACTTTCTGAAGTTGGATAAAACTTTGGTTAGTTATTAAAAATAGCTTTTTTTTTCAGACCCCAAATTTAAGCCCTGCTGAATGTGACTTCTAAGCATTGTTTTGTTGGGAGGGGTTGGGATACAGCCTAGGCTGGATGGCTGTTTGTGCTTTGGGGGCTGAAGGCTTCACAAGCCTCAAAAAAAAGGTCCTGAGTAACTGGCCATTTCTCCATCTTTCTCGGTGGTCCTTGGAGGTGGGGCAGGCAGGCTACCTGTGAATAGGTAGGCCTCAGGAAAGAGTTCATAAGCCAGGGGAAGTTATTTGTCAAGGCTATAAGTAGCCTAAAGCAGACTAAGCCAGTGGCCTTAGTGGAACATTTCTTCCACTGATTTTCTGAAGGAAACCTTTTTAAGAGGGGCAGGTTTAGAACCTGAGAACTTCAGAGGATTAACCTTTCCTGGCAGAGTGGAAGGGTTCCCACAGATGGACCAAGCCGATCTTAATCTCTTTCAACTGTGTTACCTGGGGAGGGAAGGAGACAGAGATGAGCTGATGGGCCACTATGGACCCTTCAAAATGAACATGAAGGAGAGGATGGCTTTGTTTCAGAGTTGTTTACTTAGAGGGACCTATGGTACCTTGGACCTTGGAGAGCAATTTAAATGGCATCCATCTCCCAGGACTCAATAAACCTAGGAAAGCAACTGGAGATCTGAGAGTCTAGCTTGGTCTCCATCGAGGGCTGAGCCAGGATTCCCAAGGTAAATGTCATTTCGTGCCATCTGTCCCATAAGGCTTTGATGCGACTTTGTACCTTCAAGCAATTCATTGAGTCATTTCTCTTCTGCAATGTAAGATTTTTCTATCTTTCAGTCTGCTAGCATTTTTAAGCACCTGCACTGTGCCAGGCTGTCTGCCAGGCGTGAAGGGTACAAAGAGCTAGATGCAAACAATTCTTGCTCTCAAGGAGCTTACCTGGTATGAAGGAAGACAATACATGTATGTGTGTATGCATATGCATATATGTATATGTATGTGCCTATATATTTAAGTATATAGGTGTATGTATATGTATGCCCAAAATAAATACAAGGTAATTTTTTTTTGGGTGGGGGCTGTGGGTGTAGCGTGCGGATGATATTGGCAGCAAGAAGAACTAGGACAGACCTCACATAGGAAGGGGTCATTGAGATGAGCCCTGAAGAAAACCAGGGATTCTAAGGAGAGATATGAGGCAGGAGGGCCCCTCCAGGCATGGGGAAAGGAGTACAAAGATTCTGATGACAGCTTCTCAAAGACCTTTCATCCCATCAAGATTAGCTCTCTGTGTTAAGGACAGAGAATCTTATTCTTCCTATGTGCCCCTTCTCCTCCCCCAAGCTTGGACAGTGGGTGTGAAGGTTTCTTGGCGTTTGATAATATTTCATGCTTTTCAAGACTCTTTCATGTTTATCTGATTGTGAGAGAGGTAAGGCAGGTATATTATCTTTTGACAAATGAGGCATCAGGTAATCAGGCATCTTCTCTCTGGTTACTGAGTTGAACAGATGTCTGACTCAGCTTTTCTTGGAACCGGTTGTTCAGCTTTTCAAAGATTTTCCCCAGGCATAGTTTGCTTTCTTGCTGTGAAATTTGGTAAAGCCATAGCTTGGCTAACGTTACTGTTTCATGTAATATCTTTACCAGAGGGACCCAAGCATAAGCAGTCCGTCTGCTAGCAATTATGGGACCAACTGTTCTATTGTGTGTGATGCAGAATAGACTCTAGGGTCTTCTGTCTTTTGGGTTGTGAACTTCCTGAGGGAGGTGTCTGACCTCTTGCAAAATGATGGATCTCTTGCAGGAGCTGGTGTGGGAGACATTGAAGTTGAAGTGGAAGACCCTCAAGGGAAGAAAACAGTAGAAATGGTCATGGAAGACAAAGGGAACCAGGTCTACCGCTGTGCCTACAAACCCGTTCAGCCTGGTCCCCATGTGGTCAAGGTCTCATTTGCTGGAGAATTTATTCCCAAAAGCCCCTTTACCGTGAATGTTGGTGAAGGTGGGTACTTTAGCAGAATGAAAAGAGTCATTATTTGTGTTATTTAGGAGAACTGAATTCCTGCTGTCTCCCTAGGGATCTAGTTGATACAGAAATGCCTTTTGTGTTTCTCTCTTATAGTTAAAGTGACTTTATGACTCGAAAGTTGACAGCACAAAAAGATTTGTGCTGTCTTTGGCGCCCTCAGCTCCAGAGAATGTGAACTTAAAGAATAGACTTCTTTCTCCAGCTTCTTCCTTTTATTTTTTCACTCTCTCATTCTCTCCTAAACCAGTACTGAACTTGGTTTCTCCTTATTCTGTCCCCTGCTCCTGCACTCTGCAGCCTTCTCTCTCCTGATCCATTTCATTTGGGGGATTTTGGACTTCACAACGAATAATGGCTTCCTAATTGAGAGGGGCTGTTCCAAGCCGGCTTGCTGGTAAGGGGTGGGCAAGGCGGTGGTCCTGGGCTTTTCTTGGCTTGTGCAGCAGCATGTCATGCATGCTGTATTTGTCATCCTTGTGGGTGAAAAACCAAACCACTGTGGTCATCTCTGAATCACTGATCCAAACGTGCTGGAGCCACCACAGTGCTGGTAGCCAGGGTGCAGTGAGATGGCACTGAAGAAGAGCCCTTGCAGCTGATTCTGTTTAAACTCCCACCATTAGCTAGTGGCTTGATTTACTTTAGTGTTATGCTTTTTAATGTTATGACTATAAAGGTCGATCGTAACTCTCCCTCAGAGTCTGTAACGTTTCCTAGCATTTTTCTCACCCTTTGAATTATTACACAGCCCATTTACTAAACAAGAATCTTTTTTTTTTTTTAAATAGGGAAGCCCACGGGCAGCTGGGTGGTGCAGTGGATAGAGCACTGGCCCTGGAGTCAGGAGGACCTGAGTTCAAATCTGGCCTCAGACACATAACACTTACTAGCTGTGTGACCCTGGGCGAGCCACTTAACCCTAATTGCCTCACCAAAAAAATAAATAAAATAGGGGAGCCCTGTCAAGATTTATTTCCATTATGACCAGCTGATTTCTCACTCGCCTTGACACTGGGCAGAATTGTAAGTTCATAAACAATGTTGTCTCTCTGAGACATATTTTAGGAAAGTATTTAAATTTTTTAAAAAATCCCATAAAAGCATTTGAAAAGTTGGCCTTTCTCTTTATGGAGTAAACAGCTGAGGTCATTGACCCATGCATAGAAAATACCATCCTCTCTCCTACTGAAAGTTAGTATTCTTCTTTTATCTTCCTATGGCAGAGAAGCCAGAAAAGGGAGCTTAAAACTTAAAACTCCAGTGATGAGGGACTGTGAAGTTGGCAGTTAGGTTTAAGAAAAAACAATCCTGTACTATACATTTTGTCCAATGAATCCCCATTACCTTTGCTAATGAGACTTTCCCACTTGGCATTGTTTTCCAATGCGTTTCCTGTGCTTTTTATTGTTTTTTTTTTTAATCAGAAATAGTCCATTTCTTAAAAATCAGTCTTCAGATTTTTGGCTTTCTCAAGAGTGGGTAAACTGTTAGCAATTTCTGACCTTCATTTGAGTGTTGGGTTTTTTTTTTTAAACCTACTTTAAACTAGACACAGAGCTCACATTGAGCAGCATTTTTGGGTAAAGAGTCATGGCTTTGCACATATGCCAACCATTTTATAATGTGTAGTTTTTGAGCCTCAAACAGTCTCTATTAGCAGAGATTGGGTTGGACCAGTTGGGTGTTTTTTGTTGTTTTTTAAAATTTCTTCTCCTCCTTGACTCTAGTCTGGCTGCAGCCTAGGGAGAAAATAAGCTTTAAAAATGGCTGACCCAGGATCTGGCCCGCAATCAGACGTTTAAAATCCCATTAGTTGATGGGGCTTTAAAGGGAGTCTTAGACAAGTCTGATGTTCCTAATTACTGGGCTCTTGGGCAGTGCACTGGGGTTTGCATGGAATCCAGTGATGTGGTCTGAACTCCACCTTCCCTTCCCAAGATGGAATCAATGGGAACCTTCAGCCGGTCCCAGTGGCTCACCAGCCTGACCCGATCATGCCAACTTTGTTTCCATCTGTGTCGTGGCTGGACAAAGCTATGCTTCTGTGTGTGCTGGTTTCGTGCGTGCTCTGAATGGGACCTTGGGTCTTGGGGGCGATGTCAGCATTTTCTTTCTGTAAAGTAAACAGCTTTTTTGGTGCATGGCGGCTCCAAAGCTGCCTTGGCCGGCTTAGGTGGACTTGGGGAATGAAAGACTGATCTGATGCCTGAATTGTGTCTGCAGCCTGCAATCCAAATGCCTGTCGGGCCAGTGGTCGAGGCCTGCAGCCCAAAGGAGTGAGGATCCGAGAGACGGCAGACTTTAAAGTGGACACCAAATTGGCGGGAAGTGGGGAGCTCAGTGTGATGGTGCGGGGGCCCAGTAAGTACCATTTTCCTTGTTCATGTCAAGTCAGACAAGCATTTATTAGGCGCTGGGGATATAGTCTAGGATCCCAAGGAACCCACCATCTAAGTGTAAACAACTCTGCACAGACAAGATACAGGGAAAATGGGAGATAATCATAGAGGGAAGGCTCTGTCATTAAAAAAAAAGCTTGAATTGATACCATTTTTACAGCGCTGTAATTTCCCCCAGCACCCTGCCCTCTCTCAGAGAGCCGTCTTATATAATAAGTAAAATTTTTTAAAGTAAGAAGAAGAGGGGAAAAAATCAGTATAACTGATTATGAATTGAAAAAGTCTAAAATAGGTGATATGCCATACTCCTGGGCCACTCACCTCTGCAAAGGGTGGGGTAGGGGTATCTTTGTTATTTCTTCTTTGGAGCCAGGCTTGTTCTTTGTAATATTGCAATAACTTAGCTTTGGGCAAATAACTTAATCTCTCTGGGCCTCAGTTTCCTCATTTGTAAAATGAGGGGATTGGATTGCTTCAGATCTATGGTCTTGTGACCTCAGATTGTAGCAGTGCAAGCACGTTTCTCTGAGTCATACCTGAGCTCTGGAGTTCTGGTCTGTGGCCTTGGACCAATCATCTGCCCTCTTGGAGTGTTTGTCTTAGGCCAGTAGATAGCAAGAGCCAGGTGCTTGGCACAGTCGATACTTTAAAAGTGCTTGTTATTCGTGAAGGAATTCGTTTTGTCATCTGTCATAAGTATCATGCCTTCCTACATTGAAGGATCATTCTAAAGTCTGCGAGTGATGACAATATACGGAAGTGCTTTATTGAGAGAAGTGGGAGGCAATATTGTTACCTTCTAGAGACACAGGAAATGCTTCCATTATCATGGTGATGTTGAAGGCTCCAACAGCTTGGCCTCCTGGCTTCCCCTGGGGTTGACCCCACCTATGCTAGATCACTCAGCACTGGCCTTCTTCCCCTTTTCACTCTGCTTGGAATTCATCTGGCACCCAAAAGCCATTGACTGAAGCTTTGATTGCCACACCCTTTTACAGATGGTGTTCTAGACACTGGGTGGGGGACTGGCTTAGATGTCTTTTATTGATTAATCCGGTTCATTCAGCAAACATTCTCTGAATGGCTGCAGGATCCCAAGTGCTGTTCCAGGTTTTGGAGAGAAGAAAACCAATCCAAACCAAACCTAGCCTCTGCCTGCAAGGAGCTTACCATCTACTTTATGAAAAACGAGACTAAGAGTGCTGATTTTCTCAAAAGTTGCTCAGTTATGTGAAGGGGCTCTGTATGCCATTGGGTGTTGGGGAAGTGGGGCGGGTTCCTCGTCCCCGCCTCCATTTCGGCTCCTTAACTGAAGGACTGCTATCCTTGTCTTGTTTTCAGCTGCTCTTCCCGTTCTCATGAATTTTTTGCTTATTATTTATTATTATTATTACATCATCATTATTTAAGCCATCAGAAGTAGCTTCAGCAGGTTCAGTCATGGGGGCTCAGAAATCTCCTGCTGGCTTGTTGTAGTATGGTCCTGGGTGTTGGGCCGAGGAAGGAATCTTGCTCCGAGAGGACAGATCAGACTTGACCAACACCCAAGATTGGACATGACTTGTTGTGTTGCTGTATGGGAGGCTGTGGTTCTAGGCGGGCTGATGCCAGAGCAGCGTGGGGGCAGCCCTTGTTCTGGGCCTGTTGCAACAAGAACTGAAGAGTTGTCTGACCTTGGGTCCCATGAGTGACTCACCACCTTTCCTTGCCAAACCACAAGGCTAGACGTAAAGCAAGTTCCTACCTGTTATCCCAGACTCAGGTTTTAGATACAGTGTCTAAAAACTGTTCTCTGAGAAGAAGCCTGTGGGGGCTTTTCAAGTTCAATGCTTCTGCTTGGCTTGGCCGGCTTGGATTGAGACATGCTTGCCCTGATAGCTTTGAAACAAGCGTTCCCCCTAGACCTTACAGTTCGAATCCAGCCACAGACACTCACTACCTGTGACCTTGAACAAGTCATTTAACCTTGTCTACCTCAATTTCCTCAGCTCTAAAATGGAGATAATAATAGCACCTGCCTTCCAGGGTTGTTGTGAGGCTCAAATATTTGTAATCATAGATATTTATTTACTAGAATTCCCAAACTTATTTGGTCTACCGCCCCCTTTAAAAAAATTATTCAGTGCCATCTAGGAAATCTACTTTCTTTAATCCTTTAATGTTTTTTGAAATTTGTGCCATTTTGAATCACTGCTGCCCCCTGGATTGTTCCAGTGTGCCCCAGGGGTGGGATTGTCCACTTTGTGAACCTATGTATATAAATACTTGGACCGGTCTTTGAGAAGCATTTAGCACAGTGCCTGGCACATATTAGGTGCTATATAGGTGTTTATTCTCCCCCCATCCCCCTTCCCCACACACAAAGGAGGAGCTTTGGTCACTGTCTAGGTAGATAGTATGATGTAGTGGGGTTATAGGATCATCAGTGAGGAACTGAATGGAGCCTCAGAAAGAGACTGTTTAGAGATGAGGAAACCGAGGGATTTTCTGATTTTGTATTAATCACATCATGGGAAATGGAAGGGGAGAAGCAGCATAACTTTTCATTTGCCTTAAAAATTCCATGATGTGAGGGACCTTCTCCATGCAGAGAGGCACCTTCCAGCCTTTCACTTAAGGTGGGCTTGGAAAGAGCGGCCCACCCTGTGGTGTGGGAACCCCCTCCAGTTTAGGAAGATGGAACGATGGGGATTATTTATGTCCTGTCTATCTGAGTTACTGTACTCTCACCCCAGTCAGTTAAGGTTGATTTCATGTCACTAAAAGTAGCATTTTCTGATTTCAGTTTCCATTCAGAGAGGCCCCAAGGCCTGTCTGAAGGGTATGGCCATCAGCCAGTGAACAGTCAGGGTGAATGAATGGCTTCCCCTTCCTGCCCAACCAGGTTTTTAATCTCTCTTAATTGATAATTAGAGCTGTCCAGCTCTAAACTGAGAGAATTGGGATGGGGAGATTCCACTTTCCCCATCCCCATTTCACAGATGGGCAAATTGAGGCACAGAAGTTAAGTGCCTAGCCCAGGGTGGCACAGCTAATAAATGCCTGAGGCAGAACTGGAATCTTCCTGATGCTAGTTCTGGCTCCCCAGCCCATGTTGTTAATGAACTTGATTATCTAACAAACACCAGCAGTCCAACAGAAGGAGCAGCCTAGCCTCAAAGAAAGCCTTAAGCTCCGCTCTTCCGTGTTAACTAAAAGCATCAGCTCCGACAAGACAAAGTAATGGCAGCAGCCTGGGCACGCGCGGGCCTGCTTGTGATTGGTCACTGCTGCTTCCCCCTTGATTTTAGTAGACGCGTGGAGCTCTTCTCATTCTGCTTTGTGCTGTAACATTGCATTTTTCTTTCCGTATTTCCTTGTGTTCTTAACATTGTTTATGGCATACCAATGTGGTGTTAAGCCTGTTCAGAGGTCCTGAGTCCAGATCCAAGCTCTAGCTCCACAGGTAAGTCAGTTACATTCTCTGGGCCTCAGTTTCCTCTTTACAATGAAAAGTTTGGCTTAGATGGGCCCATGGGCTCCCTTCCCTTCTTGGTCTGGATTGATTGCATCATAAGCTTTCTTCCCCTCTCCCAACCACCTCCCAGTGTTAGATCTAGAAGCTCTTTCCAGTTTCTGTTATTCCAAATAAAACAATAATGAAGTTAGGAAGTTTTTTGTGTCTTTTTTTTTTTTAAACACAGTAAGGATTTTTGTTTTACTATTTTAATTACCTTCTTATTGGACCTGTTTTGTTTTTTGTTTTTGGTTAGGCAATGGGGTTAAGTGAGTTGCCCAGGGTCACACAGCTAGTAAGTGTTATGTGTCTGAGGCGGAATTTGAACTCAGGTCCTCCTGACTCTAGGGCTGGTGCTTTATCCATGGCGCCACCTAGCTGCCCCTTAATTACCATCTGATAGAGTCCTAATAATGAGATCTCTGGGCCAAAGGGAATGATCAGTTTGGTTCCTCTTACTGGTCTTGTCAGATGCCCGGCACACAGTAGGTGCTTAATAAAGGCTTATTGACTTGACGCCCCAGAAAGATTACAGCTGTTCACAGTGTAGTGTGGTCCAATGGCTACTCCTCCCTTAGCCCCACCAGCACTGAATTTGGTTGTTTTTGGCCTGCCGTCCACTCTCTTCCTCCTCCAGGTTGACTCAGGGTTCTCAAGGGCCATGCCACAGCCACAGGCTGCCGAGTTAGAAAGGCTTTAGATATGGGCCTAGCCACGGACTGGAGATCTGTCTGAGAACCAGTCCAGCCAAGTCTGAAGACATTTGTCACCAGACTGGCCAAAGATGGGAAGAACTGCCGAGCCGTAGCTGCTCTTGAAGGCTGCTTGCTAAGTCATAGCAGGGTGGCATTGGTGGAGAGCGGGGAGCCACGTTGGCAAAGTCATAGAAGTAGAACTGTAGAAGCAACTCTTGTTTTAGATGGATGGGTATAAAATGGGTCCTCAAAGCTGTTTTAATTTGCACTTCTCTCCTTAGAGAGTTTGGAAGAAACTCTCCAGCAATGGCTACAATTTGCACTTTCTTCAGTTATTATTTTCTTGTGTCTCTGACCATTTTATCCACTGGGGAGCATGAGAATGACTCTTGTAATTTGAAAGGATTCATTATGGCTCCTTAACATCTAATTTTCCCCTCAGGCATTTGCCATACTCTCAAGGTAAAATTTCTTTTCATTTTGGAATACGTTGTTGTACAAAATTCCTTTAATTTTATATGCTATTTACTGATTTTTTTGGTAATTTCTTTCAATTTCTTTCCAGTAATTTCTTTCATTGTTTGATAGGTTTCTTTTCCCTATACTTGAGATATGCTGTTTCTTTGTCTTGCTATGTGTGTTGATTTTTTCCTGTGTTGATAACAGTATGGGGTATTGCTATTGGCTGTGGATTATTGATCCAATTTGCTGTTAGTCTGAACTCACTTTGCACTAGAAGGTCATCCATTCTTCCTAAAGAGTGTCTGGGACATTCTCAGCCAGACTTCAACAGTGATCTCTTGTTTTGATGTAGCTTGGTGTGCTGGGTCTGTACTAAGACAGGGATTGGCTCAGTGATTTCAATGGTAGAGGGAATTCCCAGAGGAGGAAATGTCCTTCACCAATGCAGGTCTGCACCTCCTCTGAGATGTACACCCTCAAAGTGCAAAGAAAAACAATTCCCTGAAGTGGCTGTATGTATTCAAATTTACAATATTCAAAGTTATAATCATGTAAAATATGGTTACCTGTCTTAGCTCAATGGAAATTGCATGCTTCAAGAAGGACTCTCCCAGTTCTCCTCCTACCTCTCTGTCTGCTCCTGCTCCATCTCTTTTACTGGATCCTCCACCAGATCACCTTAGGAATCCCACAGGGCTCTGTCCTGGGCCCTCTTCACTTGGTGATCTCATCAGCTCCCATGGATTTAATAACCATTTTTATGCTAGTGATTCTCAAGTCTCTCTATGCTGCCCCTGCTGACCTCCAATCTATCATCTCCAGCTACCTTTCACACATCTTGAACTGGATGTCCAGTAGACATCTTAAGCCCGACACATGCAAAATAGAACTCATTATCTTTCCCCCTAAACCTTCTTTCCTCTCCCACCATCCACACTGCTGTAGAGGGCAACCCCTTCCTCCCAGTCCCTCAGGTTTGAAACCTAGGAGTCATCCAGATTCCCCACTAGCTGGATTTTTCCAGCTTTTACCACCACCCTTGGGAAACCCCAGCTAGCTCTTATCCACCATCTTCCTCTTGGTTGGCGTGCCTGCCAACAAGTCAGCTCTTGATCTTCCACTGCCATAGCTCTTAGCTCTTTTTGGCTGTCATGGGTCGCCCCCACTCCCCACTCCTCACACATACACACACACACACACACACACACACAAACTTTTCATTGTAAAGAGGAAACTGAGGCCCAGAGAATGTAACTGACTTACCTATGGAGCTAGAGCTTGGATTTGGACTCAGGACCTCTGAAGAGGCTTAACACCACATTGGTATGCCATAAACAACATGACAGTATACAGTTCTCTTGCTTCAGAGGATTCATTATTCCCACCAGTCCAGGAGAATTGCCTAAAAGACTAAAAGCTTGACTTACTCAGAGTCAGATAGTCAGTATGTGTCCACGGCAGGACTTGGACCCGGTTCTTTAGGGACTTTGAGGCCAGAGAGAGAGAGAGTACTCAGCAAATCTAGGTGCTGTGCTGTGTGATGACCAACGCTCTCTGCATTGCACCACACTGCCTTGGCACACAGTAGGTGCCTAGTAAAGGTTTTGGCTTAAGTTTCTGCATGTTAGCCCCAACAAACCTGTGATGAGTCACCTTAGATCTGCCCCGCCCTCCACCATTGACTCTGCCAAAGTTGAGTTGTAGATATTTAATGATGATCTCTCTCTCTCTCTCTCTCTCTCTTCTCTCTCTCCTCTCTCTCTTCTCTCTCTCTCTCTCTCTCACTCTCTCTTTCTCTCCCTCTCTCTCACTCTCTCTCTCACTCACTCTCTCTCTCTCTCTCCTCTCTCTCTCTCTCTCTCTCTCTCTCTCTCTCTCTCTCTTTCTCTCTCTCTCTTTCTCTCTGTGCCTTCCCACAGAGGGGCTGGAGGAGCTAGTGAAACAAAAGGGCTTCGTGAATGGCGTTTATGCTTTTGAGTACTATCCAGGAACTCCTGGGAAATATGTCGTGGTGATCACATGGGGCGGACACAGCATTCCAAAGAGGTGAGTCTAAGCCCAGGCAGCTCTTCTGCCCAACTTTCTGGCCCTCCCCCTCAAGTCTGGGACCCAGGTCAGAGCCACCAACTAATCTTTTTCCCGGATTCAAGGAAAGCAAAGAGTTGCTTTGTTGAAAATCTTTGGAGAGCAGCAGCAGACATTTGGCCCAGAGTCAGACGAAGCAAAAAGCTGCTGGTGGTTTCAATTTCCTGCTTTCAATCAGTGTGAGCGGCTTTGGGCCTGTGGGAGGGAGAGCAGCCAGAAGGACGGCTACGTGTCTACAAGGAGATGCGTTCATTTTTTCATGACTGATGACTCTGTTCTTGGTAAACCTTAAAGCACCGTATAAATGTCAGCTGCTATCATTACGATTTGTTGGAGCAGTTTGGTGGAATTAGTCCTTGGGAGTTTTGATATCTCCTTAGGGACCTGAAGAAACAAAGGAAGCCAGTGTGGGACTTTTTCTTGTGGGGTTTTCCTGGTACCCCTCCATAAAAATTGCATGATCTCACAGCAATAACAGATCATTTGAGAGGTAAGGCACAGAAGCAGGCTTTGAACCCTGAATCAGAAGATAGAACAGGTTACAGTAGATGGGAAGCTGACCTTGGAATTAGGAAGACCCAAGGGTCACCTCCTGGCTCTGTGACTGTTGACCAGTCTCTATGCCCCAGGCAACTCCTTAAGACTGGAGCCTTACCTATGAGTTGCTACTCTGTGTTGCTAGAGGGGGTTTCCTCTCCTGGGAGTTTCCTACACTGATGAAATCACAGTGGAACTGGGGTTGAGGCAAGGAAATAACTGGCTAATTTATATTAGCCTTATATAAATCAGTCAGTAAACATTGATTTAATGCCTACAATGTGCTAGGTACTGTGCTAAGTGATAGAGACAAAAGACAGGTCCTGCCCTCAAGAATTTACAATCTAAAGGGAGAGATGGAAAGCAAACAATGATGTTCATGGAGGAAAATGAGGAAATTGTAAGAGAGAGAAGACTCTATATTGAGGGGCATTGGGAAAGGCTTCCTATGGAGTAGGGGAGTTAAAGGAAGGCAAGGAAGTCAGTAATCCGAGAGGAGGGGGAGCGTTCCAGGATTGGGGAGGAGGGGCAGCCAGAAAAATGCCCAGAGCCAGAGGTGGAGGGGCCTGTTCAAGGAATAGCAAATGGCAAGCTTGCTGGTGTTGCAGGATCGGGGGACGGGGTGGGGTGTGTGTGTGAGCTATAGGAAGGCTGGAAAGGGAGGAGGGAGAAGGTGAAGAAGGGCTTTGAATGCCAAACACTGCTTCTTTTATTTGATCTGGGAGGTGATAGGGAGTGCTTGGAGTTTAATGAGTAGGGGAATGGTGCTATCAGACCAGAGTGAATTAGGGTGGGGAGGGTCTTCAGGTAGGCAGAACTTCTCTTCCCCCCCCCCCCCAGCAGCAGGCTATTGTAAGAGTCCAGGTATAGGGTGATGAGGGCCTCTACTAAAGTGGTGGCAGTGTTAGAGGAGAGAAGGGGGCATCTTAGAGAGACATTGCAGATAGGCCTTAACACCATATTGAATGGGGTGGGGAGGTGGTTAGAGATAGTGAGGAATCTGGATGACTCCTAGGTTTCAAGCCTGAGGGACTGGGAGGAAGGGGTTGCCCTCTACAGCAGTGTGGATGATGGGAGAGGAAAGAAGGTTTAGGGGGAAAGATAATGAGTTCTTTTTTCGATGTGTTGAGCTTAAGATGTCTACTGGACATCCAGTTGGAGATATGTGAAAGGTAGTTGGAGATGCTAGATTGAAGGTCAGCAGGTGCAGCATAGAGAGATTTGAGAATCACTAGCATAAAGAGGGTTATTAAATCCATGGGAGCTGATGAGATCACCAGGTGAAGAGGGCCCAGGACAGAGCCCTGTGGGATTCCTAAGGTGATCTGGTGGAGGATCCAGTAAAAGAGATGGAGCAGGAGCAGACAGAGAGGTGGGGGGAGAACTGGGAGAGTCTTTCTTGCGGCATATTTGAGCCCTTGCACTTCTTCCAGATTTTAGGCAAGTCCTATTGCCTGGATTTTCCTGAAAGTGTCATCACGTAATTGGCAGAAGCTTTGTAATTGTGCTGCCTTACATTTGTGTGATGCCTTATAGCTGAGACTGCACATTCATTGTGCTGTCCTATTTGTCTCGTTGGGTTTTGATGAGCTGGATTTTTCCAGCTTTTACCACCACCCTTGGGAAACCCCAGCTAGCTCTTATCCACCATCTTCCTATTGGTTGGCATGCCAACAAATCAGCTCTTCATTTTCCACTACCATAGATCTTAGCCTTTTTGTCTGTCATGGGTCCCCGCCCCTGCCACCCCCCCCCCCACACACAATTTTGGCACTATGGCAAAAGACTGTGGAATCTTTCTTAGACCAATATTTTTAAATGCATAAAATAAAACACATAGGATTATCGAGGAAACCAATTAGATTGAAATACACTTACCAAAATACTTTTTTAAAACAAGTTGCAGACTCTAGACCTTTTGTACAAAATGCACAATAGTGTAGGGGATGCTAAGAGGGTAAAGCTCTTCACTTCAGCAGGGCAGGAGGACCTGAGTAAGTACGGGCTGAAGCTCTCAAGTTCATGGGAGGGAGAGCTTGAGGAGAAAGTATTTTCAAGATTGTTGCCATCCCCATGTAATGGTGGGAGGACTTCATTTGTAGAAGACATAGGGGCAACCCAGCTGAACTCTCTCAACGTTCCCCTCTGAACAACTTTAAAATAATACCTCAAATCACATTTTGGAGCAGCAGAGTCAGCAAGAGGTCAGGGGGAGTCATTTTTCTGGCCCAGGAAAGCTTAGAAGGTCAGTGGGAGAAGTCTGTGACATGGCTGGAGGCCTCTCTGGATCCCACACACATGGCGGTTGCGACAGAGGCAGTAGCAGCAACTTCAGCTCTCAGTCCAGCAGTGATAAGGGTGGGTCAGACGACTGCTCAGAAAGACTACAGGGGACGCTTCGCTGGAACCTGGTGCAGCTGGCACAACTTGGCAGCTCTGTTGGTTTATACACAGTTCTGGGGCACAGTTCCAGGGTGGTGAAGAGTGCTTGTGGTCAGTCACAAGGAAGCAGGGGTCCTGGTCATGAGTACTAGCACTTGTGGCCTTCCTGGGTAAAGACCAGAGCACAGATTAGAAGAGCAGTGATCGTGCCTCTCCCAGGATCACGCCATCTTGGGAGCACCAAAAACTTGGAGACCCCCACCCCCAGAACTAGCTCAGAAAACAGCAACATGAAAAAAGCCTAGAGGTTGGGACAGTGCCTCCCCACCCCCAGGTGAGCAGAGTCTAACTTTAACATAAAGTTCCAAGTCAATAAATAGGCTGGAAAATTACCGAAAAACGAAAAAAGAATTTGACTATAAAAAGCTAGTGTGGTGGCAGGAAAGACCAAGACAGAAACTCAGAGGACAAAGGTGTGAAAACAGCTATAAGCAAAGCTTCAAAGAAAAATGCTAATTGGACCCACACCCTACAAGAATTCCTACGAGAGTTAAACGGATAAGAGTGGTAGAAGAAAAATTAGGAAAAGAAATGAGAGTAATACAAGAAAATTATGAAAGGAGAATTCACAATTTGGTAAGAAGAGGCAACAAAAATACTGAAGAAAATAATACCTTAAAAAACCATAATTGGCCTAATGGTAAATGGGACATAAAAATTCACGGAAGAGACTCCTTAAAAAGCAGAATTGATCAAATGAAAAAAGAGGTACAAAAGCTCACTGAAGAAGATAATTCCCTAAAAACTAGAATTGGGCAAGTAGAAGCTAATGACTTCATGAAACTTCAAGAAACAATGAAACAACGTTAAAAGAATGAAAAAAAAATTGAAGAAAATGTGAAATATCTCATCGAAAAAACAACTAATTTGGAAAATAGATTGAGAAGAGATCATTTAAGAATGCCTGAAAGCCACGATCAAAGAAGAAGCCTAGACATCATATTTCAAGAAATTTATCAAGGAAAACTGCCTCTGTGTCTTAGATCCAGAGAATAAAATGGAAACTGAAAGAATCCACCAATCAGTCACCTCCTGGAAGAGATCCCAAAGTGAAAACTCCCAGGAATATTAGAGCCAAATTCCAGAACTTCCAGGTCAAAGAGAAAATACTTCAAGCAGCCAGAAAGAAACAATTCAGATATCATGGAACCAAAATCAGAATCACAGAAGATTTAGTGGCTTCCATGTTAAAGGAGTGGAGGGCATGAAATAGGGTATTTTGGCAGGCAAAGGAGCTAGGAGTATAATCAAGAATGGTGATCCACTGGGAGAGACTTGACTATGCTGATCAATACAATGATGTAAAACAATTCCGAAGGACCCACGATGAAAAAATGCTATCCACTTCTGGAGAGAGAACTGATGAACTCTGGGTGCAGTTTGAAATATACTCTTCTGACTTTATTTTTCTTGAATGCTTTGCATCATTTCATAGGTGTAATTGATATTGTATTGATTGCCTTTTCGGTGGGTGGGGAAGGGAGTGGGAAGGAGTTTGAGAATTTTAGAACTCAAAATTTAAAAAGAATGCCAAAAATGAATAATAAATTTTAAGAAATTAATTTGCAGTTATTAGGATGTCTCCTTCTTTCCTAATGCAAGCAAACCTGTGTTTCCTTCTAGTCCCTTTGAAGTCCAAGTGGGTCCCGAGGCAGGTGTCCAGAAAGTCAGAGCATGGGGGCCTGGTCTTCATGGAGGCATTGCTGGGAGGTCAGCAGACTTTGTGGTGGAGTCCATTGGCTCTGAAGTGGGATCACTGGGTAAGCTTGTAATTAAATGGTCTGTCCTGTGAATACTACCGATAACTCCTTGGGTGGTTCTTGTCTTGATTCTATAGCTCCTCCTTCTTTAAGTAGAACCTTTGGGTAGTGTTGTAGAGTGGGAAGATGGGCTCTTGATTCAGAGGATCTGAAACCTACCTCTGGTACTTCTTAACTGTATGAGTTTGATCACGTCACTTCAGGTCTCCCTCTGGTTGCTCATATGTAAAATGGGTTCATTAAATGGCCTCGGAGATCCCTTCCAGTCTAGATCTGCCTCAGTTTCCTCATCTGTAAAGTAGCCTTGACTGAGGCTCCCTCCAGTTGTAGGTGTGTGAATGGAGACTGTTGACTTTGCTGTGATTAACACATACATGAGGCTTTAAATTTCTTCAGACCCTCCCACCCACTGTACAAGCTGTTTGCTTTATACCTCTTGTGACCATCCGATGTAAATAACTCACGTCCTTGAAATGGAATCTCTGTAGTCCCACTTGAAGCTGTATTAAATGAGTTTACGTGTAGGACTTTTAAAAACCTGTAATGGACCACGGCCTCTTGGAAAAGTCACCATGCTTGGTGCCAGCAATAGAGGCCACGTAACTGTTGGCTCTGGTCCCCTGCATGTTTTTCCCCACATGGCCTCAAATCCAATGTGCCTTTTGTCACCTCTTAGGATTCGCTATCGAAGGCCCATCCCAGGCAAAGATCGAATATGATGACCAGAACGACGGGTCCTGCGATGTGAAATATTGGCCCAAGGAGCCTGGGGAATACGCCGTCCATATCATGTGTGATGACGAGGACATCAAAGACAGTCCTTACATGGCCTACATACAGCCAGCCTCTGGAGACTTCAACCCAGACTTGGTGAGAAAATGCTTGCTTCCCTAGAGCCTCCCCCTTCTTTCCCAACTTATTTATCAATGAGTATAAATCAAGATTGCACGGAATATTGAAGGAAGTCCCAGGATAGTCTTCTCAGCTGCTAGTGTGCCCTCTGGCCTCTCAGAAGATGTCTGTGTGTTTCATGACCTTGTATTGTATATGTGCATGTGTCTCCCTGGACCAAATAGAAACTTCTGAGAGTGGGCCCGTTTTGTCTCTGGCTCTGTATCGCCAGCACGAGGCATGCAGTAGGTGCTCGATGAATGCCGGTTGATTGATGGATTCCTGGAGGCAACATAGTGCTCTGGAGTCAGAGGCCCAGAATTCCCATCTTGCCTCTGATGCTTACTATTCGTGGATTCGTCGGCAAATCTCTGAGCCTCACTTTCCTCGACTGTAAAATGATGGGGTGTAGGGGGAGGCTAGATCACCTCTGAAGTCCTTCCCAGCTCAGAATCTCTGCTTCATTTTAGGTGCTTAATAGATGCTGGCTGAGCGATTGAGGTGGCATAGGACAGGGGAGTGAGATTTGTCCCTGGAGTTAAGAGGAGCTGAGCTAACATCTTGCTGCTCGTGCTAACTCAGTTTTTGCTCATTTGTAAAATGAGGGGGGTTGGACTTCCTGACTTCGGAGGTCCTTCCCATCTCCCATCTTCAGTCTGTCATGCATCCACTGAAGACTTTGTGCAAGCAGCATTGAGTCTTTCAGCTGGGATACAACAGATTTTCAGATTTTCTGGCCTGAGACCTTGGCCAATTCCTTTGTCTTTAGGAGACCCACAACACTTATGTGTATGTGAGAAGTGGTGTTCCTAATGGATAGAAGGCTGGGTTTGAGCCTTGCCTCTGAAGTATACTAGCTTTGTGACCCCAGGCAAGTCACTGTAATCTTTCCTTGTCCCCAGGCAGCTGTCTAAGGCCAAGTTACAAAAGAGTTGTCCATCTGCATTTGTGAAGGGAATTTCCACACCAGGAATTATCTCTATGGATGAAACCACTTGTATGGACCAAAAAGCAGAACTAGAAAGTTTTCATCCTCTGTTCCTACTGACCTCCCAGCTTCAAGTCCCAACTAAAATCCCATCTTTTACAGGAAGCCTGCCCCATTCCTTCTTAATTTTAGCACCTTCCCTCTGTTAATTATTTACTGTTTATCCTGTGTGTATAGCTTGCTTGCTGTATACCTGTTTGCGTGTTGTCTCTTCCATTAGATTGTAAGCTCCTTGAGGGCAGGGACTGTCCTTTGCCCCTTTTTATATCCCCATTGCCTGGCACATAGTAGGCACTCAATGAATGTTTATTGATTATCTTCCTAACTCCCTTTCTCTTTTCTACTAATCAATCAACCAGAATTTTTGGTTTTATTTTAATCTTTTTTTTCAATGAACAGAAATCTGTTTTCTATCCTTACCACCTCCCCCCATTGGACTGGACGTGGGGTCAGAATAAGTAAAACAGAAACCTTGAAACAAATACATAGGATCAGGCAAAGCCGATACCTGCGTTGGCCATGTCCCCAAATATATCTCATTCCACGCCTCATTCCATTGCCTGTCTGGCAGAAGGTGGCACCATGTTTCATCATGAGTACTCTGGAGGCATGGAGTCAGCTGTTGCTTTGGTCAGGGTTCTTAAATCTTACCAGGTCAACAGGCATTTATAAACAGTGCCTACTATGTGTCAGGCACTAGGTTGGGCATTGAGGATATAAAGACTGTTAATTCTCTCAAGAGAGCTTAGAATTTAACCAGGGGGAGACATATATAAGTGTACACCTGTACAACCACATACCCACGTATTTGTGTATTCACAATTTGGGTAACAAGTCATTTGGTGGTGATGGTGAGGGGGGGCCCTAGTAGCAGCTGGAGAAGCCAGGAAAGGTTGATGTATAGAAGGTGGCATTGTAGATGGAAAACACATGTAGCTTGACTACCATGTGGTCCCCTACTTCTTAAACTTAAGAGCGCTGAAGGGATTGCTAGTGGAAAAAAGTTTAAGAAGCCCTGGGTGATCTATGGAACAGGTTGACGAAACTGTGAAAGAGGAAGGCTGACAGGAAATGAGCCACTTTCCTGGACAGGCTGGACTCAAGCCAGGCTTGTGCCTACCATCTCAGTCAAGCAACTGGGGGCTTCATTCTCTCTCCTTCCTCCTTGATCCCCTTCCGCTTAGACTTCCCATCCCCCCGCCCCCCAACTGCCAACCTTGTAGAATGTTCTCTGAGCTTTGGGTTCTGACTCTTAAAGCAGTAATGGTGACACTGAGATGGAAGGTCACTCGTCCCAGTTACCTGTGACCAGCACCCTTTTGTCACTTTTGATTAGGCTTCAGCCTATGGGTTGGTTTTCTACCCATTTTAGGTAGAGAGGTGTCTTTCTCTGCCCAGTGAAGTCCAGTTGCCTTCCCTTCATTCAACAGGTACACTGGTACAGGGGAAATCTCTAGTGTTAGAATCTCATCCTCATAATCAGTCCACCATCAAACATTTATTAAGCACTTCCTGTGTGCCAGTCATGTGCTGGGAACATCATATTTCTTTCCAATTGTGGAGTGGATTGCTTTTTATTTTTTCTTAAGAGAAGCTTCCTCATTCTTCCCTGCCTTCTATTTGGATTTAACTTGACTTGTCTCTTTTTCCTGGATGTCACAGGAGAATAATCATCATCTCCTCTTCCTCCCAGGTTCAAGCCTATGGTCCAGGATTAGAGAAGACTGGTTGTATTGTCAACAACTTGGCAGAATTTACTGTTGATCCTAAGGATGCTGGGAAGGCACCCTTGAAGATCTATGCTCAGGTAAGTTCATGTAGGTCCAGTAGCTGGGTGTCTTTGCTGTCTAGGGATAGGAGACACTTCATAAAAGCCAGGTGACCAAATAAAGGTACTTTCGGTCTGATGACACTAGGCAGATTGTTTTCTGAACCACAGCACTAACATGGCTAGAGATGAAAGGTGGTAATGCATTCTCCCGGCTGGCGCTCTCTGCTCAGGGACTGCCTCTCATAGCTGACATGTAGCAGATGGGCCTGTTTACTTCTTCAAGACTAGCTCGTCCCATGGATCCCCAGGAATTTTCCAGCAAAACAAAATTAGGTTTGGGGAGGAAAGAAGATAATGGAAAGTGGGAGTGGAAATTGGAACCAAATAGTTGTAACTTGAGAAAGAAACAGAGGAAGCTGTCAACCTTCTACCCTCTTGTAATGAGCCCAAGACGTAAGAGCAGGAATTGCGGACAGGAGCCAGTAAGTCGTGTTATCTTTCCATTTGGCTTTTAAAAGATTTTGAGGCAATTTCATGAATCACCTCTTTTCAAAGTAGTCTACTTACTCTCTTTTTCTTAATAAGAGGGTGGCTTGTGCTTTCTTGCTAAGGTCTTGATAATTGTTTTCAGGATGGAGAAGGCAATCCCATTGAGATACAGATGAAGAGCAAGATGGATGGGACCTACGCTTGTTGCTACACACCGCTGAAGCCAATCAAACATACAATTTCCGTCGTGTGGGGAGGGGTGAATGTCCCCAAAAGTCCATATAGGGTGGGTAACTGAACACGGCCTTTAGGATTGGGCAAGTTGTGGTCTGGGACAGATTTGCATGGGTCAGAAAATAGATGATTAAGCAGATACCCACCAGTAGGGACCCTTGGTTATGACGATTTAATAATGAACTGGAGTGTGTTGCAGTAGGTTTTGAATGACAAGGAAGACCTGCACTGTTGATTTCAGTGGCCTCATGATTTCTCACAATTTGAACACGGTCTCTAGGTTGGTGTTGGTCAAGGGAGCCACCCTCAGAAGGTCAAAGTGTTTGGTCCGGGTGTGGAGAGAAGTGGTCTAAAAGCCAATGAGCCCACTCACTTCACCGTAGACTGCACAGAGGCAGGGGAAGGTAAGAGCGCTTGATCAAAGACGTTGGCTATTATCACCCTTCGATAATTGCCCGTATTGCTGAGTGTTGACCAAGTGTTGACTCTATTGATATAAATCGCCTCTGAAGGAAAGCTAACTTGAAACTGAAAGCTGAACCAAAGGAAAATCATTGTTCTTATTATTATGTGTCTGCTCATTAATGTTGTAGCCAAGTAAACAAAAAATCTGTACAGCTCCAAGCTTCCATTTTGCACTCTTACATGTTTGGGAGCTGAAATTCCCACGGATTTACTGGGAACCTTAAGGAAGATATGATTGACATGAGACTCTTTATAATATGCTCTTCTTCTAATGGGCATTAATCCAATGACTTGTTTCAGGTGATGTCAGTGTTGGCATTAAATGTGATGCTGGAGTTCTGAGTGTCGATGAGGAAGATGTGGACTTTGACATCATTCACAATGCCAATGATACATTTACAGTGAAATATGCACCCCCTGCTCCCGGCAGATACACCATCAAAGTTCTCTTTGCCTCCAAGGTTTGTCAGTGGGTCCAGAAGAGCTCCAGGGGAAGGCAGGGAGGTGGTTACCAGTTGCTTCACTTGGCACTCAACACGAGGGGCGTGGCTTGATTGGACAGGTGCTGACAAAGCAACCCATCCCTTCCTGGTTTGGCAGCCCCAGGGGCTGAGCAGGGCCTGCTCCCAGTCCCGTGTCCTTTTCCTCTTCCCACCCCATCTTCCTTAGCTTCTGGTTTGTTTGACAGTATAACACTACTTTCTCATTTTATCAGAACTAGCCACAAAACTTATTTTCCATATGAATAGGTCACCCCAGGATCTGATGGAATATTCATTCTGTTTTCCATCTTTAAAGCCCAGTGCTTAGCTGATGAGAAGGTCCCTACGGGGTCCAAGCATCCTCCCCCGGGGTATGGTCCAGTGGGTTTAAAACGCCCTTTCAGAAAGAGAGGCGCTTTTGTTTCCCAATAACCAGCTGTAAGGGGGGTCGTTTTTGAAGTCTGTTTAGAGGGGGCAGTATGAATAAAAGGGATGAACGTGAAGAGGCAGCAAAAAATGATGGCTCACAAGGCCAAGAGTCTCTGGGGAAGAATGGACATGGGTGGTAACTATTCTGGGTTCAGTGTGGCTAAATTATCCTGGGCCTGGACTGGCTCTCTCTAGCCTGCCTGCAGAGAACTCTTTTGGGGGGAAATGGTGCCCTTGCAACTTCCTGCTGGTGGTAGCTTCTCCTCCCCTTCAGAGGTCTCAAACCTCTGCCCTGGGGGTAGTTTTTATCCTTTCGCTCCCATTTCTTCCTTCCTTCCTCCACGCTTTTTGGGTTAAATAGGAAGCATTCGTGGTCTGCCCGGGGTTTCACTCAGCAGCATCTCTTGGAACCTCTTCTTCCAAGCACAGGCCACTTGTAACCTGGAATCTTTTTGAGGATGTGATTCTTTCAAGCTCTTCCTCTGATGGAGATGAGCAACTCATTCAGAGTTGCTTGTCCAGTTACAAATTGTCCTTAACTAAAAATAGATGGGCACTGATGATTCATTCACATGGTTGAATTGAATAAAATATTCACTAAAATGACGAAAAGCTTCATGCAAAGAAAAAACTGACTATGTGGAGAGATAGGCCCTGTTCATTTATTATTATTGGTCAGGGGAGGGGGAATTTAGCGTGATCTGACCCTGTGATTTCACTGGTATGTGGAGTTCCAGTTGAAGAAACTCCCTTCCAGTGCAGAGGGGCATCTGCTCTGCAAGGTATGGCCTTAAGGGCTTGCCTGGGGCACCAAGAAGTTTTTGTGACTTGCCGGGGATCAGAAAACCAATGTATGTTAGGGGGACCCTGAATCTAGTTCTTCCTGACTTTGGGATCTCTGTCCACCAGGAAGACTCTTAACTCAGAATCAGAATGTTTAAACTGGAAGAATCGTGATTATCATGGCCTCCAACTCTGCTCCTCCTCCCTTTCATTTTCTTCAACAGATGAGGAAACTGAGGCCTAGAAAAGTCAAATGCCCTCCCCCCGTTAGTGATAATTGGCACCTTTTAGATTGGCTAATAAGAAGGACAGTATGGTGTAGTGAGCGTCAGAGTCAGGAAAATCCAAAGGTTCAAATCCCACTTCTGAAGCATCCTGACCGTGTGACCTTCACTGGACTTCTCTCTCTCTCTCTTTCTTTTTTTTTTTTTGCTAGGCAATGGGGTTAAGTGACTTGCTCGGGGTCACACAGCTTGTGAAGTGTTAAGTGTCTGAAGTCACATTTGAACTCAGGTCCTCCTGACTTCCAGGGGTGGTGTTCTATCCGCTGTGCCACCTAGCTGCCCCCCTCACTGGATTTCTCAATACCCCCAGCCCACTTTCTGAGACTGTAAGGTGCAGGATGCATGTTAATCTGCATTGGCAGAGGGGGTTTCCTCACTTGGAATTCCAGAGAGGAGAGAGAGAGAGAGAGAGAGAGAGAGAGAGAGAGAGAGAGAGAGAGAGAGAGAGAGAGAAGAGAGAGAGAGAGAGAGAGAAGAGAGAGAGAGAGAGAGAGGAGAGAGAGAGAGACAGAGAGAGAGAGAGAGAGAGAGAGAGAGAGAGAGAGAGAGAGAGAGAGAGAGAGAGAGAGAGGAGAGAGAGAGAGGATACAGATACAAATATGGCACACCACCGCAGCAGCTTTGGCAGCCCCTACACCACTGTGTCCCAGGGCCTCCTGATGTGGAGGTGCTTGTGGGTACCTGGTGATCAGGCAACGAGACCGTCTGGGATACTCGGAAGTGTCAGGGTCTGACTTGAACAGAGGGAAGGTTGGATCCATCTGGTATCGATCTGGGAGGGTTTCTCTGTCGAAAACCTGTTTGTGTTTCAGGAAATCCCTGCCAGTCCTTTCCGTGTCAGAGTTGATCCTTCGCATGATGCCAGCAAAGTCAGAGCAGAGGGCCCCGGGCTCAGTAAGGCAGGTAGGTGACCCTCCCACAAGTAGCTTCGGCAGTGCATTGGGAGATGAAAATTGGCATGCTGATTTAATTGAAAAAAAAAAGGCGTGGGTGATGGCTTATCTCTACGAAAAGTAGATCTTGTATCAAGAATGTTGATTTAGAAATAGGAAGCACTTATATCATGGCATCTTTCCAGATGGAGAAAAAAGAAATAGACTCAGTCTAGAAGAGCCGAGACCACGGAGCCCCGTAGCTCTTAGCTAGACCTGTTACACCAGTTCCTCGGGAGAGTGCATTGCCCATCTTCTGACTTCAAAGTGTTTCTTTCTAGGGGTGGAAAATGGAAAACCAACTCACTTCACCGTCTTCACCAAGGGGGCGGGGAAAGCGCCGCTAGATGTTCAGTTCATTGGCTCCCAGGCTGGGGCTGCTGTCCGGGATCTGGATATCATCGACAACTATGACTATTCCCACACCGTGAAATACACACCGGTCCAACAGGTGGGCGTCTTTCTCCTCTGGCTATGGCGATAGGGCCAGCCCCTTGCCTAAAGGCCATTTCTGTTTTTAAACATGAATGGCTCTAGTGGGTCCCTGGGCAATGTTGGGAAGCATCTGACCTTTAACAGACTGTAAAGTTTTCTTGCTTTGTTCCAGCTGTCTGGGAAATCTTGACAACTGCCCTCACAGCTCACAGTGAGGAGGCCTTTGATTGAAATAGTCCAGACCCGAGGGAGAACAAACTAGTGAGGCTTACCTTGTTTTGGAGTTTTTTGTTTTGTTTTTGCTTTTTTCTGTTTGGAGAAGATACCCAGTCCCAGACTGGGGAGCATTTGTCTGGCCTGGGTTGGTGTGTTGCCTCATTGTGTGTGATGCTGTTTTTGTTTTCATTTGGACCTCGGGGAACCTGCCTCTTGAGCTCAGATCTCAAGTCATTGATTCGGTGAGAGCCACTGTGGTGGTGTTTTGTATCCAGGCAGGCATTGAAATAGCCTGGGCACTGACCCTCACAGACGGGGTGCCAACCAATTTCACATGCAGAGTCTGAGTTTCCCTGAAACAGGCTAATTTGAGGGAGGACCCAAAGGAATGTTTAATTCTTTCAGATGCTAAAAACAGTTTCCAGCCCAGCCTTCTGTCTGGCAGCGAAATGTCACTGGGCATCAAGGCCCGAGTAATTGGCCTGATGAGGGCAGATCTGAGATGACCAAGAATGAGGCAGATACCTGCCTATTGGAATGTACCCTTAAGGTCAGTTGGTCTGGGTGCTGAGAACCTACAAGTGGGAGCCACTTCTAGGTATCTTATAAATCCAGAAGCAAAAGAGACTTCAGACACCATCTAGTTCCCCTCCTGGCTTTACCGAGGAGGATTGACTTGCAGAAGATCCTACATGTGAGTTTATAAGATCATTAGCACTGAGCTGGAAGGGCCCTCACAGGCACCCCTGTTCAGCCCTCTGATTTTACAGAAAAGGAAAAAGGGGCCCAGGGAGGTGAAATCTTTGCCCCCAGCTGCCCATGGAGGTAGTGTCAGACCTGGAGTTTGAACGTGAGCCCTGTGTAGAACTCCTCCCACTGAACCACCCTGTCTTCTGTTTATAAAAGCTTTGGGACAGCTTATAGGCCCCTGAAGGGGACCTATTGCTCTTTGCTGCTTCTGAACGGCCACTCACTTGGTGCATGGCTGCGGAGTTGAGGTGTAGCATAACTGTTGGAGAGCATAACTGATGGAGAAGAATCTTCTCCCATCTTCTGGGCTCATCTGGCTGACTTCCATCTTCTTAGGAAGGAATCCGAGGCTCCGATGCATGATGGACTTGTGAAACATCACCTGGAAATGGCTTTCCTGAACGATCTGGGTGATGAGCTCTGAAAATTTCCCTGCTGTGAGAGGAATGGGACTCTCTGCTAGACTGGGCTGTGTGCTTGATTATTCTGGCAGGGCTAGGCGGGTTGTGCTAAGACACATTATAGAATAATCCATGTCCTTTTAACTCCTTTGTTTGGGTGAAGCTAGATTTGTCTTTCTGGGACCTTCTTTTGGGCATGGCCATGACCTAAAGCCAGGGTTCTTAGCTGAGGTTTGTGAACTTAAAAAAAACAACTATTTTGAGTACTGTATTTCAACATAATTGGCTTCCTTGAAGTCCTGTGTACTTTATTTTGTACATTGAAAAACGTAGCTCCTAGAGGGGATCCGTAGGCTTCCCCAGTGAGCGCCTTCCCCAGTGAGCGCCCTCCCCAGTGAGCGCCAAGCGCTCCACGGCCCATGAAGGGTTAAGAAGCCCTGCTCTGGAGGCTGCTCCCAGCAAGCCCTGCTTCTCACAACCCGTTGTGGGCTTCCTGGGTTGGTATGTGACTAGTTGGGAGGGCGTCACACCCACTGGCACACCTTTCAGGGCCGTCTTTGAGGACATAACACAGCCTCCCTCTCCAGAAATGTGGCTGCTCCAGCAGCTATGTGGCTGTGGGTGTGTCTTGGCTACGGGTGAATGCTCTCCCCAGAAGGCAGAGAATGTGCTTGCTGCTGTGCCAGCAGGCTGTCCTCGGGCGCTTCCCGTGCCCCTTCTCCAGGAGCAGGAGGGAAGACGGCTCGCCATGGTCTGTTTGCCAGCGCTGGCTCAGGAGCCGGATGGCCCTCGGCTCTCCACCCCGGCGCGTTTGGAAGGCTGCAAAGCCACTGGCAGGCATTCTCTCACCGGCCATTTTCATTAGCCTGATGACGGAGGGGTCCTCCGATGATCCCAGGACCTCCTGAAGGGGAATTTTGGTTGTCTGTTCCAATCCATTGTTTCTTCTCTGGTCTCCTTAGTTTATAGTGTGAGGCAGGTAGACTGGGCGAGGCCTGCTTGGCCCACAGTGGCCACCGCGGAGGCCTCTGGTTTGGAAGGGCTCTGTCCCAGAAGGCTCGGGGCATGCTGGCTACCGTACTGACCAGCTTGCCTGGGTCATTGCTGTGTGCTTTCTGCTGTGGTCACCTCTGGCTAGAGCCCCCTAGAGTTCTTAGGATATAGCTCTTCCTCTTGCCTGCTAAATATCTCCGTCCTCCAAAGCCAGTGAACAAGCCAGAAAGAGGGAAATGAGGGCTGCTTTGTTTGTCTGGTCCTTTAGGATTACCTAAGAAGTCCCTCGGTCTGACCTCTGGCTGCTGTCTTTGACTCAGCATAAGAAACTGTGGTCTTACAGAGTATTAGCAAGAGCTTGGGAGACTTGGGTGGGGGGAGGGGGGATAAGAAAATTCTCATCACCCCAAATAATTCCTGCTTTAGAGACACCTTTGTCCAGTAGGCTAGTGATGGCTGTTTTTTACACACACACACACACACACACACACACACACACGTATGTATATATAGATATGATTTAAACACTAGGGGAAAAGCTTATCCATTTCTGGGCTATCTTTAGCACAATCAATTCAAATTCAAAGTTCAGGCAAAAAAGATTCAAGTTTTCTTCCCCACCCTCAAATAGCCCTTTGCAATTTTATTTAAGGCAAAGTTAGTTCTTTATATTTGATGTCATTGGCATTGAAAGAATTGGCAAATCCCTGCAAAGCAGGAATGTCGAGCCTTGCTGGTGGCAAATATAAGGAGGCAAGATTTGCTGGGGATCTAGGAATCTGAGCTAGCGGGAACCCCACAGGACACTTAGTCCAGCCTGCTCCTGAAGAGGAAAGCAGGGGCAGCATGTAATGTGCACACACACATCTACATATACTCCCTTCTCTAATACCTAAATGTGTACTAATGCATACACACACGCATCTCTACAAACCTATGTAATGCAACCATACCTACATCTCTACATGCATACATATACGTACAACCACCATCTCTACATGCATACACATATACAGTAATGCATCCTTGCACACATACCTCTCTACATACAACATGCAGGCAGACATGGAACTACACACACATTTCTACATATATATACCTCTACATGCATGCATGTGTCCATGCACGTATGAACACATGCACAAACACACGTGCCTACATATATGTGTACACACATAAGCTCACATAGCAGTGTTCCAGTGCTCCAGTTTAGTGACCTGGTCACACAAGGAAGGAGAGCGAGGTCTTCCGGACCTTTTTCCGTTCGCTCTTTCCCGTGCCTTCCTTCCCTCTGTGTTCACTAGCCATTCCTCTCTTGAGTGACCTATTCTGGAGTTTTGCCAATGACCATCCGTACTTTATTTGCATATGCTTCCCATTCTTTCCTTGAGAGTCAGCGCATTTGCCCTCCTTTTGTCTTCTTTTCCACCGCATCCTTGAGCATATCCACCAGTTCTTTCAGGAACAGGAGGAAGAGGTATCCCTGGGCTGGCTTCATCTCTTTTGTTGTGCCGTCATTTCAATCCTGTCCTACTCGCCGTGACTCCGCTTGGGGTTTTCTTGGCAGAGATACTGCAGTGGTTCGCCATGTCTTTCTCCAGCTCATTTTACAAATGAAAAAACTGAGACAAACCGTGAAGTGACTTGTTTAGGGTCACACAGCTAGTAAGTGCCTGAGGCTAGATTTGAACTCAGGAAGATGAGTCTTCCTGACTGCATGCCCTGTGCCCTATACACTGTGCCACCTATCTGTGCCAAGGCTTCATCTAATGCCTCCCTTAAAATAGTTATTTGCTGATCTGGGGACCCAGTTTTCTATTTGCCATTTTTGTTCTGTTATTTTCAGTGCGAAAGTCCTTCTCTTTGGCAGAGGAGAAGGAAAACCAAAATCAGTAGCTCTACCCAATTTGTTGACAGTTACCCAACCTACAGAGAACCTGTCCTCTCTTTGGTCCACCACTTCTCCTCCTTATAGAGTTGAACACCATTTCCAGCTACAGCTCATTTTGGAGTCACTGCACCCCTGGAATTATTCTTAACAGACTGTTCCACCCGATTGTATTTTCCCTTTGTCTGTTGCCTTTCCTCTTCGTAAGCATCTTTTACAATTCTTTCTTTTTTTTAAAAAAAATCTTTCCTTCCTTCCTTCCTTCCTTCCTTGCAATTGGGGTTAAGTGACTTGCCCAGGGTCACACAGCTAGTACGTGTCAAGTGTTTGGTCTGAGGCCGTATTTGAACTTGGGTCCTCCTGACTGCAGGGCTGGTGCTCTATCCACTGCGCCACCTAGCTGTCCCTACAATTCTTTCTGGCTTGGTGAGTTCCCTGTGCGTCCACATCAGGCTTTTCAGACAGTGACTAACTGTTTCTCCTGTGTCCTCAAAGTTTCATTCTTGATGGCTTGCCATTCCTCTTGTGCTGATTTTCCCTACACAATTTTAGTCTGCATCCTCCAGATCTGTCCATTGAGCTCTTTGAAATCTGTTCTCCCCAGGTCTGGCGTGCATGGTGGGCTCTTCCTAGCTTTCCTCTCCTTTCTCCTACAGTCTGCGAAGGAAGGTTCCCAACAGTGTCACCCTAGCAATGGCTTCTGTTTTAGTGAGCGAGATTCGGGCACAGAATAGACTTTCTCTTTGTTGGTTTCTCCACCTTTTGGAGAATGAATTAAGGCAGATCAGTAAGTTATTAACTCCTTGGCTTCTAACAAAGAGAGAGAAGCTGAGCAGCTGTCTGGACAGCGGAAGGACCCTATCACTACTGTATCCTGCTTCTCTGCTCTGAATTCCAAAGGAATTCATCTGTTTCATACTCCTTCTGTCCCAGTGGTCTGTAGTGTATTCTGATGACAAAATGGCTTCTCTTTCGGCCTCCACTGATCTTTCACCGAGACGTTTCTTGCCGTGCCTCTGCTTTCCCCCGCACGAGGATGCTCCCCTGTTCTTTTTGCCCATCCGGTTTCTTCTAAATGGGCATGTCCGTCCTAAGCCACATTCCAGTCCTGGATCTTGTCCCACCAAGTGTCAATGATACCCTGAGGTCAAAGTCACCTCTTTGTGTTAGGCCTAATTCAGCTTGCTTGTACCTTTGTGTGCAGATGTTCAGAGCCACAGTTCTTCCTACTGGCATCTTTCTTGGGTTTTGTTTGCGTGACTGTTATATCTCATCTTCTTACTTTGTAGCTACTCTCTCCTATTTCTCAATGCCATGAACATAATATATGTAGGGAGTTTTTACCCTTTCCCTTCCTTTGTGGTTTCTAAAGCTCCTTTGAATACACATGTAACCTCTGACCTTTGATAGGCACACTTCCTCAGGAGCCTTTTATTTCTGTCCAGAAATCCAAATGCCATTTTCAGGTAGGAAGTGAAGGATATAGTTGTTTTTTCTAATTAATTTAAATTAAATTAAATTTTATTATTGGCTGTTGGGAAAGGGGCTGGATAATTTTTGTCCTTGGTTATCATGGGAGAAGACAAGACTGAGATCCTTTTGTTAGTTGGAATACCTAATGGTGAATAGACAAGCAGTCTAACCTTTGGTAAAGTCCTGTACCTTCAGGTGAGCTGAAGCATTCAGGAAACTTTGGGAGCTCTGGGACTTATGGAAAACAAGGAAATAGGAAGTGCTGGGAAACTCAGCTAACTGTAGTTATAACGAGGGCTCTTGTAACATACCTCCTGGCAATATCAAGAAATGGCAGATGAGGTGGCTGGGTGGGGCAGTAGACAGAGCACCACCAGCCCTGAAGTCAGGAGGACCTGAGTTCAAGTCTGGCCTCACACACTTAACTAGCTGTGTGACCCTGGGCAGGTCACTTCACCTTATTTGCCTCCAAAATTAAATAAAAAGAAGTAGCAGGATCCTGCAGCTGAGTGATTTGGAGTTGCAAGTCTTGTGTTCAGATCCCAGCTCTGCCCGTTGCTAGCTGTGTCCTCCCAGTCACACCGCGCCTTCTCCCTGAGCCTCAGTGCCCTTATCTCTAATTGACTTCTAAGATCTCTTCTGCTTTGGGATTTCATCCTGAGAACTTTCTAATTTCGTGGTTTGCACAAAGTTTTGGAAAGCCTGACTTAGAAGTATGTTGTATCAAGAAATGTTCATTTTGCTTGTGGTCACTCAGAAGGGGAACTTGGATTATTTTAAATTGCTACTGTTCTGAGGCTTAATCAGTAAGGCCTGAGCCCGCCTGAGGACTGTCAGATTATAAGGGAAATGTTTAGCGCTTTCCCACTTTCCCCCATTCCTTTCTTGTCAGCAGATTTTGTTCAGGTTACCCCCCCCCACTCTCTCTCTCTCTCTCTCACACACACACACACACACACACACACCCCACGGGCACGCGTGTGCCTTTGGAAGGTAGCCTAGCTGGACCTTCTGCTGGGGGCAGTGGACTTTCCTTCAGGCATCAGACCATATGGTGGGGTGGGAGCGATGGGCAGTAAAACCAGCCAGGGATGGAGAAGCAAATAGTGGGGTCAGCTGATGCGGGGCTGGTGCTGGGGAAGACAGAGGGCCTGCTCAGCTCAGACCCTGTGGAGTCTTCCTCCAGGGCTCCTAATGGCCTGCTTCTCCTGGAGAAGCAGCTCAGGTGCTACATGTGGTCATGTCATGGTGGCTCAGGGCAACCTCTACACATTCCCTCTTCCCGGCCAACAGCAGCGCGAGCTAAACTCTGCTCCCATTGGAATGAGGCAGCTGCTGTATCTTTACCTTTGCCCCTTCTGGTTTGTGTGTTCTGCTTTATTCCCTCTGCCACCTCCTCGGAAGCCAGAGAAGGTGTGACCAGGCTGCAGGCCATCTGGTAGCTCGTGCTTTTGGGAGAAACAGAAAGCGCCAGGCTTCCATGATGTCTCCATGGGCTGATGTCCAAGAGGTTTTCTGAACGGCGCTGTTTTTGTTTGTTTCAGGGCAGCACACAAGTCCTGGTGACCTATGGTGGAGACCCGATTCCCAAAAGCCCTTTTGTGGTAGAGGTTGCTGCCCCTTTGGATTTGAGCAAGATAAAGCTGAATGGGCTGGAGAACCGTAAGTGTGCCCGCATGGGCAAGGGGGCGGTCGGGAAGCAGCGCCCCGATTCATCTGAAGATCACGATTAGAGTAGCTGACACTTAGAGAGTGGCTTTGGGGTGCAGTCTGCTTTTGTGTACATTGGAGCCTCACAGCCACCCTGGGACAAAGTACTTGGTGTCCCCATTTTATAGGTGAGAAAACTGAGGCCTAGAGAAGTGGAGCTGGGGGGGCTGGGCTGGGATTTGATCCCAGATCTCTTGGGATTCCCAGCTAGAGCTTTATATGCTGTTTCATGCTGGCTGCCTCCCTCTGAACCTCCTAGCTACCAAACTCATATTGTTTGGTTCAATAGAAGTCGCTCTCTCTCCCTTCCCCCTCCCTCTTCCAAACGTCCCTATTTCTGTAGGGGGTGGGGGTCCCATCCTCACCCTTGGCCAGGTCCGAGGCTATAGGACCCTTTCTCATGTGTCCCTTGCCCTTGTTCCGATGGTCACTTTCCAAGTCCTATTGATTCTCCTTCTATAGCACCTCTCCCTCCCCCTCCCACTGCCCTGGTCTGGGCCCTCATCCCCTGGTGCCACTGTGATTGCAGTGGCCTCCCAAGTGGAGGCCTGAGGGTTTTCTCTTTTCTAATTCAACTTCATTTTAGCTGCCAAAATAGTCTTCTTGGGGGCAACTAGGTGGCGCAGTGGATAGAGCACCAGCCCTGAAGTCAGGAGGACCTGAGTTCAAATGCAGCCTCAGACCAAACACTTGACATTTACTAGCTGTGTGACCCTGGGCAAGTCACTTAACCCCAATTGCCTAAAAGCAAAAAGAAAAGAAAAGAAAGGAAAAGAAAACAAAATAGTCTTAAGGCGTAGGTCTGACCATGTCACCGTGCTAAGTGACCTTCACGGTAACACCCTGTTAAAGCCTCTGGAATGAAATGTAACCTGCTAAGCTGAGGGGAGTCAGAAAGACTTGAGTTCAAATTCAGTCTCAGATACTTTGTGACTGTGTGACCCTGGGCAAGTCACTTAACCTCTCTCTGCCTCTGTTTGCTCACCTGGAAATTGAGGGTCTGGGGTCTAATGGCGTCAAAGCTTCCCCCAGCTCTAAGTCTAAGATCCTATTCTCCTCTGCTTATCCGATGCTCATTGATTGAAGGAACTAATCTCCCCTCAGTTCAGTGAAGAAGGAGGAAGCCCAAGGTGGGCGTCTGGTCCTCCGCTCCCTCACCCTGCCTACCGTTCTCCTTCCCCACACTGCACCGTAGCTCCTGGAGAGCCCCTTCATCATGGCTCCTTACATGTTACCCTGGGCCTGGGTTCAAGGCTGCCTCTGGCACCCAACTCTCACTGTGTGACCTGGCATGTCATAGGCGCGTAATAAATGCGTGCTGTATTAAATTGGATGAAAGACCCATTTAGGCACACCTTCCACACTGGAAAGGACGCAGAGCAGGGCAGCTGTGGCCCTGTAGAAAGAGCCAGGCTAGAGTCAAGGTTTGCCCCAGCCCTGGGTGCATGGCCTTGGTTCAACACAATGCTTAACCTCTGCATGCTTGAGGCAGCTCTCAGGGATGTGGCTTTTTAGCTTCAGGGCCGCAAAATTGTTTTTAAAAGTATTTTGACCACTGTATTTCAGTGGAATTGTTTCCTTTGTGATTCCACAGCTCTTATGTATTTTATAACCTGATTCTCAGAAAAGGAGTCTGTGGGTTTCCCCGGACTTCCACAGTGCCCCAGGACACAAAGATATTTAAGAACTCTTTCTCAAAGACTACAAGCCCCCAAGTAGGTGCTGACCTGCCTTGGGGAGGGCAGTGTCCTCACTGGAAATGCCCTGTGCCATTGAAATCTCAGGTCCTGTTGTGAAACATGACCAGTGAAGCTTAGATCATCAAGCTCGCTGGCCTCCAAGAACTTTCCAGAACTCGAGGGAAGAGGAGGTCACAGTAGACACTCAGTTACTTTTCTCCCCCTCACGTTCTGCCCAATGCGCAGAGATGACACTCCGAGGACATTTAAGCCCAGTCATGGCATGTGCCGTTCTTGACCAGCGGCAGAGCTGCTGCTGGTCACTCCAGGCCTCGGTCCAGCTGTGATGGGTGCCAGCGAGTAAGAGGCCCCCTTCCTCTGATGCACCTGACCTCCCTGGTGACTGCTCCTCCAGAAGCAGGCAGCACGCTCAGTAGAAAGCTGCGTTTTGACCAGACGGGCAGCGATGTGGCTGTGAAATATGTGCTGGGGTTGGCGATGCGGGCAACTTTTCCCCCTGCACTGGGCGGGTGCCCAGTCACCTCACTACTTCCCTTTGTTGAAAGCACTTTGCCCGTTTGACAAAAATAGCACCAAAGTTATCTGGCCAAATGACAAGTCTCTTAGTAAAGCCATTAGGCCTCCCAGGCATCCATTTGTTTCCCAGAATTGGCTTTGCTCAGTGCCCCACTTATAAATCCCCTTTCTCTTCTAGGCTTAGCCCTTTTCTGCTGTTGGCTGTATGTGTCATTGACCCGAGGGAGATGGAAGGCTCATTGGACACAGGGTGGACTTTGGGGTCAGACCTAGGTTCAGGGCCTGCATCTGACACAGTCCCCTAGCCGTGTGACTAGTGATTTGTTATAACCTCTCAGGGCCCTGGGCCCTCGAGATCTGATTCACCAAGTGTTTATTGAGCAGTTGCTGCGATGTTCTAGGCACTGTGCTAGCCACTTGGGTGACAGAGAAAAATGAAATGGTCATGGAGTTTACATTTTACTGAAGGGAAAACAAAACGTGCATCATTAAGGAAAGAGTAGAGAGTCCATTCAGGAGCGCAGGATGCTGACCGCTCTGGGCATTAGGAGACACCTTCTCTTAAGAGATGGCACCTGAGGTAGGGATCCCTGCAAGATGCCGGACAGATGGGAGAGCATTCTGTTCATGAGATACAAGATGTGGATGGATGTGGCATTCCTGGTGTGGTTACAGGCTACGGCAGTCAGTTGTTCTGCTGATCTCCACTGGGATGGATGGGGTCATCGGGGAGTTTTTGAGCTGGGCATTCCATATATAGTTATAAAGTTCTGGGTCTAGATCCCTTCCCTCCTATGCCCTATGGGCATAGGTCCCCACCAAATAGGGTTAAGGATACGACCCGGCTGGAGTTTCTTCCAAGATTTCTCCCTTGTCTGGTCCTAACAACATTCTTTTGGAGAAAGCCTGGTGTGGTGGAGTTAGAGGGAGCTGGCCTCGAACCCAGGAGGACCTGGCTCTGACACATGCATACTGTGACTTGGGTGGGCCACCAGCCTTCTGTAAGTTGCACAGAAGGAGCCATGCCAAGGATTTTTCTGAAGGGGGTGGGGTGGGGTGTGTGTCTCCATCCCAGATCTCCCTTCCTGCCCCAGGCTCGACCTCTGGAAGTGCGTCCTTTTGAGAGCCGCCAGAATGGCCCAGACTCTTTTCCGTCAGTGTGGCGGTGTCTCTGTAAACTTCCCTGTCTCACTCTGTTCTCTGCTTCTAGGAGTGGAAGTTGGAAAGGACCAGGAGTTCATGGTGGACACCAGAGGAGCCGGTGGGCAGGGCCAGTTGGATGTGACCATTTTAAGCCCTGCTCGACAGGTGGTGCCATGCCTGGTGGCCCCGGTCCCAGGCAAGGGTTACAGCACAGCCAGATACATCCCCAAGGAGGAAGGCTTGTACGCTGTGGATGTGAGCTATGATGGGAACCCCATTCCGGGCAGTCCCTTCACTGTGGAAGCCTCCCTGCCCCCGGATCCTTCGAAGGTAAAGGTGTTTCCTTTCCCCTCCCTGCCTCGGAGACGGGGATGCACTTGGCAGTTTGGACCTCCTCATTGTCCTCTCTCATTACTTCTGGTCTCCAGAATTCTGACTGGGGTGCAGAGCATGCACTTTGGTCTAGACTGGTGTGGGATTTTATTGCATTGCTTTTCTGTCGCTGGTAACTTAAAGGAAAGGTTGACTTTGGGGGCTGTGAGAAGCCACCTGGCTTCCTATATGATGGTATTTGGGTCACAGGCTTTTACCTTAATCCCCTCAAAGATGTGGAAGCTGTGTTTCCTTGCCCCCCATCCCCTTACACAATAAAAAAGGGTAAGAGAAAGGTGTGGGGGGGTGGCAAAGGAAAATGCACTGGAGGAGGAGAGATTCGATCATGGCAGTCACTGCAGTTGAACCCTGTCTCCCTTGGCTCTCATGCCACCTCCTGGACATAGCTGCCCAGAGAGGGCTGGCCACCATCCTGTTTCTACCTGTTTTGGCTTCAGGGCCGTGAGCTGCCAAGGCCCTCCTGTGACCTCCCTCTGTCCCTTTGGGCTGGCCTAAGCTGTTGAGGAGCACCTCTAGCATAGATGAAATACTTAGTAGTGGTAGCATTTACCTAGCACTTAAAGGTTTGCCAAAGGCGGCCCAGTGGATAGCGTGCTGGGCTTAGAATCATGAAGGCTCTTCATGAACTCTAGTCCAGCCTCAGACACTTACTAGCTGTGTGACCCTGGGCAAGTCACTTAACCCTGCTTGTCTCAGTTTCCTCATCTTTAAAATAAGCTGGAAGAAGGAAATGGAAAACCACTGTGGTATCTTTGCCAAAAAACCTCCAGATGAGATCATGAAGAGTCAGACATGACTACAACAACAATGATTAAAGGTTTGCCAAGCAATTCAGCTATGAGATAGAAGCTATTATTATCCAGTTTTACACATGGGGAAGGTGAGACCCAGAGAGATTACACAGTGAGTAAATGTCTGAAGCAGGCTTCAGACTTGGCTTCTTGACCTGATGTGGCCTTCAGCCCTTGCCGAATGACCAGCTGTAGCCTCCAGCAACTGTAGAGTGGGCATCAGTCCAGTGTGACCACGGATCTGAAGACCAGAAACCACAAGGGGTAACTACACACCTCCCTGGCTCCCCGCCCCATTTGGGATGACCATCTATCTCTGTGGCTTCAAGTTCTAGCTTATAGTTCCTAGGTCAGAGTTCCCATGGTCTTTTAGAAGACCACATTCTACATCCCTATTCTGAAGACTTGCCCCTATTACCCAGGTGGCGTACATCACTGTTATTGTACCACTTTGACCCCAGAATGGAAAGAAGGAGCCATGTTTTTGAAAAAAAAATGACCCAAAAATTGAATGTAAAAACTCCAGGTTCATCAGAATTTTTTTTGAGAAATGGATGTTGAAACATCAGAGTTTCAGTTGTGAGAAGAGATACTGAAGGATAAGTTAGAATACAGAACTATATTTACATATAGTTCAGATCTCTGATCTTATTGTTGTTTGGAACTCCCAGTGAGGAAATTCCCTCTACCAATCCCCAGTAGCAAGTGTCTTACAGCAGTTTGCGGTCTTACACAATTGTGGGAGACACCAGGATATTAACCAACTTTTTGCTGAGGTTCCAGGATGGTAACAAAGGGTCACATGGTCAATATGCATTGGAGGAAAGATTTGAACCCAGGTCATTCTGACTCTGGATTTTGCCTTTTCTCTAACTATGCTTTGCTATCTTTAATAAGATACTAAATAAATTAAGAGAGGACATTAAAAATTCAGTTAATATTTTGTGAAATGAGAATTGATTAGACAAATTAGAGAAAATCCAAAGTAATAAAGACAATCAAAGATCAGTAAATAACAGAAATAAAATTGAAGAAAAAGGCCTGGATGTAATCTGCCTTAAGACAACTAATTTGTACTAAATTATGAGATTTAGAATGCAGAGTGAAAGGTATGAGCATTAGATTAGTCAGAATCCTAGGCTAATAAGAAAGAAAAAAAAAAGGACCCATTAAAAACACAACCTTTCCAAGTAGATGTAATCAGGCAACACTGGAAAGGAGAGGTCCACAGAGAAATCCCGCCTATAGATCTTCAAGGCACAGAATTGTTAAACTACAGCATTACTATGACAAAAATCTTCCAGGTGTCAAGAAAGAAAAATACCTTCCTGTGGCCCATCTTCGGTTTTTTTATTCTTGCAAAGAAGAGACAACAAACTGGACAAAAGTCTGAAAAACATGGGATCCACAAGCCTCTGACACAGTCATGTGTATTTTAAAGAAAAGGAGACCTTTAAGACTTATCAGCAGAAATCCATAATTAGATTCTGATGAAGTAAAGGAAAATTCCTGCAGATGAGTTCTCAACAAAAGTAATATGTTTTAATCATGTCATTTGCCTTTTCTTTAAAAGCATAATTCCAAGTTGCTTTCTTGGAATGTTTGCACCAGTTTACAGTTCCACCAATAATGTATCAATGTCCTAGTCTTGGGTACAGTCCCTCCGACATTGATTATTCCCATCTTTTTTTCCATCCTTGCCAAACCTCCATTCTTTTTGCATTTCATGGGGTACCAGTGTTCTTCATGAATGGCAGAAGCAAAAAGGGCACCATGAAGATATTGCAGCTTATGTGTCAGCATCCATTGCAGAGGATGAGGTAAAGGAAATCTGTGTGAAAACCTTGACAAGATTGTCTTCCATGGAAGTCATCATAGAAAGCAAAAATGACAAAAAATACCCTTACCTTTGACCCAGATGACCACATTATTGGGGATAATATACTTTTATGATAGCAAATTGAAGTCTTTTATTTTAATGAAACAAAGATAGTCATAGTAGAATTATTTGTAATTGTAAAAAATCTCAAAGCAACCGGAATGTCCAGCAGCAGGGAATTGGTTGAATAAATTGCTATGAGTTAATGTTATAATGGAATGAAAATAAAGACATATGAGTAATGTAAGGAAATCTGGAAAGACTTTTATCAAGTAAACAACTTTATCAAATACCACTTGCTTGTTTGTTATAGTAGCAGTGGCTTAGACCAGATGATCCTGAGGTCCTTTCATGCTCTTCAGTTCTGGGATTCTGTTTAAAAACATCGAATGGAAAACAAACAAAAGGAAGGTTCCCTGATTCTGGCCACGTAAGAAGAAAAGTTAATGGGAACAAATGGACAGATGGAAGCTGGAGTGACTAAGAAGCAGTGCTGTTGTGTGCATCAAAAATAACCGCTGCAAATAGGGATTATTTCAAAGCACATTTGTGTGATATTTTATATGAAGCTTGTTATTTAAAAAAAAAAAGTTATAGGGAGCTAGTCTGGTGGTTATGTAAAGACCTAGACTTGAAATAATGTGTTTTGTCAAATTGGCTGCAATGCCTCCCCTCTCCCCCCCCCCAGACCCCTACACTCCAGTGCTATGGGCCCTGAGGTCTGGTTTAGTAAGTCGAGTAAAGAGGAATGGAAGAGGGGTCGAGGAGAGGGGGTTGAGAAAGACCTTGCTCAGGGTAAGTGGCCAAACCTTCCTCTGGGGTTTTTAGCCAATAGACAATTTGGATATTGACGTCACGATGCGGTGCTTCTTTCCTACGATTCATTCCAGCTCATGGACGTTGATTTATAGCGTTTTTCTTCACCCTTGCCTATAAAATTTGATATCTTCTGTGTGCTTGAGTCCATAACCCAGACCCATTAGGAGGCTGTCTGATGGAGCTGGAACGTCCTGCTAATTGCAAGCTTGTGTGTGGCGAGACTAATCCTGAACTGACAAGAGTCAAGGGGAATAATGTCTTTTCCCCTCCTTTTGTAGGTGAAAGCTCATGGCCCTGGACTTGAAGGTGGTTTTGTGGGCAAGCCTGCTGAGTTCATGATAGACACCAAAGGAGCTGGCACGGGGGGCTTGGGCCTGACGGTAGAAGGTCCATGTGAAGCCAAAATCGAGTGCTCGGACAATGGGGACGGGACCTGTTCGGTCTCTTACCTTCCAACAAAACCTGGCGAGTACTTTGTCAACATCCTCTTCGAAGAGGTCCACATTCCCGGGTCTCCATTTAAAGCAGACATCGAAATGCCCTTTGATCCCTCCAAAGTTGTGGCCAGTGGCCCCGGGCTTGAACGTGGGAAAGTGGGAGAGGCTGGTGTCCTGAGTGTAGACTGTTCAGAGGCCGGGTATGGGGTCTTGGGCATGGAAGCCGTATCTGATGCTGGGGTCAAAGCGGATGTCCACATTCAGAATAATAAAGATGGCACCTATGCCGTGACCTATGTGCCTCTCGCCGCGGGCATGTATACGCTGACCTTGAATTATGGAGGGGAGCAAGTGCCAACGTTCCCTGCCCGGGTCAAGGTGGAGCCGGCCGTAGATACGAGCAAAGTCAGAGTCTACGGACCTGGAATTGAAGGAAAAGGTAAGGGGTTGCTTTCCATTCCTCCGGCCAGAAAAATGTGGCCATCTCCAGAAACTCATGTTTCTGGCAGGGTGTAAGCAGGTGGCATTTTTAAAGAATCTGGTTTCCTGGCCAGAATATCAGCTTATGGCAAATGGTTTTCAGCAACGATACACGAGGACTTTGGGATTTGTTTCTTACATGGTCAGTGATGAGAATTGGATGATAGTAAGTGATGTGGAGCCTGGCACTCCTCTTTACGCTGGTTAGATAGGGATGGGGCTAGACCTGGGATTTCATTGACACCAGGCATTCCCAAGTGTGGAAACTCCTCCCGGGGCAGCTTTTGTGCCTTCTCAGCAGCTTCAGTCTCAAGGAGTTGCCCAGAGCACCAGGAGGGTTGGGTGATTTGCCCAGGACACCCCAGCTTTGTAGTCTGGTCTTCTAGGCTCCAAAGTCCACCGGGCCACACAGAAACATACAGATGTGTGTTGACAACAGCTAGAACTGCTCTTTGATGGCTGTCTTGTGACTCTTTCTTCACAAGAGCCTTATGGCTTTATGATTGTTCTGCAGATGTGTTTCGGGAAGCCACGACCAACTTCAGAGTGGATTCCCGCCTGCTGACGAAGGTTGGAGGGGATCATATTAAAGCCACCATTGCCAATCCCTCTGGCGCCTTCACGGACTACCTCCTCAAAGACAATGCCGATGGGACTTATGACATTGAGTTCACCCCGTTTGAAAAAGGTGAGCTGGCTTTCTCTAGTCCTGACAAAAATGAAACTGCCTCATTTTAAGCAGATCTGATAGATCTTTTTTTTTTCCCCTGCCAGTGATCTTAAAATTTTTTTGACTCTGACCCAGGCTTTTTGTATTTAGTAATCTTTTCCAGAAAGCGCATGAAAAGTGACTCTTGGAAAGAGTCGAAACCCTGGCCTGGAGGGACACTGCATTTTGCACTGTCTCCTGTGCTGTCTCAAATATTTAGCCTACATTTCTGTTCAGTTTCCATTTCAGCTGAATTATATAATAGGTTGTGATAATCATAAATATTTTTTTGGTCTGGAATTGTGACTTCCTGGTGTAGAAAGTCCATCCACTGATGCAGGATAGCAACTTTTCAGGACTCTGGCCTTAGAGAATTGCCTGGGACACTAAGGGATGAAGTGGCTTGCTCATGGATGCACACTCCTTCTGTGTCAAAGGGCGTCCCTCTATCCATTATGCCACATTGCCTTTTAAATAATAAGAACATTAATGATGCCAATGATAATAACAATGATAATAAAAAAGAATAAGAGAGACAGTCATGGTGGTGTGGATAGAGAGCTCACTTTGGAACTAAGTAGACCCTGGTTCAAGTCCAGTTTTTGATAGATATCGTCTGTGCAATCCTTGGTGAGGCAGTCAGCCTCTCAGTGCTTTAGGTCTGTGGTGTCAAGTTCAAAGACAAAATATTGACTTATAGAAAACCACAAACTAACATTCTCTATTTCGCATTATATTTTTGTTTATTTTATTGAACATTTCCCAATTGCATTGGAGTTTGCTTTAGGCGTCTCTCTCAGATAAGACACATTGCAGAGAAGGCGCTGACTTCCAGCCGCAGAAGGGGCTTCCTCATTGGGAGTTCCCTCTACCAAACTCATTCAGAGTGTCCAGTCTCCGTCCCTGGTTGTTAATAATAAGAGCAACATGTACATGGAGGCTTAGGACTTCTAAAGGTTTTATCTATTGGGTCTCCTATCACTATTACCCTGTTAGGCAGGTAATATTGATATTATTATCTACAACTACATTTTAAAGATGAGGAAACAGGTCTAGAGAGGTTGTGAATTCCCATTGTTATTTAGCTTGTAAATACAGGATTGGGATTTGAATCCAAGTTTGCCATTATTCCATCTTACTACCCATTGTTGGCTCTGAATGTTACGGTTTTGTGCTATCCAAAATGCTTAATGAGTGTGTTATTTTTTAAAAAATTATTGACATATTTTATAAACAATCTTCATTTCTGAATATGCCCTTTCCCCATCCACTACCCAGTGAACCATTCTTTACAGGAAGAGAAACCATGATTTTATTGATATTGGGAACTCCCAGGTGAGAAAACTCCTTCTACCATTGTAGCTCAGCACCTTGTAACAAAAATTCTTTTGAATGCAGTTCAGGAAAATGAATCGGCATACCAGTTGAGTGTGACAGTATATACTGGGTTCCATACATATAGTCCCCCCCAACCACCTCCCTCTGTTTCTGCAAAGAAGAAGGAGGCACAGATTTTTCTCTTATCTTCCTCGGGACCAAACTTGATCTCTGTGCATTTTTCTAAATAGGCCTCCACACAGTGGAAGTAACATACGATGATGTGCCTGTGCCCAACAGCCCCTTCCGTGTGGCTGTCACTGAAGGCTGCCATCCATCTCGAGTGCAAGCCCAAGGCCCGGGGCTGAAGGAAGGATTTACCAACAAGCCCAATCCCTTCACTGTGATTACCAGGTAGGGGGAACCTGTGAGGCCTCCACTGATAGCGCTGGAAAACATGATGTGAGCCCAAGGAGTCAGGGTGCGTTATTGGTTTTGGGGGATTTCTTCGTTGCTACAGAAATAGACATTACTGGGAATTGGGGGAGGAAACATCTCCTGCTTTAGCCCCAAGGAAGAGGCCCTGAAGTTTTCTATGAAGACTCATGAGCCAGAATGGGGTTACACAGAATCCCTTAATGACACTCCCTGCCTGGGGTGGGGCTGGTGGCCCTGGAAGGAGGGAGAGAGCACAATAATAGCCAAGCAGGTAGACCCTTGGGATCTCTGTGGTCGGTAGAGAAAATGGGAGTGATTACAGAAAAAGCTGCCACCCCCCGGATTCTGACTTGAGTACTGACTGTTCCCTGTACTCTTCAGAGGAGCAGGAATTGGGGGCCTTGGAATAACGGTCGAGGGACCATCCGAGTCGAAGATAAGTTGCAAAGACAACAAAGATGGCAGCTGTAGCGCAGAGTACGTCCCTTTTGTGCCGGGAGATTATGATGTCAATATCACCTACGGAAATGAGCATGTGCCTGGTAAGATGCAATTGTGGAGTGTGAGTGGTTTGTGCTGCAGTCTGAGTTGGGTGGGACTTGGAGAAACATAGGCCATGACGTCACTCCTTTCTTAATGAAGTTTTGGCATGGGCGATTTCTGAATATTCTGTCTCTTGGTAGTCCTTCTGACCACCCATTTAATAACGGGTGTGTGTGTGTGTGTGTGTGTGTGTGTGTGTGTGTGTGTGTGTGTGTGGCATTCACCATCCAAAGTCCCCTCTTTTGAACCATGAAAAGGAGGGTGGGGCATTTCTAAGGGCCAATTCTAGAATGACTTGGAACATATGTCCAATTTTAAGAGCACACTGGGACATGGTTCTTTGTTCACAGGATAAAGCAGATGCTTTTTGTTTAGCAAAGCATTGAGTTCAAAGAAATGCTGAGCCAACATTGTAAATGGTTGTTGTTTTTTTTGCCTGGGTCTATCAAGACTCTTCCAGGGTCTCCATGACGTACTATACAGCTGCCTCTCCAAGGAGCTGGTCATTTGTTCTAGGAGGCTAAGGGATTCCTGTTCTGGGCTTGTTTGTAGGACTGGGATGGGCACAGTCCATTACTCTGATGTCTACTTACCCTTGGTATTATAGAGGAGGATTCCAGCTTAGGTACTGGTTTAATCAAATGTCCTTGAGTTCAGAGCTTCTAGGACCTAAAGAAACACAGATCCTAACAGTTTAGTTAATTAAATTACTATCTCACGATGAACACTTGAAAAAGGTTAGAATAAGATGTGATTTGAAAGCAAACCTAAGCAGGTGTGTTTCCATAGCTGACAGCCGGTGCAGGGTGCCAAACAGGTTGCTTCTGCTCATTAGGGGTGCCTATAAATAGAGGGTGTCTCCCTCTAAACTCTGTAACTGAGATTTAATGTCAGATTCATATTCCCGGGTGGTAGCTCGGGCATGGCCGAGAGTAGGGGGAGAAGAGGAAGGAAAGAAAAGAAACTCCCTTACTGATTTGGTGGGCTGATTTCTCACCAGCCTGCCTATTTCCCTATTCTGTAGACCTCTGGGCAGCGGTGGCTGGCATCTATCTATTTGTAGCATCCCCGTCTCTGTTCTTGCCCTCCCGCCCCATTCCTTTCTCCCAGGGTGCACTGGGCTGGCTCCTAAGCCTGGGCTGCTAAAGATGAAATCAAGCCAGATATTTTTTACAGACCAAATACAGAGCTTCTTTTATGAAAACAAGACTTTGTGCTCTGAAAACGCCAGCCGACTGCTTAGCAAAGCTGCTTTAATATACCCTGCTCCTGAGGGGAGAGTCTGTCATGCCTCGCCCCAAGGAGTGTTTCCTTTGGCATGGGAATCCTTTTTTTCAGGTGTTGGTCTAGCTGTAAACTGAACCTGATTCTCCCAAGCATTTTGCATTTGAAATTTCGGGTGGGGGTGTGGCCTTTCATTGTTGCTCTATGATAGACATTGCCTGCGTTCAAAACTCCTTATCAGTTTAACTTAGACATCTAAGAACTTTGTTGCAGAAGAGAGAACTCCTTGATTAAGACAATGTATACAGTCATACTGATTAGTCAAGGAAATCCCTCCAGAAGAACCATGGACACCCAGAGAAAGCCATAACCTCTATGCCTGGTTTTCCTCATCTGTAAAAGGAGGTTGGACTTCATGCTTCTGAGGTCCTTTCTGGCCTGAAATCTGTGGTCCTAGGATCTTTTAATCTGCCCAGCATCCCCAGAGGTAGAAGTCTGGAAAAGTAAGATGGGGGCTGGTTGTGAAGAGACTTCAGTGCCAGACCAAGGATTTTATATTTGATCTTAGTGGTAATAGGGAGCCAACAGAGTTTATTGAGTGAGGGTAGGGTAACATGATCAGATTTGCACTTTAGGAAAATCACTTTGGTATCTGAGTAAAGAATGCATTGAACTAGGGAGAGCCATGCGGCAGTTAGACCATTGGAAGGGAGTAGTCCAGGTGAGAGGTGATAAGGGCCAGAACTGAGATGGTGACGATAGTGGTAGAAAGAGAGGTAAAGTGGAGGGAGAAGACACAAGATTTGTTTTTTTTTAATTTTATTAATTAATTTTGATTTATCAACAATCACTTCCACATTCTTTTGAGTTAAAAATTTTTCACCCCCTTCCTCCCCCCCACCCTCCCCAAGATGGTGCACAATCTGATGTAGGCTTTATATTTACATTCCTATTAAACATTTTCACATTAGTGAAGTTGTAAGTAAAAATTAAAACCAATAGGAGGAACCATCAGAAAGATGAAACAAAACTCAACAGAAGGTAAAAATAAGTGATAGCCATTCGACTTCCATAGTTCTTTCTTTGGATGTGGACTGCATTTTCTTTTTTTCTTTTTTTTTTTGTTTGTTTTTAGGCAATTGGGGTTAAGTGACTTGCCCAGGGCCACATAGCTAGTAAGTATCAAATGTTTGGTCTGAGGCCAGATTTGAACTCAGGTCTTCCTGACTTCAGGGACGGTGCTCTATCCACTGAGCCACCTAGCTGCCCCAAAAACTAGCTCTGTGGACAGCATTTTCCATCATGAGACCTCTGGAGATGTCTTAGATCCTTGTAATGCTGAGAAGGGTTCAGTTTAACATTAGTCATCGCATAATGTGGCTGTTATTGTGTACAAAGTAGAGAAGACGCAAAATTTGGCAGTGAATTGGCTGAGAGGGGTCAAGGAAGAGCCTGGGGGAGCAAGGCTGTCCAGTCACACCTCTGCATTTATAGATGAGGACTGACTCAGACCCAGCCAGCGAGGTCAGCTCATGGCCCTGAGTCACCCCGCCAGCAAGAGGCAAAGCTGGGATTGGAACCCTGAGCGTTAGGGCTCATTCCTGGCTGCTGCGTGGTTGTCATCTGTCCTAAACTCACAAATACTGGGAGAAGCTCAGTGTTTGGGGTCCACCCTTGAGGTTCCTGAGCCTGGTTGTTAGTGAGTACATATAAGCCAACAGATGTGCAAAGCCAGGCCCCAGTGCTGCCACCTCCAGGTCTCAGAGATCACTCTGGCTCTCATCAGTTTGCCCTGATGGTCATTGTTGGGTATCTGTCCCCCCAGAGACCATAAGCTCCCCAAGGGAAAGGACTGTGTCTTTAGCGTGTCCCACCCATCGTGTCTGAGTGAACCATGGGCTTCTCTGCTTCTGTAACCCCCCAAGTAGACTGTGATTAAGCCTTCATTCATTGCTGCGATTGTCCTTTGATAGAGAAAGCAGATAGATGCTTTTCTGTCCCATGCTGCCTTCCAGATGAGCCCCATTTGGGAAGTGGAGGCTCGTGTCTCTCAGAGAGCTCTTTGCTGTTTACCCTGCGGAGTCTCCGTTTTAAGCATGTTTGGCTGTGGAGTAAACAGATCCCGGCTCCGATGGCAATGAACTGTAATTTAGCTTTGTCAGATGGAGCTCAAGTTGGGCCTGGCTTGACAGGGAGCCAAGGCTGGGGCTTAGTTTCCAAAGGGAGCTGTCAGTCATAGCCTCCCTCTGGGGTGGCTGCGATCCTGGGTCTCATTCTGTCTTCTGATGGTGAGGCTGTCTTCCATAGATGGCCTTGTTTAATTGTAAGGATATCACCACCTGTTGTTGTGGGCTTCCCAGGCTGTGTAGGGGCACAGGTTTGCATCCAGCTAGAACTCTCTTTCATTCAGCATGGAAAGCCCCCATGCGCTAGAACCCTCTTTCTGCAGGAAGGCCCCCATCAGCTAGAACCCTCTTTCTGCAGGAAGGCTCCCATGTTCTCTCTTCTTTCTCATTAGTTTTCGGGGGTCCACTGGGGGTAGGGGATCTCAAAGAACAGGGAGAGAACCTGGGGAAAGCCAAAGAGAGTCAGTCCCTTATGGAGCCAGACCATGAGGAGGAAGGACTGTTTGCCTCAGACAGTAAGTGAATGGAATTCCCTGTTGCCTCAGGAAGGAAGTTTCCTCTACAGGCTTTAGTCAGAAGGGAGAAGTGAAGCCCAGAACACGCCTGGGAGACCTCACAAGTTGCTGGTGTACAAAGAATAGGTGGGAGAGTTTGGCCTAAGAAATGCAAGAGGGGTGGGACAGGCTTTGTGTCCCAAGTGAACACTCCAGGCCTCCAGCTTCCAGGCTGAGTCAGTAATCGAATCGGGTGATTCTTATTTTGTTTTCTTACAGGCAGTCCGTTCAGGATCCCCGTGAAAGATACCGTCGACCCCAGCAAAGTCAAGCTCATGGGCCCTGGCCTGGGGACTGGAGTCAGGGCCAAAGTGCCACAGTCCTTCACTGTGGACACTAGTCAGGCTGGCCTGGCTCCGCTGGAAGTGCTGGTGCTGGGACCCAGAGGTGAGCCAGTGCGTTCTTCCTTTCCTCTCCATACGTCCGGGCGGTGAGAGAGAGGTCGAGTGGACAGAGAGTTGCTCTCAGTCAGGCAGGCCTGGCTTCCGGGCCTGCTTCTCACACATCCCGGCTATGTTCCAGGGAAGTTGCAAACCTTGTCAGTTCCCGAGATCAGACTATAGGTTGCTGATTGGTATTGGTAGAGGGAGTTTCTTGAGTGACTGTTCCCTTCACCAGAGATCGCAAGTCTGGACCGAAACAAGAAAATGTGTTATGTCCTACGAAGTACAAGAGCTTACCAGAGATTCCTGTTAAACCCTCAGATCTCATTCCTTGGTAGGCAGGCTCTTGAAGGAAGAGTGTTAATCTCCTTCAGGCCAGTACTCAGGCCAGACCCTTTTCTCCTTCTGAGGTGCCTGGGGCCTGTGGGATTCTCTCTCCGCGTTTGAGAGAGGAATGGAGCTTTGGGACTAGAAGGAACTGCTTCTCCCTCTTGTTTGGAGTTGGACTTTTTAGTCCTCTCCCTTTTTGGGGGGCTTAGGCCTCCATGGGGGATGATGGCTCACGTTGTCTCCCAGAAGCACGGCTGCTGCTGCCATTAGCCATAGATGTTCCTTTTGCTCCAGCGTCCTGGAGAGAAAGATGCTTTTGGGAATGAGCTTAGAGTTGGTCCTTTGGCATGACTGGACCGAAGCATCGTGGACGTTGGGGATGGGGGAAGCCGGTCGCACAGTCAGTTTGGATCTGTGATGGGGAGCACTTGCCACGCTCACCAGAGCTTAGAGCCGGAAGTACTGGGTCCTGGTCCAGCCTCTGACCCCTCCTGGCCGTGGGAGCCTGGCCAGTCACTTTCTTTCTCAGGGCCCCAGGCAGTTTGCTGAGTCCAGAAGCTGCTGAGGGAAGATTAGATCCAAAATGAAATGGTTGCTCACCAGTGCAGGGCCTACTTCCCTTTTCTCTAAAGAAGCATCCGTTAGGGAGGTCAGGAAGATGTCTTCCTGGTAACTGGAACAGCTCTGCAGGTCTAGATGGGAGAAGTGGCCTGAGACAGAGTGACAGCTGTCACTTTGGACTAGACAGAAAGCAGCCTGAAGCCCTTTGCTCTGTGTGTCTGGACCCTCAGAGACTCTTCTTGGGAGCACATTTCTTCCAGCGACTCTAGGCATGTCTGTTCTGGAGTTCTCTGGATTTTCCTCCTGAGGTCTCCTTGGCTCTGCATTCGAATGGCCCCTGACCCTGTGTCTGTCCTCTTTGGAGAAGAGGCTTCCTCCTCAGTAGCATAACCCCCGGAGCCTGATGGGTGCCACCTGAAGGGAAGGACAGAGGGGGGTCAGGCTGGAATTGACCAATTCCACTACGTCACCAGAGGTAGAACTTTATGTGATACGGTGGCGAGGAAGGAAGCAGGCAGGGGGTGGGAGCAGTGGACTCCGCCATTGTCTCGGTTATGCCAGTGCCCTCGAGTAATGGCTTTTTAATTCCAGTGGACGAGATGGACTCGCAGGCCCGGCGCAGCCCACTGAAAGCCACTTCAGATTTCTTTAGAGGTGACCAGCAGGGTGATTTTAATGAGACAGGTTGGCAGTTGCATGATGCTTATCCGTCCGTCTGTCTGACACTCATTGCCTAACTCCCATAATGACCTGAGTGGTCCTTTAACTGCACTGTGGTGGCTGAGGTTTTGGCGGGGAGGGGGCATGGCTGTAATAGGCTCTGGCTTCCTACAATGCGATCAATGCCGGCTTTGCTGAGATGACTGCTTTAGAGATTCTTTTCATCCGATTGCTCCTGGGGCTTTAAGCTTCATGCGATAAGAAGCTTCCCCACACCACAAACTCACACCCCTCGTGCTGCTGCCCTCATAGCGATCGCAGTGGACCCTCCTAAAAGGAGGCCTCCAGTCCTGATTGGAGGACATTGGGGGCTTTCTTCCTGCTAGTTCCATAGGAGATCTTGCCTCTTCATGCCTCAGAGTTAGCACGGGACGGTTATACTGACCCACTTTAAATGCCGAAGCACTTTGTACTTGCATGATCCCATTAACAGTGGTGTACTAAGTGGGGTGCATATTTCTCATGCGCCCGGACGAGCAAAAGCTGTCTCACTAAGAGTCCTCCTGGAGAGACTGAGATTAGAGTGGCTCACACTGGAAGCATAGCAAGCCTGTCAAGGCCAGTCCTTTGTCCACCCTCGCTTCTGTAGGCCCTGGGCCTGGACACCCCGAGGCCCACATCCCGGTCCCGCTGGGAGGGGTCTTGCTTGGTCAGCCCAAAGCACTTGTCTGGACTCAGATGGACTCCTCCTCCTGCCCCAGGCCTGGGCCTGGTGGGAAGGTCCATGGCCTTGCCCTTTTCAGAGCCGTCCCGTTTGTTCCCTAGGCCTGGTGGAGCCGGTGACTGTGATGGACAACGGAGACGGCACGCACACCGTGACCTACACCCCGTCGCAGGAAGGACCTTACATGCTGTCTGTCAAATACGCTGACGAGGATGTCCCTCACAGGTAAAGGAAGGCCTTGGTCCTCTGGGCTTGCCTCCACCCTTTAATGCCAAGATGAATTACAGTTCTCTACAGAGAACACTCAAGCTGCTTGTTCCTGTGGGCTTGTTAGAAGGCAGTGCCTCCATTTTGTCACCTGCATCAAAGAAGGATGGATAATTACTGCTTTCACATCACATTCATCTCCACACATAGCTCCCTCTCCCCTCCTCACACAGCCACACCTTGTAACAAAGAATAACAAAAGACAGTTCACTGAAAGTAATCAGCACGTCACCCAAGACGGGGAGTGTAGGCACCAATTTGTACACTTGGTCCCCCCCCTCTGTAAAGAGGGGACTGGCTTGGTGGCTGTGAATAGATGTCTTCTGTTGTTTCTTGTTCTTCTTGCCAGCCCCACCGTCCTGGTCCTGTTTGCTCTGCTTTGCACCATCGTTATTATGAGCCTTTCTTTGCGTCCTAGTCATAGTTTCTGGTGGCACACCTCTTCTGTTTCATTCCCATGTTAAGTGCTGGGGATGCAAAGAAGGGCCAAGCAGTCCCTACTGTTGAGGATCTCAGAGTCAAATGAGGGAAGCACGTGTAAATAGCTCCCAGCATGCCTGTGGAACACATGGAATATAGAAATACCAGATGGAGAATCATCAGAAGGCAAGCACCTGGGGTGGTGGGGAGATGGGGAAGGAGCCCGGGCGGGCCTTCCTTCAGAAGATTTGATCTGAGCTGAGTCTTGAAGATGTGGAGGGAAAGGAGGAGAGTCCCTGGCATGGGGCACGGCGGGTGCAAACACGTGGAGTCGGAAGAGGCGGGGTGGCGGGTGACGAGAATGGCAAGTACCTGGATCTGGATCAGGGTGGAGGGCAGCCAGCTTGTGAGAGGCTTTGCATGGCAAACGGAGGACTTTATATTTGATCCTGGAGGTAACACTGGGTCTCTGGAATTTATTGAGTAGGAGGGTGGGATAGTCTAGTCTGTGCTTTAGGAAAATGCTTTTGACGGCTGAGTATAATGTCTACAGGAGCTGATAGAGGCTTGAGGCAGCGAGCCCAATGAGGCTATTGCAGTAGTCCAGGTGAGAGATAGGACCTTGAGTTTAGGTGGTGGCAGTGGACTGGATATGTTGGGTGAGTGAAAGTGAGAAACCAAAGGAAGATGCTGAGGTTGCAAGTGTTTGTGGCAAGGAGGCTGGTGATGGCCTCGAAAGGAATGTGGAAGCTTGGAAGAGAAGGGGGGATGAGCGGGAAGAAAATGAGTTCTCTCTTGGATATGTTGAGTTGAGATGTCGATGGGACATCCAGTTGGAGATGTCCAAAAGGCAGCTGGAAACTGGGACTCAGGAAAGCAAGGGCTGGATACATTGGTCTGAAAATCTGAACCCGTGGGAGCTGATGACATTGCTAAGAGAGAGTGCAGGGGGAAAAGAACAGGACCCAGGACAGAGCCTTGGGGGACACTCACAGATAGTAGATGTGATATGGATGAAGATCGTCCCACACAAATGGAGGAGGAGTGAGTGGCCAGACAGGTAGAGAAGAGAGCAGTGTCACGAACACTTAGAACAGAGAACCTAGGAGGAGAAGGTGATGGGCAGTGTCAAATAATGCAGAGAGCTCGAAAAGGCCCTTAGGTTTAGCAGTGATGAGATCATTGGAGAGAACGGTTTCATCTGCAAGATGGTGGAAGTCATATTTCAGAGGGTTGAGAAGAGAGTGAGGACACGGAGGCAGTCAGTAGAGCTAGCTTTCTCAAAGGGTTGAACTCAGAATGTGAGGAGAGAGACGGAGATAGAGATAAGCTCATAGCTGGCAGACTTGCTCAGTCATAACACATGGAGGAGACTAGTTTCGTAGGCTTTTCCCAGCTGATGGGCATCTGGTGACTCCTTGTTTCTGACTGATCCTTCAGTTTTGTTTTTTTAATAGTATTTTATTTTCCCGTAGTTACATGTAAAAACAATTTTTAACATTCATTTTTGAAACTTTGAGTTCCAAATTCTCCTCCTCACTCCCTCCCAACTCCCCTTCATTAAGAAGGCAAGCAATTTGATATAGGTTATATACGTGTAGTAATGCAAAACCTATCCGTAATAGTCATGTTGTGATAGAAAACATAGACCAAAAAAAACCTCAAGAAAAATAAAGTAAAAAAAATGCTTCAATCTGTATTTGGACACCATCAGTTCTTTCTCTGGGGATGGAGAGTATTTTTCATCGTAAGTCCTTCAGAGTTGTCTTGGATCGTTGTATTGCCGAGAACAGCTAGGTCATTGCCAGCTGATCATCTTACAATATTGCTGTAACTTTGTACACAGTCCATTTCACTTTGCATCCACCCGTGGATGGTTTCTCTGATTAGCCAATCTAGTAAGTATGAGGTAGTACCTCAGAATTATTTTAATTTGCTTTTCCCCAGTCTACAGTGAGTTAGAGTATTTTTTTTTCATACGGCTTTAGATAGCTTTGATTACTTTGTCTAAAAACTGATCACATCTTTCGATCATTTATCAATGGAGGAAGATCCTTCATTTTTGAGAACTCTGAGATCCTTTCACTTGTCCTTTGCTTGCTAATCATATTCCACAGTTGTTCCACTTGTCGATTTTATTATTTAAATAAAGTGTGTTACGGAGGAGAGATGATGACCGCCCTTGAGGCTGGGTAGATGTCTCATGATTGGGATGTCTCCTCTGTGTTCAGTCCTTTCAAGGTCAAGGTCCTCCCCACATATGATGCCAGCAGAGTGACTGCGAGTGGCCCTGGCCTCAGTTCCTATGGGGTTCCAGCCAGTTTGCCTGTGGAGTTTGCCGTTGATGCCAAGAAAGCAGGCGTTGGACCCCTTGCTGTCCAGATAACAGTAAGTTGTCTGCTTTTGGTGTTCCTGCTCCCTTCACATTCAGTGAGGCCCAAAGTCCTAGTGCTCTCATTTCACAGGTGAGGAAACTGAGGCATAGGAGAGGTTAAGTGAATTTCCAACGGTCTGAGGGCTGCGAAGTGGGAGAGCTAGGATGGGACAGAGGTCTTTTGCCTGGTCCAGGGCTATTCTTGCTACACCACTGTCTCCCTGGTTGGGGTGACCCATCAAATTTGAAGGCTGGGCTGTTGCTCTGGGTACCTGATAATGTCATGCATTGGTGTGGAGCTCATCCTCGGAAGAGAATTTAGAACAGTGGTTCACCCTTTCTCCCAAGCACTCCTCTGTGCAAAAACGATTCTGATGAATCTACCCAGAATCAGCCTGAATTTGCTTATTTAAGGTCACTAAATCAGTTGAGTGCTAGAGAGGGCACTGTTTTCTGTGAATGGTTCCTGTAGGTTTTGATTGCATTTGTTAATCTCATTGTACTTGTGATGCCCAGGACCAAGAAGGAAAGCCCAAAAGAGTCAATGTTCATGACAACAAAGATGGTACCTATGCAGTGACCTACCTCCCTGACAAGACAGGCCGATATCTGATTGGGGTCACTTATGGCGGAGATAACATCCCATCTTCTCCTTACCGAATCAGGGCCACCCAGACTGGAGATGCCAGCAAATGCTTGGCCACAGGTGAGTGGGATTCTCTGGGCCAGAACTCCTGATGGGATTGGGTGGTACTGATGGGGACCCTCACCACACTTGCTCTGGAAATGGCCTCACTTGTACACCTGATAAGTGACAGCATCAGGCTTCTAGCTTTTCATAAAGTTCAAGGGCAAATTAGGGCACCTTAGTTAGCGTGTAAATGCAGATGACCACCATAATGGGTTGAACTCTCCAGCTAAAGGTAGGAAGATGAACTATGTGGATGTGGGGCATGTGCCCAGGCAAAGATTTAGAAACCTCTCATGTGAGCATTAATCTTCTCCCAGGGACAAAGTGTTTCTTCTTTGATAACCAGTGTCCATGAGGGTACAGTAATAATAGAGTGGGTAGATGGATAAATAATCTCTTGTGGTTTCCAAGCCGTAATCTACCTTTTCACTTGCCTAATTGTCAACATATTTAGTTCAAGAAAAGGTACCTCTAGGAGTCCAATTCAAGAAGCATTTGTTAAATGCTTGCTGTATACCGGGCCCTTTTCTGTTCTAACAGATGTGTTCCGTGACCCTCTAATTCTTGATGTCTAAGGAGCGATGCTTCATTCAATTCCTTGTTCTACCACTTAGAAATTTAGAAGGCAAATCGCTTCACTAATCTTGGCCTCTGATGGCTCATCTGTACACTGAGGAGATTGGCCTTCATGGCTTCTCTGGTTCCTTCTATATCCACATCTGTGACACCTGGCAACCCTGAAAATATATCTTCAGCAATGTGAAGATTGGCCTTCATGGCTTCTCTGGTTCCTTCTATATCCACATCTGTGACACCTGGCAACCCTGAAAATATATCTTCAGCAATGTGAGCCTCCCTCCCGTGTGACCCAAAATATCGCCACTCTTCAGGAGACAGTTTCATGAATCACTGGGGCTAAAAGAATTCTTCTTTTGGTGGCCGACCTTTGTTGATGAGGCTGGTTCTCAGGAAGGCTACCCACCCCTGTGTCCTGCTGGCGTGCCATGGTGGTCCACTGGAGGCACCAGTAAAATTTCCTTCTTTAACTTGACTGGCTGAGTTCCCTATGGAACTTTAGCTTGGCATTCGATGCCCTCCACAGTCTAGCCCCAACCATCCTTTCTAATCTTAAACTTGCTATGTGAATTGTGTGTCCCAGTAGAGCAGAGATTTACTAAGTGCCTACCATGTGCCAAGCACTGTGTTAGGATGAAAAAAGAAATGTGAAGAATGAACCGGTTCCTGCTCTCAAGCAGCTTACAGTCCTGTAGGTTGGGTCTGTCCCTGTCCTCTCAACACACTGCTGTTACCCAGGCCCAGAGACTCTCTGTCATCTCCTCTGCCTCCCAGCTTCCCTGGCTTTCTTCTTTTATAAAAGGCCTCCCCCTCCCCGTCCCCAGCTGGCTGGTGCTAGTGTCTTCCCTCTGCCGTTGCCATGCATGTTGCCTTCCCCATTGGAATGTGAGGTCTTCGATGCCCTCGGCTGTTTTCACCTTTTGTTGACATCCCCAGCAATTAACACAGTGCCTAGGGCGCAGCACCTATTTTAAAAATACTTGTTGATTTTATCTAATATTTCTGCCTGCCCTTCAAGGCCCAAGTCCCTACTCTTCTACAGAGCCTCCCCCAGGTATATCCACCCAGTGATTTCCAGGGATGGATATCCAGTGACTTCTCCTTCTTTTGACCTCCCACGGTGCTTATTGTGTGAAAAAAATGGAAGCTCAACAGAAGTTAGGTGACTTAGTAATATGGCTAGCACGAGATGGAGTGAGGATTTGAACGCAGATCTCTGTGACTCCAAGTCCAGTTCTTTTTCCACTATACTACATGGCCTCTTCTTTAATGGAAGATAGAGTCTTTTGAGCAGTTAACCTAGAAAGACCCTGCTGGGGGCTCATAGCTCTTTTCTAGATATTGACATTACTGCTTTGTGGGTGCATGGTGTTAATGATGGTGATAGCTGACATTGCTGTAGCATTTCGCGTCTGGCAGAGGGCTTTTCATGCACGATCCGCTTGGTCCTCACAACTGCCGTGAGAAGTTGGTGCGGTTATTATTCCCACTGTAGAACTGAGGTTTCTGAGGCCCAGAGAGGTCCAGGGGTTTACCCAGGGATGTACAGCGAGGAAGCATGGGAGTCAGAACTGGAAACCAGCTCTTCCTGATTCCAGGTCGAGTGCTCTCACCTGCCATGCCGTGATGTGGTTGAGCTTTTCTGCAAACTTCTGTGTCAACTGTTTTCTAGGCCCTGGGATTGCACCCACTGTCAAAACTGGGGAGGAAGTTGGCTTTGTGGTTGATGCCAAGACTGCAGGGAAAGGGAAGGTGACCTGTACTGTCCTGACCCCTGATGGCGCTGAAGTGGAAGCAGAGGTCATCGAGAATGAGGATGGCACCTATGACATCTTCTACACGGCGGCAAAGCCTGGCACTTACGTCATCTATGTGCGCTTTGGGGGAGTGGATATTCCCAACAGCCCCTTTACCGTCATGGTAAGACTGACCTTAGAACTGACCTCACCTGGAATGTGGAGGGATAGGATGGCATTAGTGTCTGTGCTGCGCTGGTGCCCAGCAGGAGTCCAGTTGGCTCTATGGGCACTGGGCAGTCTTGCTAGAGGTTTTGTGGGTCGTTATTAGTGGGGTGAGGTGGTCCCTCAGGTCTACGGCACACAAACTCTTGTCCTTTCATGACATCATCGCATTGTTAGGTGTTTTCCTTCTGCAGCAGAGAAAAGATCTGACTGATTAGCTTATTGAAAGGGGGAGTTCCAGAATCACTTTACCTGGATCTGGTACAGCCAGGTGGAGTTGGGTGAGGGCTAGCAGCCTGCGTAAGAGCCAGTGGACAGTTTTCTGGCCGATGATGACCAGAGGTCGTTGTGTGAGCACCTTGGGTGCTCAAGGAGAGAAAGCAGTGATTCTGGGGGCTGGTGCTCTGTCTGGTCCATTGACCTGAGCCAGCGTATGGGAGGTTCCCCTGCCTCCTTCTGCCCCAAAGAACGTTTGAAGCTAAAGTACTGTAGGGTCTTAGACCTAGAGCTGGGCCAAACCATTTTACAGATGAGGAAACTGAGGCCCAGAGTTTGTAAGCAGAAGAGGTGAGATTTGAACCCCAGAGTGGATTGAATTCCCTCATCCGCTTGGGTGGTGATTATTACACATAAAATGAGGAGAACCTCGAAGACCGGGTGAGCCACATTGTTACTTAAAAAGGCAACAGCAGAATATCTCCGTACATGGCCAGATTTATGTGTGTTAAACGTGCTTGTGTCATGTCGAGTCCCGATTCCCAAGGCAGGTGTGGTGCCTCCGTCCTGGATCACCAAATACTAAAGTGCCCTGGTGAAAGGTGCCGCACGGGCATCTCTGACCTCCTCTCCTGACTTCTCAAGTGTGATGGGGTAGAAAGGCCTGGGGCCTGGGAATCCGTTTGAACGCTGGCTCTGCCAGTCGCTAGTGGTGGCCTTGGGCAAGGCATCACAACTCTCCGTGCCTCAGTTTCTCCATCTGTAAAATAAGGGAGTTGAACACGCATCCCATCCAGAACTAAAGTTCTCTTGTCTCCAGGAGCCCACAAATGAGAAAATTCTCCCTTGATCACTATCACAGCTCACTCAAGCCTGGCACAAGCTTGGTGCTTGGGATCACTGGCTGCTCACAGCTCAGATAACTATTGAGCCTTCCAGGACAGTGCGGGGGAGAGGGGACAGACATGACATCAGAGGATCTGGGTGGGAGTCCTGCCATGTGAACTTGGGCAGGGACCGAAGGAGCCATCATCTGGTCTGGCCTCCACAGTTATAGATGGGGAAACTGATGCCCAGTGTAGGAAGTGTCAAAGCTAGAATTTGAACCCAGGACAGTTCAGTGGTGCAGTGGATAGAGCACTGGGCCTGGAGTCAGGAACATCTGAGTCCAAATCTGGCCTTAGACACTTACTGGTTGTGTGACCCTGGGCAAGTCACTTCACTTTGTTTGCCTTAGTTTCCCTTCTATAAAATGAGCTGGAAAAGGAAATGGCCAGTGACTCCAGAGTTATACATACACGAGCACGCACGCACACACACACACATATACACACACGTATATAATTCATTAAAGGGATATTTTCGGCTGCAGATTTCTTAAGTCTGTCTACGTGTCCAATTAAAAACTGACAGTAACAACCAGTGATCCAGGCATGATCTCCATGAGATGTGGGTTGTGGGGAGAGCTCCCTTAGGTAGAGGTGAATGAGAAGGGGGTTGGGCAAGCCTCAGGGACTATTTGTAGTCCCACCCCAAAGGATGAGGTTCGTTCTCCCCCACCAGGAAGGGGCTTAGATTTTTTTCTGTTGAGTAGGGGGACTACCCTGTGTTATAATATGCGACTAATCTCCATTTGCCACTAACCAGGCTACAGATGATGACGTTGCCGTAATGAAGGAGGCGCCGGTAAATGCACGTCCCCCTGGCTACAGCCCTTGGGTACACCATTTCCCCCCCTTTTCACATTTCTCCCTCTCACGGAGCCCTTCATTTCAGAGCGCCTCCAGCCTGCTTCTGGGGATTGCTTGAGCTCTCTGGTGTCTCTGTTCAGCCATGTATCTCTCCAGTTGATCGGTAGCTTTTAGAAGGGTTCAAATCATCCCGGGATCTGTTCTTGCGCTTTCTAATGATGCCTTAATGTCATAACACGCGCCCCATGAATTACCATTGGTCACGTCTAATCGTATTAATGAAAAGTCTGTGTCCACGCTGAAGGAGGGGGGATGGGGAGCCAAGGGCTTCCTTCCGCCGTCCTGCTGGGGCTAAAACTGCCCTTCGGGATCAAGATCTTGGATGCTTCTGTCCCAGGGTTTTGTTTGCTGCTGTAAGATGCGCTTTCTTCTCTAGGCCACCAGCAGCGAAGCCTTTTTCAGTTCAGCCCTTTGGGCCTTTACTTACACACGTGACACTGCACACACACACACACACACACACACTTTATTTTTCTGTTTCTCTCTTTTCTGTTGCCTTTGAGTACTGCTGGGAGTTTTACAAACAAAATGGAAGTGTGTAGTCCTAGCATTGGCCACACTTGATCCTCCAAATTCTTGAAGCTTAGCCCCTATATGTTGTGTGTTCCTCGGCTGGGTGGCATTCCGCTCTGGAGAACGCAGCCCTGCTTTCATTGGTTTGCAAAATTACCAGCTGTTCTACCCTGCTGTCGCTTTCCTCCGGGTTCCTTCAGCTTTCTCCTTGCCTGAGCTCCTCTCTCATCCTGTTTCTAGGTGACCGAAGAAGCCTATGTCCCAGTCAGTGATATGAATGGTCTGGGATTTAAACCCTTTGACCTGGTCATTCCCTTTGCCGTAAGGAAAGGAGAAGTAACTGGTAAGCAATGCCATCAGGTCTGTCTCTTGTCATACATGTCAGGGCTGGGTCTGCTCCTAGGTTCTTAGATGGTGTCTTGGCTCTGGGTGGGGCAGCCTCGCCTGCCCCCCAGGCTGTACTGACTTCTGTACACTTGATGGGCCTGGCTCCCAGCAACACCTTCACGCATCCCCTTGGAAGCTTTGAGAGCTGTGGCTTGGGATGTCCCAGGAGCCCTTCTTTCTTCTGTGGCCTTGTTGCATTCAATCAAAACCCCTCTAGGACTGATTTTATTCTAGAGGCCTGAGCTGGGCTGTAAGGGTGGTTTTCTCTTTTAAAAGGCCGGTGACAGTTTGGTGATGCATTGGGCCTACTATCATGAAGACCTGAGTTCAGATCCCAAGCCTGAGGCATTTTCTAGCTGGGTGACTGGACAAGTCACTTAATGTCTGTCTGACCAGGTTTCCTTAGCTATAAAATGGGGATAAGAATAGCCCCCACCTCCCAGGGTTATTGGGAGGATAAAATGAAATAACCCTTGTAAAGAGCACTTTACACGTTTGAAGTTTATATAAATGCTGGTTATTATTACTATCATGATGGTTGTTATTTTTAAAATGGACATTTCTTTTAAGCCTTGCTTGCACCCAGGCTGCCCTCGGGTCAGTTCTTACATAACATCCCTGATGTAACACAGTCTTCTAGAATAAATCTTCTACTAGACATTTGCTGTTTTCTGTGAGAGCCAAGGAGGGGAATTTGGCCGCCATCTTCCTGTTATATGGGACTTGGCAACCTTAGGCTGTGTGTTTAAGTGATGAGTGCTCGGCTCAGGACACCCAAAAATGTTCCTTTTAAAGACCTCTTAAGCCAAAGCATCCACCTTTTCCAGGAAAACAGCTGGAGTTCATCCACTTATGGGCCTCACTCATCTGCTGTGTTTGCTGTGTTCCACAGGAGAAGTTCACATGCCCTCTGGAAAGACGGCCACCCCTGAGATTGTCGACAACAAAGATGGCACTGTCACTGTTCGCTATGCGCCCACTGAGGTTGGCCTGCACGAGATGCACATAAAGTACATGGGGAACCACATCCCTGGTGAGTCGGCTTTGGCTTTACTGTCTGAACGGCTCTGTGGCAGCTCAGGCTTGGAATGCTGCGGGTGCTCATAATCGCTAACTCTCAAAGCACCCGGGGGAGTGGAAATAGCATAGATTTTTACAGATAGAGCCGATAGCCTTATAAAACCGAGCAGTGACTTTGACCTCAGTAGCCCTCGCTCTTGGGTTCTGGTAGAGAATACGTGGAACTGGATTTCTTTGACTGCCCCAGTGTGGTGACCCAAATGAAAAGAGTGAATCAAAGGGATGTGTAAAGAGCAAGGGATGCCCCAGATGGCCCAGAGAACCGTTAAGGGGCCTTAGAGGGAGAAGCTGGGGAAGGACTTTCTCTAAAATGTATGTTGTCATGAGAGCATATCCAGGCCTCCGTGGTGCCGGCTTCCCACCTGCTGGCTACTCTCCCCAACCTTGTTGTTTTCTCTCGGTTTTCTAAAGTTGTGTGAAAGGCCCACTCCTTTGGGTTTTCTTCACGGAGAGCCTCAAGTTTAGTCATAATGTCATCTTCTTTCTTTATGCTTTGGGGAATGAGGCCCAACAGAATGTAGTCCAGGTCTAGGGAGAAGAGAAAACCTTGAGCCATGGGCCTACTTGGATTTAGGAAGACCTGGGTTCAAGCCCTGCCTCTGACTGTGACCTTGGGAAAGTCACCTCCCCATACCCCCGGGCAGCTCTGAAGGCGTAAGCCAGAGATAGATGAGATGCCATTTTGTATCCCTGGAGGGGCTTTCCTATCAATTAGTGAGAGTTAATTAAGCTCCTGCTGTATGAGGCTCCCTGCCCCCAAGGAGCTTCCTGCTTGGGCCCCTCAGGATGGATTATCCAGACAGACCCAGAGTGAACTAAAAGAAACCAGCGAAAGCAAAGACTGAAAGCTGGTGAATCGCAGGCTCGTGCACGTTAGAGGTGCGCTCACCAGCCTTCTCTTGTTCTTCATTTGTGACCCTAAAGAGAGCCCCTTGCAGTTCTACGTGAACTACCCAAACAGCGGCAGCGTGTCAGCGTACGGGCCGGGCCTGGTGTACGGAGTCGCCAACAAGACAGCCACCTTCACCATCGTCACCGAGGACGCCGGAGAGGGTGAGCACCTGGGGCTGGCGGGAGCCGGCAGGAATCTTCCCGTCCTGCTCTGTCCTTCCCTTGCATCTGTTCAAGTCTGTTTATAAAACAAGAATGCCATGAAACAGATTTTGAGTGCAAACAGCCTGAAATTCTGATCCTTCTTCCCTCCCCCCCTCCACTCCTGCTCTATAAACTCATGCAGATAGAGATGGATATATAACATTAATACTTCCAGTAAAGTACTTCCTCATAATACACACATAAAAGATGGTCAATACTTCCAATAAAGCATATATGTGTATATGTAAAATTAATACGTCTAATAAAGTCCTTTCTCTCTCTCTCTCTCACACACACACACACACACACACACACACACACAATTAATACTTCCAATAAAGTCCTTCCTGGCAAATATAATATGATGTGACATATTACTTCATATTTATATATATGTATACAATACATATGTGCATATAATATACATACATATAAATTAAGAATGCCAATGAAGTCCTTCCTGGCATATATGTATAATATGTATTACATTTGTGTATATATACATATACATATACATCTATAGAATTAAATCTTCTCAGAAAGTATGTGTATGAACTGTGTGCATCCAGTAAAGTCCTTCCTGGTACCCCCTGCCATCAATGTGGCCCTGAATTTTCAAGGACTGTGTCACTGGCCTCAGCACCTTTCTCATTAGGCTGTCTACAGGGGCATGGATGAGGGGGATACTCTCCCCAGATCTCAATATGGCAGTGACCTTGTGCCATGCTGAGAGATGGTGCCTAGTAGGGTGTGTGTTGATTTTGTCTATCTTCGACAACTGGAAGCCAGTGGGCCGTGTGGTTTCCCAGCTCCCACGGGGCCATCCCTAGGGCAGAGTTGCCTCTATTGATCAAAATGGCAGCTGCCATCTTAGCCGCTCACAGTCGATCAGCGTTTGATTCCTCCCCTCACCAGAAGTGGTATATTCTGGCTGCCCCTGTCCCAATGACTGTCCCCACTAAAAGCAGGGAGGCTCTTCTGTCTGCCAGGTGGGCTGGACTTGGCCATCGAGGGGCCTTCCAAGGCTGAGATCAGCTGTATTGACAACAAGGATGGCACCTGCACCGTGACCTACCTGCCCACACTCCCCGGTGACTACAGCATCCTGGTGAAATACAATGACAAGCACATTCCTGGCAGCCCCTTCACAGCCAAGATCACAGGTAGGGGAGCGCCGGCTGGTCGCGGAAGCCCAGGGCAAGGCTCTGCCACTTCCCTGGCTCCCGTCCCTGGGGTGAGCTCGGGATCTCTACAGCTCTGAGTTAGATGTCGAGGTAGAAGGACCTCGGGGGACGTTTTGTCTGAGCGTTGCCCAGGGTGCGTCACTGAACCTCAGGGCATTCTCTATGACTTGTAGAACCACTCATGTATAATAGAGATCTGGGGGGAGGACGTGTTGAAGTCATATGTGTCCTTCCTGCATCGATGGGGCCCTGCGAAGTTTACCCAGAGCTGACGCTTGGTCGCACAGTAGGTCTTAAAGTGTGTTGTGGGTAGCATAAAGTGCAGAGTAATTAATCTGAGCTGGGGGTGTGTGTGTGTGTGTGTGTGTGTGTGTGTGTGTGTGTGTGCACCCATGTCTGTGTGCGTGTGCCCTCGGACACATCCTAGACAACAACAGGAGGTGTTCCCAAGTGAAGCTGGGCTCAGCTGCTGACTTCCTGCTGGACATCAGTGAAACTGACCTGAGCGCACTGACCGCCAGCATCAAAGCCCCGTCGGGCCGAGATGAGCCCTGCCTCCTGAAGCGGCTCCCAAACAACCACATTGGTGAGTCAGCTGCCAGCACCAGTCTCCTGGCTGCGCCTTTGTTTTTCTTGGGGTGGGGGAAGAAATGGGGCAAATGCCCTGGGCCGCCCCTAGAAAGAGTCCCTTCCTTGGAGGTCTCCAAATAAAGCCTAGATGTCCGCCTGTCACTTACGGTGTTGGAGGGAAGGGGGGAGAATTTCCTTTTTTATGTACAGGTTGGACTGGGTGGCACAAAGATGGCCTCAGGCTGGGACGATGCCCTGTCATTGTGTTCCTCATGATTCTTCTCATCCTGAAACTGCTATTTGGCACATTTGGGGGAAAAAAACCCAACAAGTTAATATGAGCTGAAGTATTTTTATTTTTATTTTCTATCCTCAATGTTAATAGCATCCCTTGGAATGGATAGTGCTTTAGGACAGTGACTTTTAGCCTGGGGAGTATGATTTCAGGAGTCCATGGCTTGAATGGGAAAAAGAAATGACATTTTAATTTTCACTGACTTCTAACTGAAATATAGTATTTCCCTCAATTATTTAAAAACATGATTCTGAGAATCAGGCTGCCCAAGGGGCACGATCCCTATTTGTGAAGCCAGAGGTAGGCCTCATGGCCTTGGGTTTCATGGTTCCCTTTCTTCCCCTGAAACTCTGTTGTTTCTGTTTCTTTCAGGCATTTCTTTCATCCCCCGGGAAGTCGGGGAACACCTGGTCAGCATTAAGAAAAATGGTAGCCATGTGGCCAACAGCCCAGTCTCTATCATGGTGGTTCAGTCTGAGATTGGAGATGCCCGGAGGGCTAAAGTCTCAGGCAGGGGCCTGACTGAAGGACGCACTTTTGAAATGTCAGACTTCATCGTTGACACAAGGGATGCAGGTCAGTCTTCCTGCTTCAGTACTGCTAGGGAAAAGCCCAGAGGCTTCAGCCCAGCCTGGTTCCCACTCCAGCTAAGTGAGCAACATCTTCTCTCCATCCCCAAATCCCTGTCCTCTGAAAGGTCAGTAGTTTGGGCATCTAAGCTGCTGGCTCATTCTCATTGAGAAACAGCATGGCACAATGGATAGGGTGTTGGAGTCAAGGAGATCTGGGTTCAAGTCCTATATTAGATACTTACTAGCTGTGTGACCCTAGACAAGTCTCATAACATCTCTCTTTCTCTGTTTTTCGTTGGTAAAAAGAAAGGGTTGGGCTTGATGGCCTCCATGATCCCTTGATCCCCTAAGCCCATGCTGAGTTCATTTGCCAGAAACATACTGAAATGTTCTCAGCTGTCTGGTGCAGAATCTTCTCCATGCCCTTCTCCAGTCTCCTCGACTTGGGGTTGGACGCAAGCCCAGCAGCGCCCCTGTGTCTGGAGTCTTCGGAATTCCAAGGGGGTGGGAGGGGCTTTGGCTTCTGGCAACAAATGAGAAGCCTCAGCCATGGGGGCCTGCTCTGGGTTGGGCATGCACGTCGAGGTCTGCAGGTTGAGCCTCTGTGCTCTTTGATCTGGCTATTTGGGACCTGAGAGCCCCGCGAGCGCCGCCCCCTCCCCCCCCATCTAGTTAGAAAAACGAGAATGTGTGTCCTTCAGGTTATGGTGGCATCTCCCTGGCAGTGGAGGGACCAAGCAAGGTTGACATCCAGACAGAAGACCTCGAAGATGGAACCTGTAAGGTCTCCTACTTCCCTACGGTACCAGGGGTTTACATTGTGTCCACCAAGTTTGCGGACGAACACGTCCCAGGTATATGAGTCGGCTTGGGCCGGAGAGGGGGGTCCCCCAGCTTACAGGTTAAGCCCTTGGGGTGGGCCCCATTCCACACACAACTTCACGAAGACCTTCCTTCCAGGGAGTCCCTTCACTGTGAAGATCAGCGGAGAAGGCAGGGTCAAGGAAAGTATCACGCGCGCAAGCCGGGCACCGTCGGTGGCGACCGTCGGTAGCATCTGTGATCTCAACCTGAAAATCCCAGGTAAACAGGGACAGCGTGCGCCAGGGTCTTCCAGAGCTCTGGACACTCTGAAGGATCAGCAGCAGCCTTGGGAGAAGCACAGGGCCCCTCAAGGAGGGGAAGGAGGAGTGCAGGCCCGATGGCAGCTCCTTGGCTAAGTCTCTTCCCTGCCGAGTCAGCTGAGAAATGTCTCCAGGTCCCACAGCACTAGGGCCTGGCTGAGAAAGGTGGCCCTGGGCCTTTGAGAGAGGGGTGACCACATGTGGCAAGAGGCTTCAAATGCTAGTCACTAAGTGGAAGGTAAAGTTGGATAAAGGCTCCCTTTGTCTCCAGGGTGCCTAGTTGTGGAGCAGCAGAGGGCTTCCCAGGGCAGGCAGAGCCCCCTCTGCTGAAAAATGAGATCTCCTGACTCCTCCCATCAGGAAGTGCTTTCCCCTCGAGTAAAGAAGGCTGGACCACACCAAGGGCTTTGAACCTGGGCTCCTTATACACTTGGCTTTTTTTTTTTAACGTGGATAACTTTCAGAATAATTGATTTTCTTGCTGTGGATTTCATTTATGAATTTAAGAACATCATTCTGAGAAGGAATTGATAGGTGTGACTGGACTGCCCACAGAGTACAGGACACAGAAAAGGTTAAGAAACCCTGATCTGAGGGGCAGCTAGATGGTGCAGTAGATAGAGCACTGACCCTGAAGGCAGGAGGACCTGAGTTCAAATCCAGCCTCAGACCAAACACTTGGCACTTACTAGCTGTGTGACCCTGGGCAAGTCACTTAACTCCAGTTGCCTAAAACAAACAAAAAGAAGCCCTGTGTGGGCAGCCCTCATCAAGAAAACCTCATCAATGCTGCCGCAAGCATTTATTAAGCAACTACTGTGTGCCAGGCCTTGTGCTAGTAGTTGAGAATACAGAGACAGAAGTGACATAGTCCTGCCCACAAGGAGCTTCCGTTCTAAAGGCTGGACACATTTCAGGGCTGTGTACCACTGGCCCATCACACCTTGTACTGCATGTTCCACTGGGTGGAATGTGCCCCGTTCCTCTCTCTCACTCAGATGTCATTTATTACATATACTTTTTTTTTTAATTTTCTCCAAAGAAATAGATAGTGCAGACATGTCGGCCCATGTCACCAGTCCTTCTGGACGCATGACCGAGGCGGAGATTGTACCCATGGGGAAGAGCTCCCACTGTGTCCGATTTGTGCCCCAAGAGATGGGGGTACACACGGTGAGCGTCAAATACCGAGGGCAGCACGTGACGGGAAGCCCATTCCAGTTCACAGTTGGGCCTCTCGGCGAAGGGGGTGCCCAGAAAGTCCGAGCCGGGGGCCCAGGCCTTGAGAGAGGAGAAGCTGGAGTACCAGGTGAGAGGCATCAGTGAATTTGCTCTCCCTAAGAAGAAAAAATAGAGGGCCACCATGGCCTGAGTCATGTGGAGGATCTTCACGGGGGGACCAGTGGGGTCCCTAGGAATGTAGACTTAGAACAGGGCAGGACCTCAGGGGCCACGCAGTCCTTCTGTGACCAAGCAAGCAGAAGGCTGAGGCCCTGTGAGGTCCAGTGACTTAACCAAGGTTACAGGTAATAAGCAAGTAGCGTTAAAGTCTTCTAAAGGTGGAAACCTCTGCTAAAGAAACACTTTGGTCATTTTGGTCACATAGTGGGAAACGAGAGGGGAGGACTCATGAGCACAATGGTAAAAGTCCCTTAAAGATTCTCAGATGGCTCTTTTGGGAGAAAAGAGAAGAGAAAATGCGCACACACGAGGAGTGTGATTCTGATTTGGTTTGTCAGTCAATGAACATTTATTAAGGGCCTATGTGCCAGGCAGTGTGTTAACCCTGGGGATACATAGAAAGCCCAAAGATGGTCCCTGCCCCCAAGGAGCTTCCAGTCTAACAGGGGAGACATCATGCAAACAACCGTTGCAAACGAGATGTAGACAGTTTTGGAGATAGTCAGCAGACGGAGGGCATTAAGGGAGAATCGGAAAAGTCTTGTTGTAGAAGGTGGGATTTTAGCTGGAACTGGAAGGAATCCAGGAGGGAAAGATGAGGAAGGCGAGCATTCACCACTGGCAGTGCATGGAGTGAGAAGACGGAAGAGCCAGGAGGCGAGGCCGGTGTCACAGGATTGAATGGGGCTTGGCAGGGGGTGGTGGGGGGAAACTGTGAGAAGACTGGGAGAAGGGGGAGGACGGGTTACAAAAGACTTTGAATGCCAACAGAAGGCTTTATATTTGATCCTTGAGGTGATGGAGAGTGTCTGTACTTTATTTATTGGGGTGGGGATTGAGAGAGACATTATCAGGTCTCTGCCCTCAGAAGATTCATTTGACAGCTGAATCAGATTATGGACTGGGAAGGGAGAGACACCAACCAGAAGGCTGTTGACAAAATAGTCCAGGTGTGGAGTGATGAGGGCCTACCTACGCATGGATGGCAGTGTCAGAGGAGAGAAGGGGGCATAGATACATGCAAGAGATGGGATGAAGTTAAAATCTACAGAACTTGGCACCATTTTGGATATACGGGGAGGGCACCTAGGTTGTCCGCCTGGATGACTGGTAGTGCTGACAGTGGTGTCCTCGGCAGAACAGAGAAACTTGGAAGTGGGGAGCTTTAGGGGGAAACATAGTAAGTTCAGTTTGGGACATATTGAGTGTGAGATGCCTACGGGACATCCAGTTTGGGATGTTTGGAAGGCAGTTGGAAATGTGAGTCTGAAGGCCAGGAGAGAGCCTGAACGTGAGATGGAGAAATAGATCTGAGAATCTGCGGCATGGAGATGACCGGTGAAAACCATGGGAGTTGATGAAATCCCAGAGTAAAAAAATATAATGGGAAAAGAGAAGAGGGCTGGCACAGAGCCCGGGGAGACACTTGGGTCCCTTCCACTTCTAAATCTGCAGCTGGTCAATTGTTTTTAGAAACTGGAAAAAGCTGTACATTGCCAAACATGTAATTAGAACAAACGTTCTTGTTCCCATCCCTTCCCCTGGTGGTAGGGAAGGGGGGTTAGAATGGAAGGGGATCCATGAGGCTATAAGGAAATCAGCTCTGAATTGCAGGTTTATCATGACCTAATAACAAGGGTCAGAGGTCGTGGGCTGAAAACTTTATTTAATAGTATTTTATTTTTTCCAATTACATAAAAAGACAATTTTCAACATTCATTTTTTGAAAGATTTTGAGTTCCAAATTTTTTTCCCTCCCTCTCCTCGCTCCCCAAGATGGCAAGCAACCTGACATAGATTATACCTGTGCAATTATGTAAAACACATTTCTGCGTTACTCATATTGTGAAAGAAGAAACAGAATAAAAATAAATAAATTGATTATTTTTTTGGAGGCAATTTGGGTTAGGTGACTGTGTTACAGACACACAGCTAGTAAGTGTCTGAGGCCAGATTTGAACTCAGGTCCTCCTGACTTCAGGGTTGTTGCTCTATTCACTGCACCACCTAGCTGTCCTTTCCAGTCTTCTTATACCTTGTTCTCCAACATTCTTCATTTTGGTCCAGTAACCCTGGCCCCCTGTCTGTTCCGCAGACAAAACATTGCACCTCTTGGCTCTGGGAGTTTTCTCTAGATGTCCTCCATGCCTGGAAGGCTCCTGCCCCTTGACTCTGACTGTTGACCTCTCTGGCTTCCTCTAAGTCCCAACTAAAATCCTACCTTCTACCAGAGGCTTTCCCTCTGTTAATTATTTCCAATTTATCCTATATGAAGCTTGCTTTGTATATTTGTTTGCATATCGTCTTCCTTGCTAGAGTGTAGGCTCCTTGAGGACAGGACTGTGTTTGGCCTCTTTTTGTGTCCCTATCACTTAGCACACTGCCTGGCACATAGTAGGTGCTTAGTAAATGTTTATTGAATTGAACTGGTCCCTTGTAGAAGAGTATGGAATGTCTGGACTCAGGGCACACCTGTGTAATTCTGGGCAAGTCACTTGAGCTCAGCGTGTTCCAGGCAAGTCTGTAAGACTATCGATAACAAAGAGCTGCCCGTCCGCATTAGTGGAGGCCATTTCCGTTCCAGGAGTCCCTGGGATCACATATGCAGGGCAGAAAGGAGGAGGCTGGGGTGAGGAGGCGATGCCTAGAAGAAGAACACTCAGGCTTCCTTTGAGCTGTAACCATGTATGTGTCTGCTGTTTCCAGCTGAATTTAGCATTTGGACCCGAGAAGCGGGGGCCGGGGGCCTCTCGATTGCTGTGGAAGGACCAAGTAAAGCCGAACTCACCTTTGACGACCATAAAAATGGGTCATGTGGTGTGTCTTACATCGCTCAAGAGCCTGGTATGTCCTCAGCGCAAGTGGGAGGCGTGAGCTGCACTGGGAAAAGACGCTCCTCGGGGCTGTCTGCTCTAACCCAGCTTTCCTGTCTCATAGGTAACTACGAGGTATCCATCAAATTCAACGATGAGCACATTCCAGAAAGCCCCTACTTGGTTCCCGTCATCGCCCCTTCCGACGATGCCCGCAGACTCACTGTTATGAGCCTTCAGGTGAGACATAAGGAAACGTCTGGCTGCTTGACCACAGACTGGCTAATCGGGGCCTTGTTCTTCAGACCCTCTCCCATCTGTCTTTCCCAGACAAAAGCACCTGTCAGTTGAGTCAAGAGTTCCCAGTGATCAGTAGTGACCCCCCTTCCCCGATTTTTTTTCCAACCATAGACTGAGCCTTGTGATGGGTATGTTCCCTAAAACTCCTCTGGCCTTCAGGACTGAGGCTGGGAACATCAAGGCTGTAAGAAGTTCTTTCTGCCCAGGGGCATAGAATCATTGCTGGACAGTCTCAGAAGTGATTTATTCCAACCCCCTGATTTTATGGTTGGAGAACCACAGAGCTAGTCTGTACCAGAGGCAACGCTTGAATCTGTCTCCACATCCTCTCATTCACACTGATACTTCAAACTCGCCTCACAGTAGCCCTGTGTGGAAGGTGGAGGTAGGAGTTTTATTTATCCAAATTATATTCATCAAGAAATTGAGGTCCATTATATTCATCAAGAAACTGAGGTCCAGAGAGTTTGTGGCTTGCCCATGGTCACACGGGTTTAAGTTCAAACTTGAACTCAGATCTTTTAGGGAGTCAGCTAAAGAAAGCATTTGTTGAGTTCTTGCCATGAGCCAGGCCCTGGGCTGAGCTCTGGGGTTACGAATGCAGGGAAGCAAGATGGCGCTTATAGCTGAACTTTTGGCTTTTGGCCTCCAACTACAAGGGCTTCTTCCACTGGGCCATTCTTGGTCTAGTTGGATTTTCCAGACTGGAGCAAGTTCTCTCTAGCACTGAGGACCTACGTTACCAAAGCTAACTCTGATACCTTGGGTGCTGGGAAGCATAGACTGGTCCATGATCCCCCTGCAGAAAAGGCATTCAGGAACCAGGTAGAGTTGTGCTGGGCTGCCTGGGATCCAACCTACTCACCAGGAGAGCGTGAGAAATTTCTCACTCACTGGTTAGACAAGCTGTTTGCTGAGGTGTCTGACTGGTGTTTGGACAGCTGGCTCTGACTGGCCCTAGTGCTTCTTCTGGGAAATTAATCCTTGTCCCCTGTGCTAAAGGGAAAGAAAATCCAGGTGTCACTTGCGCCCTGGACATTGAACTTAAAGCCAGCCATCAGAGTCTCTCAGTTGATGGGCGTTGTGTCATCTCAGGAAATCCTTGGGAGCCCGTGGGAGAGCCCCTCTAGTTAATGAGGCCTTTCTAACGGATTCATTTCTGAACCTTCCAAGCCTCTTGTCAGCCAAGTCATGGTCACTTGCTTAAGATCTCGTGAAAAGTGAAATTGTTTTTCCTGCCCTTGTAAGTCCTTCTTGTGAAGACCTGTGTCATCCTTGGCTTTGATTCCAAGTTTGAATTTAATAACTAACCAAGGATGATTTCCAATATCAGCCTGCCTGGCTGATGAAATTGTTTGTCATTTCCTGAGATCCGTTTGCTTCACAGTGAGAACAGAGACCAGCTCTCCGCCTCACCTCTGGTGAGGAAGAGTCCCCCTCCTTCCTCACCTTCCCTTCCAGTTCCCCGGAAGAAGAACAAGGTTTCTGATTAGTTGTCGTGGTTTTGATGTTTTTCTTGTGTTTCATTTAAAGACTGCTTGACAGGCATTTCTGTCTTTGCCAATCAAACAAAGCCTACAGAGGGAGATAATGCACTGATCTACTGAGGGCACAGGAGAAGGTCCCCAGTGTGGCTCAAGCCTTCTGGGCCATTTATCTCCCTCTTCAGGTTTTAGGGGCCAACAGAAAGGTTTGTGGAACATATGGGGCATGCCCCTCCTGGACACCCTTGGCCACAAGTATGTATGTGTTTGGGGAGAGCTTCTCCTAATGAGTTGGCCATCAGTATGTAATGCTTCTAAGCTAATTGGCCTATTGTATGTACTGCTGTGAAAAGGGATGATGGAAGATGGGGAAGTGTCTCAGTACTGGCCCACACTCTCCTGAGGCCATTTGCTGAATGGAGCATGCATTTTTTATGGCAAATATGTGTGGCAACATCCGGTGTGAGTTAGGAAAGGTGGTCAGAGAGGCCTGTTACTACTCCTTTTGAGACATTTTTTTCCCCAGATGTTAAATTTTGCTAGTAATAATCTCTGATTCTTAGATGGCCCCTCGAGCACCAAGACAGCACAGCCCACCCACCTTTTTATCCTTCATGAATTCTGTTCATGTCCTCCCTATGGGATCTAACCAGTACGCTAGAAACCTTCTTCTGGGTCCCTAGAAAAAATTTACTTGGGATTTGTTATCTGTCATGGTTTTTAGATTACCCTGAGTCCCAGTGGACCACAAGCCTTAGCACATTCTCCAGATCTGGAGAAGCTTCACGTATGGTCTGGGCATGAAACTGAACCTGCCCATAGAGGACCAGCCTAGGAGACGTCCAGGGGATACTGCTACCCCATAGGGTGGCCACTAAACTGTATGACTATTTAGACTAGAGCCAGTATCTAGGAAGGAAAAGGGCCTTGGTAACCAGAGATTTACTTAAACTACAGTTGTGGTTTTGGGAATGAAGAGAAGGGCTGTCCTCAGGTTAGAACTGCATTCTGATTCTCTGGTCAATGGGCCCGAGATACATACTATGTGTGGTGTGGCCTCACACCAGCAGCGACTTGCTTTTGCATAACTCTTTGTTCTTATGCAGTTCTTGAGCAAACATAAAAAGAAAAATCAGATGTTTTCCAGGGAGGCGCCAATGAACAAGAGAGAGAACTTGGCCCTCAAGTCAGAGGTTCTGGGTTCAGATTCTGCCTCTGTTTCCTTGGGGAAGTCATCTAACTCCCTTGGGCCTCATTTCCTCTAACTGTAAAATGATGGGGCTTGACTTTCTGGCCTCTGAGACTCCTTCACCTCCAGATAATGAAAATGCCCCCAAAACTAAGGTAGAGAACATGTGAGTGCCCAGATCAGAGGAGGATCGGTGTGGCTTCACTTGAGGTCACCGGTCACTGAGGGCCACACTTGACAATGCTCCTGAAAGGTTTCTTTAGTCCTGAAACAGACTTAAAAGAAATCTCCCTTAACCAGGGTGTTTTGGTCAGATCCATAGGGTGGCCCTCCACCTGCTATTGGGCCTTTCCTGTGACCATTTCTTGCCCTCTTGGGGAATGTGTCAGAACAGTGTTGAGATTTGTTCCCCTCCCACCATGTTAGCCCATAGCATACTCAGGGCTCTGGACAGTGTGCCTTGTTGACTGGGAGGACTTGAGTCTCCAGAGTAGGGAGAGAAGTTAAGGAACTGTCTCCAAGGGGTGAGTAAAGGGCTGTAGGACCACGTTAGTGGTCACTTCCAAAGTCACCATCACCTTGTGCCTCAACTTTGAGCCTTGTCTGAGTGATCTCCCCTCATCAGTGGTTGTTGTATAAAAAAAAGACACAGCCTATCTGTGTGTGAACCAGCTGTCCTCGACTGCCATTTGGAGTGCTTCAAATGATTTAGAGAAAAATCCCAGGAAGTAGTAACTCATCTGATGTCTTAAATACTCAGGAATCTGGATTAAAAGTTAACCAACCAGCATCCTTCGCTATAAGGTTGAATGGGGCCAAAGGCAAGATTGATGCAAAAGTCCACAGCCCCTCTGGTGCAGTTGAAGAATGCCACGTTTCTGAACTGGAGCCAGGTAAGGAAAGTGGGCCTGAGACCTGCATCCCTCCCAGGAGAGCACGAGGTCACATCGGCTTCGTGGGTGGGGGAAGGGCAGGCTCCCACTACCGACAGCCAAAAGGGCTTCCTCCAGTGTAGACAGGAGGAGGTATATCTTGGGGTGGAAGGCAGCTCCACAAAGATCCATTTGTCCTCCAGGTGGGAGGGCGGTGGCCAGACCCGTTTCCCACGTGGCTTGCTCGTCCTGCCCTGTCTCCATTTAACATAGCCTTGCAGATAGGTTTCGTTGTTGGCCTTGTGAAGGTATTTGAAAACTTTATTTGACTTATGTGGGGAAAGGGTAAACAGGTTCATACGCTTACAGGGCAGTTTTGGTTCTGTGTCATCTGAAAGAGAGGCAGAATGGGCTAATGGTTAGTGTGTGTCAAAGCCAGGAAGAGCTAGGGCTGACTCCTGGCTCTGACATCTCTGGGCTGAATTACCCCCGGAGAGTCTGTTGACCTCTCAGTGCCCTAGGCAGCTCTCTGAAGACTAGAAGTTGCTCAGAGATGCTTCCCTCCATTGGTTGGGGGATTCGCCTCCTCCAGGAGTTACTTTTAACGCCCCAAATCCCAAGTCCACCTGTGCTTTGTCTGGGAAGCTGAATAGATGGGACTTTTACTCAACTTTGTAGAGTCCTAGGACAGTCCTCACAACAAGCTGGTATGTGGCCAATTTGGGACATTCTCCTGGGAGAGCAGTCTGGGGTAGTGTTGAACTTAATGGGGTCTCTTCAGATAAAGAGTTCTCCAAGTGTGGCTCCTTTCCTTCTGCCCTGGACGATTGGAATTGTTAGCTGATGTGATGCCCAGAAATTGAGCAGGCCCACCCCTCTGCCGTCTCCCCCCCGAATGTTCCATGCTCCCCCAGACTCTCTATTTGCTGTATTGCACTAAAGATGTCTCCCAAGCCTCGAGAGGGCCTCACAGAGGCTGTGCCAGGGTCCAGCACAAGACCTGGCTGGTTCTCCTGAACTGGAGAGATGCCAGCTTGGCACGAGGTGGGACAGCTGGTCTGAGGACCAGAGAAGTGAAGCGTGGACCACATCACTACTTGCTAAAAGCCTGTCCCATTGGCGTTTTTTTTTTTTTAGCCCCTACAGTTCTTGAAAATGTCCACTAATAGAGGGTCTGTGGTCTGCATATAAATGGGAAGAAGCTGATGGAATTGTAGACTTTTCAAAGTGATATTTTAAATCCAGCTTCAGAAGACTGCCTTCGGTCAAGTGTCCAAGTTGACTGACCCTGGGAGGGATGCTGATAGTGAACCTTAGAGAGCCTCTCCCGTTTGGAGTTAGAGGACCTGAGTGCAGACGCTGCTAATTGAATGACCTTGGTTAAGTCACTTCCCAGGCCCTCCTTGGTTCTTGGTGTCCACTTTTATAAGATGAAGGGGTCAGCCTAGATAATTTCTAAGGTCGCTTCCAGTTCTTCATCTGGGGCAATCCCTGTGTTCCTCATTTCAGGAACAGGGATAGAGACGAGACCTGTGGTTTTATTGGTTTAGGGAATTCCCAGAAGAGGAAATTCCCTCTACTAATGCAGCTTGGCACTCATTCTGCTGAATGCCTAGCACACCAACAGATTAAGTGATTTGGCCAGGACCATGCAGCCAGTGTGTGTCAGAGGCGAGACTCGAATCCAGGTCTTCCCGACTCCGGCGCCAGCTCTCTGTCCGCCAGACTACACCCGTCTGATCCTCATTTCACGGACCACAAAATCAGAGCCCAGAGAAGTGAAGTGATTTGCCCAGAGTCTCCCAGTTAGCGAGGGGCGGAGCTGGGATCCAAAGAGAACCTGGCCCTCTGGTGACCCCACACTACAGGAAGGCACATTCCTAATAAGCCAGAAGAAGGCTGCCAAGAATTTTCTTCTTCTTTCAGTACTGCCCCTAAGTCCCCAGTTTATGATGCCTCCACCCCTTTCGGGGCCCCTCCAGTCCATGGAAAGCACTTGGAGTCTGACCAGGACTGCTTTGTATTTGTTGTCTTTGTGTCCCATCCCTTGGTGCAAAGCTGTCCCCCCAAAATTAGAATTGGATAAGTGTTCTGATTTCTGAAGCTTACTACTATGGGATGAGTATACTGAAAAGCTGAACCAAAGTTGTCTTTCCTTTGGCCTTGAGGGCTTGAGGAAGCTGTCTGTGCCAGTGAAAGACTCACTCTCCCAACCTTTCTTTTTCTCCTTCATTTATAGACAAGTATGCAGTTCGTTTCATTCCCCATGAGAATGGCATTCACATGATCGATGTCAAGTTCAATGGCAGCCATGTTGTTGGAAGCCCTTTTAAAGTGCGTGTTGGGGATCCGGGACAAGCAGGAAACCCAGCTCTTGTCTCTGCATATGGAGCTGGCCTGGAAGGGGGCACCACAGGTAACTGACTGAGATACCAGGAGTGCTAATGGGGGACGGGTGTGGCTGCACAGGGTACTCTCTTTTAATACTAACCTGCTTTCCAGATCATTCTTGGTTGCTCTGTGTAGAAGCAGAAGAGACTTTGGGACTTAAAGGACTGTGGAGATGCCTTTTTCTTTTTTTTTTAAAGATTTTATTACACTGAACTTTGAACGTCTTTATGAGCACTAAACCCGTTTTGTGCTGATTTACAATGAAATGAATTTGAGCTCATAAAGCATCAGGGCCCTAGTTCAGCCTAGTTCAGCTGCTCCTCCTGCTTCTTTTTGATGCTGGTTTCAGGAGGTGGCACTGATCTGCACCTTGCCCTCTTAGACCTCAGCTTCCCCATTTTTGAGTCCCTGGCACTGCCTGACTCACCGGATTGGTTTGAACTTAGAGAGTCAATCAGCATGAAGATCAGCGTATGCTTACTGATTGATTCCGTTAAGCACCTCCTTGTAGACAGTGACAGTGGCCTCATACCACTGTGCTGTGCTATCGATGTAGATAAAGATGTAGATAGAAATGTTGATATAGGTAGAGTCACTGTGCTCCTTAGCTGTCTATATATATAAAATATTCATCAATATATTACACACACTTATATACCAATATATTGCATGTTAATTGTGACCTATTATATTGTCAGTTATTATTAATATAATATGTATATTGCTATTCTGTATGATGGTAATCTTCTTCTTGGGCCTGTCATACGTACTGGTATCTCTCAGGCTAATCTTTCTAAATGCCCTGACAGCATGGCTAAGCACTGTAGCATGTAGTACCGTCATTTCTTTGATATGTAATATTGATATTTAAATATCAGAAGCGAGACTCCACCTAAATAAAAGCTCCCTGGAGGAGGGGTCTCCATAAGAAGAGCGTGAAGACCATGGCACTGGAGAACCATTGTGTTCTATGACCAATTACTGGGTTTAGTGGATTTCCAAGAAGCTCATCTTGTCCCTTACTTCTGGTTTTTGATCCTTTGACCTTCAAGAGAAGAGAATCACAGATTTGGTGCCTGAATGGAACTTAGAGGCCATTGAATTCAATCCCCTCATTTTATAGATGAAGGAACAGAGACAGACAAATGTGAAGTGACTTGCCCAGGGTCACACAGCAGTGAAGCAGAAAAGAGGCCATTTGATGTCTGGCGGTGTGAGCCTGGGCGAGGGTCGCGTCTCTCAGCCTCATTCCCTCGGGTGTGACAGGAGAACACCGCCCGTATGTTCGATCTCAGGCAGATGTGAAGAATGAGCTTGGCCATCTTGGGGCGGCTCTGTGGATGTGAGCCCTGGGTATCGGCGACAGTCTGCTATTTCTGCAGCTCCTTGTGAGTCTGTTCATCTGCCCTTCAAGGCTTATGCTCTGTAGGAGGGAGAAGGCTTGAGCCCCAGGAGGCTGCTCCTGTGAAGCTTTGTGTGGAAGGTGATTCAGTCCAGGTGTGACTTTCCGGAGGGTAGCCCAGGGCCTCTCCTGGACAGCTCATCTGTGTGTTTCTCCCAACTTCTTGAAAGGGAAAATAGTCTCTTACCTTTGCAGATAACAGGTGGGCTGCATGTCATGTTGGGATTTCAGATGCTAGGTGACCAAGGAGTGCTACCTGGCCAGCCAGCTGCCCCCAGGAGGTCTGGACAAATGTGGAGAATTTGGCTGTTCCCTCTGGGATCATCTCCCGTCAGGTACCAGGCCCTCTCAGCTATAGAAAAAGAAAGGATGCCATGTCTGTCCAGCGAATTGTGAGCAGACCTCATTAGACCTTAGTCTGGCACGGATGGAGTAGTCTTCAGCCCACCCTGAGTCCCACCTTTAGCCCTGACCAGCTTAGAGGGCCTCCTGCTGGAACAAAACCCTCTTGGTCATTCCTGGAAGGCGATCCATCATGTGGGAGATGGCCAGTAGAGAGCTGGGCCCTGGGCACGCTTATCTCTGCCCTCTGCTCCCCTCTTTCTGCCTCCCTTCTCTCTGAGCACACTGCAGGGCTTGGGCCTGGGCCCAGAATAATCCAGACAGGGTCTCCATGGACTGAAGGCTACTGCCTTGCTCCCTGGGCCTCAGCCTGGGACAGCAGCAATGGCTCTGTGCCCAGAGATCCAGCCTGAGCCAAGCCGTGCTGTGGCCCCCGTGCCTCGCCCGCTGTTACCCTGCCTTGTGCATTCATCTTTCTCCTGCTTCCTGTTGGGGTCTCACATGGCCTCGCCTGGGGCTCAGGTTTCAGACTGAGCTACGAGGGATGCAGAGAAGGAAGGAGCCCTGTCTGCGGGGGTGTTGGGGAGGAAGCCCACAGCGAGCCTGTGTGAAACCTTGGATAAATATCACTCCCGTCAAGGGGCTCGTGCCTTATTTATCCAGCAGGCCTTTTCCAGATGTCGGTTCTGATATGACTCAGCTGGGCTGTGCACAGAATGAGAAAGGCCTCTGTCCTGCAGCTCTGGGTTCTTCTCACTGGGCATTGGGGCTCGCTTGGCCCCAGCTACCCTCTGAGGTTCAGAGCCCGTCGTGATGCACCCCAGGCTTCAGACAGTCAATGCCGAGTCTCAGAGTTGAAGGGACCTCGGTCACCATCAAGTACAGCTTGAATCTGACTGGGAATCCCCTGCCCAACCTCTCTGACAGGTGGACCTTCAGAATTGCTTGGGCTCCCAAGGCATCCCACTTTGCCTAAATTGTTTCTTTGTAACGCCCACTCATTGCTCTCCTGGTCTGCCCTTGGGGGCCCTTCTTACCTGGGATAGCCCATCAAATATTTGCTCACGTTCTCATGTTTCCCTCCAAAGTCTTGTCCAAGCTGAATGTTCCCAGGGCTCCCACCATGTCTCATGGCCTGGACTTGAAGCCCTGCACCCCCTCTGGACACGCTCCAGCTTATCCTTGCCCATCCTAACGTGTGGCGCCCAAAGCTGAACCCGATCCTTCCGAGGCGGGCTGACCAGGGCTGAGGACAGTGGGGCAGATCGCTTCCTCCTGCACACGGGGCCTCTCGCCACATGGCCCGAGGTCGCCTTAGCTTAACTTTCTTGGCTGACCTGTTGCGCCAGTGCCTTAACGGGCCTACAGTTCCCTCATACCACCCCCATATTGTTTTCCGGCGAACCTGCCTAGCTCCACCCCCCCCCCAAAGATGAACCTAGCTCTCTGATCCCTAGTGCCTCTCCTCAGAACTCTGTTAATAGAGAAGGAACTTTCACACCGTGCACCGTGGCTTCCCAGCTTTGTGATGTACAACACTGAATTCAGGCAAGAATTTGGATGGGTAGAACAGAGGATCCATTTTGGTTGGGATGGGGGGAGGTGGGGGTGTCTGTTGGCATTTATCTTGTGTAACACCGTTTCTACTAAAGGCAGTGGATCTAGTCTCTGTGGCTCCTGAATCCTGTGTTTTTCTTTGGGGGGCTGCCCTTCCTTCCTTCTTGGCCCTCCCACCCTCCACTTCAAACATGCCAGAATGGAATGATTGTATCCAAAGAACAAAATAATTTTGGCACCTTCTTGCTCTCCCGTTGCTAATTCTCTGCAGCCTTGTTTGAAAACATCTGTTCTAACCCCTTGCTTTTGCCGTAGACTTTTTCTAGAAACATCACCCCCCCGCCTTAAGCACCCCCCCTTGGGACCTCCCCCTTCACTCACCCAGTGACCATTTCCCCGGGCAGCCGTGGCCACTATCCCAGCCACACCGATGAGGAACTGGGACAAGACCAGCTCGAGCTGATGGGGCATGGAGCTGGGACCCCAGATGCTGGTGGAGCTGTTGAAGGCTTTGGGAACATCTGGATTGTGTCTCTGGATGTTGCTGATTGCAGCTCCTTTGTTTTAGTGACAGCCAAAAGTAATTCGTTCCCTGGAGTCACGGCTATAATTAAACCAAAAACACTATTTTCAGCAGCTGGGTCCATTTTTTTCCCCCCAGAAAGGCCCCAGATTCTACCGACAGAAGCAGGTTGTGAGTGGGAATCCTTGGCTTACTTATCTCATCCTGGGTTAGAGTAACTTCTGCTGGGATGCATAGCCCTCCTTTGGGGTCAGCATCACAACTGAGGCACAGATGCTATTCAGAAACACACCCCTTTCATCACCCAGAGAATCTACATTCTGATCCTTTCCTGCTACTTACTATCAGCTGGACCTCGGGCAACTCAGTTTACCTCAGTTTCCTTATTTGTGAAAAAGAGAGGGGTTAGACACGTGGCCTCTGAGATCCCAGCTCTGAAGCTACACTCCTACAAGTCCTTGTGTAAAGATGGTGGCTGGGTGTTGGTCTGGGCCATAGAAACCAACTTGATTAAACACAGGAAAATGTGTTGGTCGGATTTCTCTCTTGGTCTTCAGAAAGCTTGTTTGCTTTGCTGGGGAAGTGATTAAGGAGCATCCCTGACCATTAATTAGGCAGAAATGGGAAATGATGGGGAGTCCTCAGCCAAAAAGCCCGAGGGCTGAGCTTTGAAGGTGAAGTCTGTCCCTGTGCTGAACCCCTCTGGTTTGAGAGTGGATTCTGTCTCAGAGCAGGTTCCAAATCCTGCTTCTGGTGTTTTCTGCCTGTGGGTCCGTGGGCCACTCACATGTTACCTCCCTGGGCCTTAGCCTCTTTATCTGTAAAATGAAGGGATTAGACTCGGGTAGGGAGAGAATTGGATGAAGTATCACCCAGGGAAGGAGCCCATGCAATCTCAGTCTCCTAACCATAGCACAGAAGAGCGTCTTCCATTTTACAGATGAGGAAACTAAGGCAAACATAGGTGAAGTGCCTTGTCCAGGGTCACACAGCTAGTAAGTATCTAAGACCAGATTTGAACTCAGATCTCCCTGATGCAAAGTCCAATGCGTTCTCTACTATAGCATCCTCCTGCCCATGAAAAATGTCTGCCATTGATATTACTATCACGCCATCATATTATTACAATGTGTATGCCATTGTATTATTAGGCCTGTTTCCTTGAGTAAAGGCTAACTGAAAACCTTACTTTCAGGTGTCCAATCAGAGTTTTTCATCAATACCACCAGAGCTGGCCCGGGAACACTGTCTGTTACAATTGAAGGGCCATCCAAGGTCAAAATGGACTGCCAGGAGACTCCGGAAGGTTACAAAGTCATGTATACACCGATGGCTCCAGGAAATTATCTGATTGGTGTGAAATATGGTGGACCTAACCACATTGTAGGCAGCCCTTTCAAGGCCAAAGTGACAGGTAAAGATGGGATTCCCCAGTGGAGAGGGGCCAGACCTAGAGAGAGCTAACACTGGTGAGCCACCAAGGTCTGAGTGGCTGAAAATCAGGCCTGGGGTGGAACCGAGCCCAGTCATCATGGGTGTAGAAAATCTGTTTTCCAGATGTGACCTAGGTCTTGGCTTTTGACCAAAAAAACCCCCAAAACTGTCAAGGGATCCAGGAGTCTGAGTTCTGGACAAGGGGGGCCTGGAGATCTATGAAGCTCCACCCCAGTGAGTTTTAGACACTAACAGTTTGGGGTGTCTTGTTTTCTCTAGGCCAACGCCTCGTCAGCCTGGGCTCTGCCAATGAGACATCTTCCATCCTGGTTGAATCAGTGACCAGATCCTCCACAGAAACCTGCTACAGTGCTGTTCCCAAAGCTTCTTCAGATGCCAGCAAGGTGACCTCCAAGGGAGCAGGGCTCATGAAAGCTTTCGTGGGCCAGAAGAGCAGCTTCCTGGTGGACTGCAGCAAAGCAGGTAAGTGAAGCCAGGCAGGTTCAAGGGGCAGGGCGAGGTGGAGTGTACCAGTCCAAAACCAAGCCATCCCAAGCTGGGCCTGACCCTAGGAAAATGTGCTTGAGCAGTAGCAAGAAGGGCAGATCTCTTTTTATTGACATTTTCTGTTTTTTAACATCATCATCATCAGTTATCCCAAGTATCCCTCCCCCTCCCAGTGAGCCATCACATATGACATGGGGTGTGTGTGTGTATATAGTTTTTTTTTGTTGTTTTTTGGTGAGGCAATCAGGGTTAAGTGACTTGCCCAGAGTCACACAGCTAGTAAGTATCAAGTATCTGGGGCCAAATTTGAACTCAGATCCTCCTGACTCCAAAGCCAGAGAGCTCTGTCCACTGCGCCACTTAGCTGCCCCTGACATAGTATTTTTTAGAGAGGAAAAAAAGCACCACTGACCAGTACATGGAGAAAGTCCCAAAACATATGTGGTCTGTTACACTTGTGGGCCTCCCTCCTCCACGAAGGTGTAGGTGAGGCGAGTCTCCTCATAACTCTTCATCCAAATTCTGGCCGGTCTTCATAATTTTGTTACGTTCCCTTTCGATTTCTTGTTGTGTCCTTGTTGTTTCCATTTACACTGTCATCACTCTTGTGTATGTTGTGCTCTTGGCTCTGCTCACTTCCCTCTGCACCAGTTCAAGGAGATCTTTCCAGGCTTCTCTGCACTCATCACACACATCATTTCTTACAGCACCAGAAATACTCCATTACATTTATGTACCGCAGTTGGTATAACCATTCGCCTGTTGACGGGCATCTATTTTGTTTCTAATTCTTAGCTATCACAAAATTGCTACTATCAATAGTTTCGAGTATATGGAGACTTCTTATCGATGGCTCCTGGGATATAAGCCCAGTAATGGTATCTCTGGTCCAAGGGGTATGGACATTTTAGTCACTTTATTTGCATCATTCCAAATTGCTTTCTAAAATGGTTGCACCATTTCACAGCTCCACCAACAATGTATTCATGTGCCTGTAATTCTTCAAATATTCCAACATAGACTGTGGCCATTTTTTATCACTTTTGCCAGTTTGCAGAGGTGAAACCTCAGTTCTTTTGATTTGCATTTTCCTTATTGGTGATTTGGAGCATTCTTTCATGAGGCTGTGAATACTTTGAAGTTCTGTTGAGAATTGCTTGTTCATGTCTTTTGCCCACTTATCTATTGAGGAATGTCTTTGTGTGTGTGTGTGTGTGTGTGTTATATATATATATATATATATATATATATATATATATATATATATATATATATATATATATATATATACATATACATATCTTGGATAACAAACCGTTATCAAAGAAATTTGATGCAAAGATTTTTTTTTCCCATTCAGCCACTTCCCTTCTTATCCTAAGTGCATTAATTTTGTCTGTGCAGAAGCTTTTTTCAAGTAATCAAACATATCTGTGTTGTCTTTGGTGATTGACTCTATCTCTTGTTTGGTTAAGAATACATCCCCTACCCATAGCTGTGACAGGTATATGATATTTCCAGTATGGTCTTTAATATTAAGATCTTGTGTCCATCTAGAATATATTGTGGAATATGCTTGACTCTTTTTCAACACTTATCTCCTACTTTGTGGGCAGCTAGGGGCTGCCCATGATAGAACACTGGACTTGGTGAATTCAAAAATCCCGAGTTCAGATCCCACCACAGACACCTAAAAGCTGTGTGACCCTGGGCAAGTCACTTGCTTCTCTGAGTCCCAGTTTCATCTGTAAAATGGGGATAATAATATCTACTTCATACAATTGTAAGAGTCAAATAAGATAACATGTAAGGCAGTTTATGTTCCTTAAAGTGTCATATAAATATTATTGTTGGTGTTATTTCTTTTGAGTATTTTCACTGCCAGTCTGAGTATGTGCCATCTGCAGGGAACAGGATATAATTCACATCTGTGGTGTCGAGGTTTGTGTAGTGCCTTCTTCAGCAGTCTTAGTCAAGAGAGACCTGGCTTAGAATTCTAGGATCCCATCAACTGGAACTGGAACCCAAGGGTTCTCGGTTCTCGTTCCTCACCCACTGATCAGGACTGAATAGTGAGGGTTGAGGAAGCCATAGCTTAGGGAAATAAGAAAGCATGAGAGCATGTACATTTACGTTTGAATTTGCAGCCTGGGCTATACCTGCCTACCTATTCTTCAAAAAAAAACTATAAAAATTTTATTCACTTAATTTTATAATGGCAAAGCCAATTAAACATACATTTATAACTATTTACATTTGAAGGAATTTTCCCGTGCGACATTTATGTCCACGGCAGCTCAGTAGTTACTCCCTGTGAAGTCTCCTTTGCCTCTGCCTATTTGTCTGTGCATGTGTGTATGTTCTTCTTTCCCTGTCCTGTGTATGAATGTTTTTCTGACTCTAGCTAGGGTCTTGGGACTCTATGGAGTGTACCTCTCTCATTTTAGTCCTTAATGCTATCTGTTATTTTGGTGATATATCATTGTTTATTTGGGCCTTCACCGGCTGTTAGCATTTAGATTTTTTCCAGTTTGTTGTCATTGCTATGTTGACACTATGCCTGTTCCTCCCCTAGTCTGAGGGGTTGGGTGCAGGGGTACTCAGGGCAGGGCCCACACAACAACATACAGATATCAGCAATTGGAAGAAACTGAAGGCTATGGGGAGCGAGTTCGCTGTTCGCATGCAGCTCTAGGCCAGTGAATAATGTGGGGACACAGCCCAATATATTCATTGATCTCTAACCCCACTCCCCTCTCTAATGCATGGAGAAACCGCTCCCCCCTCCCAAAAAAAAAAACCTGTGTTCTGGGCTCCTTGCATGGCTGGGCTCTAAGTTCAGGGCTAATATCTTCCTTTTGCTGTCTATATGTATTTGTTATCTTTGTTCCTTGAGGCCAGGCCCATGGTTAATTATCTCTTTCAATTAGTACCTCACCTTTTTTTCTTTTTAAACATGTACAATGAGAGCTTTCACAAATGGAAACCCTTTCATCTATCTAAGCATCCTGTTATCTCCCGTGACTCAGTTTAGTTGTGGGAGGAGGGTGGGCCACTCCAGGCATCTGTCCTTGGTTGCCCACTGGCTCCACACTACCCTTTGCTGCTTTGAGAAAGCTAGTGGTTTCTTAAATGCTAAATGTAATGGCTGTGTCTCTCCCAACCCCATTTTTCATTTTCATTGACTGCCTATCTGCAGCTTCTGATATGGCCTAGCCAATCCCTCTTCCTGGATAGTCTTTCTCTTCTTTTACTTCATTCTCCTACCTGACTTCTTTAGGGGGGCTAGGTGCACAGCAGATAGAGTACTGGGCCTGGAGTCAGGTCTTCAAATCTGGCCTCAGACATTTAATAGCTGTGTGACTCTAGACAAATCACTTAACCTTGTTTGCCTCAGTTTCGTCATCTTTAATATCAGCTGGAGAAGGAAATGGCACACCACTCCAGTATCTCTACCAAGAAGACTCCAAATTGGGGTTATAAGGTGTTGGACATGACTGAACAATAACAGCGAAACCCAAACTTTTTCCTCAGTCTCTTCTCAGGTGCCACCTCCTAGGGAACATTAGGGCACTGGGCTACCTTTTGATTTTTTTTCTTCACAACAGTACTTGAAGGTTATATTTCCAAGGGGCATGATTGTTTTTGTGATTCTTTCATGTATTCCCAGATTACCTTCCAAAAAGATTCCACCAATATGAAGTATAGCAGTTTCTTGGCAACCCCACCAGAAGAGTTATTTGTGCATGTTTCATATGTGCCTACCACTCTTGATTCCATTGTGATTTAACCTTAATTCTTTTGTATTTTAGGTTCCAATATGTTACTGATTGGTGTCCATGGCCCCACCACACCTTGTGAAGAAGTGTCCATGAAACACGTAGGAAACCAGCAATATAACGTGACTTATGTTGTCAAGGAGAAGGGGGATTATGTTTTGGCTGTCAAGTGGGGTGAGGAGCACATTCCTGGAAGTCCCTTCCATATCACAGTACCTTGAAGCAGGCCCTAACGAAATACTTTATTTGTAACGTTGATTTTTATACTGAGTTTATGGGCCTTTCGTGGAAATGAAATGTAGTCTCTAAATATGCAGCTCATACTTAAGTACATCCAGAAGTAAATGCTAAACTTTTTATTCCTTTAGGAAACTTTTCAAAATCTCAAAGCTTAGAAATTTCAAATGTCATTAATGTACATCTCCGTACACTCAATTGCAATAATACCTCTCAGTCTTGTCCTTCACAAACAACATTTGAAGAGCATGTGTGTAATGGGCCTGCATGCTGATTTCACTGCAGACATTCAAGGTCATGGACATGAACCAAAACTGGAACTTCTCTTTTAAAAAAATGAGATTGGGGACCCTGAAAACTACTGGTTTTGTCTTGGATTGTTTTAGACCATGCTTACCAAGGGAAAGGTGTTTTTGTTTTTGGTTTTTTTTTTTCCCTAATGAAAAGGAAATGGGGTTAAAACTTGGTACACATGTGATATTAATCAATTTTAGTGCCTTATGGGATGAAAAGGGCTACTAAGTTATTTACTCCATTTTAACACTAACACTTTCTGCCGGGTTCCCTGTGGCTCTTCTCTCGAGTTGTCTGAGAGGTCTGTTAAACTGTTAGCAGACCAGATAGGCCCCTGGTAGCTTTCCCACGTTCTTGCTCCTTCCTTTTGGCATCCCAGCTGCCGTGTTTACCTTTAGGTTCCATTGATCAGAGGAAAGAAACTGCAGGCTTGGGCAGCAGTCCCCTTGCCAAAGGTTACTCTTTAACCCAACCCAAAGAGTCTTCCTCCATCGCACATATTCCGCTCGTGTGTCGGCATCATTACTACGTTTTGTCAAACTCGTAAAATTCTGATTGCAGCCAAGTGTGAAGAGGCCAGACTCGGACCTTGCACCATCACTGCAGGGAGAGGAGAGCTAAAGCAGGAACCTTTTGGGGGGGGTAGGGAGGACATTTTTATGGTGGTTGCTAGTCACAGGGAGTAAGGAATTCAGCTTTCTGTGAAGAGCTCATCAGTCCAATGTTAAAGGAGGGGCCGTGACTTAAACTTGTAGCTCCCTCTTCGCACCTACAGGGAATGTAGGTACAGGGCCAGAAGCTGGGTGTGGACTTCTTGGGCCAGCATGATCTGCCCTCCTGGGACCACTTTTGCAATATTTCATCCCATTCCTGTGAGAAGCTTGAGAAGGTGTTCTCCCCCATCCCTCATTCCCATCCCCACTTCCCTCCCGGTTCCCCCCAACCTTTAGGGGATGGTTTGATACCACAAATACCGAATGTTTAACTTTGGCCACCTGGGTAAACTTCCTCATGAGCTTCGTTCAACTGACTGGGGAAATCGACCGTGGAAGAAGACACTTGTGCGGGATCGGCACGAGCCCGCTCCCCTGGCCCGGGCTCTGTCATCACCAAGCTTGATTGGCTGGGAGAGTGGCCGTAGGTGAAAGCCCAGCCTGAGGGAGCCCAGGGTGCCTCCTTGCTTTATTTGTGTTCCGTGCCTTAATGTGAAATGCTCACAACTTTGTAAACTAGCGAATGGAAGAGAAGCTGGCACCAAAATGCAGGATTGTAAAATTGTGTCTTGTAACTTATTAAAATAAAATCTTTGCTCCCTAAAATCCAACTGGTGTGCTGATGAGTTTTGTCTTTGAGGAAACAATTCTGATATTTGGAGGTCACTTAGAAAACCGAAGGGCCTCCAGCCCAGCCCTTTCCCTGCTTGGAACGTCTGGAGGCCGGGGGTGGGGAGAGGAGGAGAGGAGATACACTACTGACACATCAGCTCTGTCACCCTGACGTTAGTTATGATAGGACAAGACCTCCCACCCACCTACCCACATACGTGCACACAGACGAGGTCTTTGGGGCCACTTGTAGAATCACAGATCTGTGGCCAGATGGGACCTCGGAGCCCAGCAGGTCCAATCACCTTTTACAGATGAGGAAACTCGGGCTCAGAGAAACGTCTTGTCGAGGCCACCCAGTAAGGGTCAGAAGTGGGATCTGAATCCTGCTCCTCGGGCCCCACTAACACTATGCTACCCCAACACCTTCACGTTTCAGATGAGGAAACAGGCCCAGGAAGTGAAATGAGTCATCTAGGGTCACCTGGGTACAAAGGGGCAGATTTGAATCCGGGACCCCAAATTTCTGGAGTCTGAACCTGTTCTGTGCCGGGCACTGTGCCTTTCCTCAAGGTTGAGCTCACTTTCTAATGGAGGAGACAATGTTAAAATAGCTGTGTTTATACCAGATCTATACAGAGGAGATAGAAAACACAAACAGGTGTGTGCCTTCGAGGCTGCCACACAGGACTGGGATTCTACATAGATGTCCCATGCAAATATTTCGCCATTCACTAAGCGATACTTGTTGAGGCAGTGAGATAGTATAATGGACGGGGGGGTTGGGCGGCACCGGGGTCAGGATGACCTGAGCTCCAATCCGGCCTCAGACACTTCCTAACTGGGCATGTCACCTAACCTCTGTTAATCTCAGTTTCCCCATCTGTAAAATGGGAGAAATAGCCCCTGCCTCCCAGGGTGTGGCGAGCACTGAATGGGATGGTGCTTGTAAAATGCTCAGTGTGATGCCTGGCACACAGTAGGCGCTCTGCTAATATTTGCCCTCCCTTCCCGCATGTCCAGGGTGCCTTTTCCTGCTGAATTCCCTGAGATACTAGCTCCCGAGAGCATGGGCAGGCTCACCTGTCTTTTAGAAAGGGAAGACCAGGCAGGAAGGGAGGACGTGTCACTGAAAGGACTCCATTTCCTCAGCCACCTGACTCGTCCCAGTGCAGCAGACTCCCGCGTTCGGGCCGAGGCCTGGGGGATGGAGCGTCCCTGCTATCAGAAGCTGTGGGGCCAGTGGCCTCCCCGGCGCGAACACCCCGGCGGCCTGGCCAGCTCGAGCTGAATGTCCTCGTGGGAACCACCCCTTCTTCCAAAAGACAGCCCAGGGCTGCTTCCTCTCTCAAACACAGAACCCTGAGCGAAGTAAAGAAACCAACGTGGTGGGTTCTTGCCTGAGAGGAGGCCCCGCTGACCCAGCTGCCTGTCTTGTCCCTCGCTGTTTGTCCTGAGCTTATGCTGTGGGTGGCAGTTACCGAAGTGACAGAGGGGGAGGAAGCCACACTTTGGGGGAGGGGAATGAAAGCCTGGGGTTCATGGCCAGGGGAGGGGATGGTCCAGGCCTCTTCTCCCGAGCCTTCCTGAGGCTTCTTGGCAGCCACTTGGGGTCGGATGGAGGCTGCAGCTGGGATTGATTTACCCTCTGAGAACCGAGGTGAAAGTTGGGGGAGGGGAGTGCCCACCAGTCTGTTCTTTAAGAGCTTTTGAGGCCGGGAGTCGTCTGCCACCTGCCAGAAGGGCTCTTTCTTTACCCTTGCCTGGCACATAGTAGGTGCCATATAAATGTTAGTTACTGTTGTTGTTCATTGGAATCAGGAAGGTATGAGTTTAAGTTTTACCTCAAACACTAGTGGGCAAGGCACTGAATCTTTCCCAGCCTCAGTTTCCTCAACTGTTAAATGGGGATAATATTTAATAGCTTCTTCCTTCCAGGGTCATTGAAGAATCAAATGAAATAATATACAGAGTGTGTTGAAGGGCCTTCCTGCGTGATCGCCCGTTCCACTTGGAAAGCTCACCCCCAACCTGGTCCCAGCCCCCCTTTCCAGTCTCACCACCGTATGCCCCTTCACAGGCCCTGCAGCCAAGAGGGCCTCCCCCTTGTTCTTCCCCTATATCTGCTCCCCTCCTGGGGCCTTTGCATTGGCTGGCCCTCATCCCTGGAATGCACTCTGTCCTCCCCTCCACCTGATGGGTGATTGCTTCTACAGGAAGTTAGCACCCCTCCCCCTCCTCCAAACTACTTTCTCTTTGCTTTGCTTGTGCAAAGCACTGCGCATGTGTGCCATTTCCCCAATAGAATGTAAGCTTCTTGAGGGCAGGGACTTCTTGAGTTTTGGGTTGTTTTTTTTTTTACCTTTTTATCCCCAAGGTCTGATACTTAGTAGGTGCTTCATGAACATTTGATGATAGAGTTGGAAGGGACTTTAGGTCCTTACCTCTTCATTTTACAGAAGGGGAGGCAGCCCCAGAGACGGGGAGGTGTCAGGTAGGATTCAGACTCCGAGCCTCTGACTCCAGAACCAGTGTTTTTCCCATTGCACCACACTGCCTCCCAATTCCCAGGGTACAGACCTTCTGCAGGGTGGTGCACTCCTACTTTGAGCCTTCATTTCCGACAGCTAAAAAGTACCAAGGTGAGCTCCCCACCAGGCGCAGGCTGGTCCCTTCTGTATCCATCAGCAAGAAGGACCTTGGAGCCGGCAGGGGGCACCTTGACCTAATTGCTCTGGGTTGCTAGGGGAGCTGGCAGATGTTGATATAAACAGTCCTGAGGCAGGAGGAAGCAGCACCTCTGAAACCCGAGCCTGGAGCCAGAGGCCAATGCCAGGTGCTTTCCTGCTTCTGCCCCTTCTCCATCAGGCCCTTATTGATGGCATCATCAGCTTGGCCAGTTGGCACTTTGTGAGCCTTGGGATGAGTGCCAGGCGAGGTCATCGACCAAAGGGCACGGGGCGTTTCGAATTTTCCCCCAGGGAGTGGTCACTGTTCCCTAAGGGACGGGCTGCTCTTGTTCAAAGTGAGCTGAAGTCAGGCATGGCTCCCAGGTCCTTTTGAGAAAGTCATTGGCCTCCTCATCCCGGAGGCAGGGGTGGGGCAGGGTGGGAAGGAGGGGAGTAAAAAAAAAAAAAAAGAAGCTGTTTATTTCTAATCCAATCAAATTGGATTATATAAAACAGCCTTGAAACACTGAGCAGAAAGACTCGGTTAATTGATCTAGAGAGAGCAAGCTCTTTTCCAGCCCAATGGCTGGAGCTAACGCGTTGCTCCACGTTTTAACGACAGTGATAACTGGGTAATTGGGGCCCCCTGCCTCCTGTCCTGTGGGGAAGCACAAGGTCTGCCTTGCACCCACCACCTCAGCAGTGGCCTCCCTCTCTGTAGCGAGCAAGTTTGAACCTCGTTATGCTCAGTCAGTGAGGGAGAGAGCCCTTCTCTGAGAACGAAACACCATCAATCTTGTCCCAATCTCTAAGCCTGTCCCAGTCAAGTGTGGAAGGCATTTGCTCAGCTTCATTGCAATGTAATTTATTAAGATTCAGGTATAGGTTTAATCTGGGGTTCTTCACCTGAACTTGTCTGTGAACTTGAATTTTTAAAAAATAGTCTTATAGGGGCTGCTAGGTGGCGCAGTGGATAGAGCACCGGCCCTGAAGTCAGGAGGACCTGAGTTCAAATTCGGTCTCAGACCAAACACTTGACACTTACTAGCTGTGTGACCCTGGGCAAGTCACTTAACCCCAACTGCCTTAAAAAATTAAAATATTTTTGTAATAACATTAGTATAATTAATTTTCTTTGCAATCCTATGTGTTT